GGTCACCGACAATCGAGTGTTATCAACGCGTCTGGCTGGTGTCTTCCACTATTCGTGATCCTGTCTGGTAAGCAGCACCAGGCTAGCTGGTACCACCACATCCCTATAGACTGGGTGCTCGCTGTATTAGACAACGGCTGGACGACAGATGAGCTCGGCGTAGAGTGGGTAAAGCACTTTAATAGATATACAGCGCCTCGTACGCATGGAGTCTACCGGCTTCTTATCCTAGATAGCCATAGCAGCCACGCTACGCCTGAGTTCGACCAGTACTACACAGAGAACAAGATCATCACTCTCTGTATGCCAGCCCATACCTCCCACCTGCTCCAGCCACTTGATGTGGGCTGCTTTTCCCCGCTCAAGCGAGCGTACGGTCACGAGATCCAGGAGCTAGCTCGCCAAGGCGTCTACCATATTGACAAGATAGACTTCCTTACCGCCTATACACGGATCCGGCTAGCAGTACTTACGCAGCAGAACATCCAGGCAGGCTTCCAGGCGATAGGGCTTATCCCTCCCTGTCCAGAACGCGTCCTATCGTCGCTCACTGTCGTCCGTACGCCGTCTCCACCAGGGACAACAGCAGACAACAACGTCGCATGGACCGCAGAGACACCGCGTACGATAGCGCAGCTTAAAAAGCAGGCTCAACACGTAAAGGACCTCCTTCACCGCCAGTTGTAGAGCCCAACAAGCCAAGCTATACGCTAGCTTGTCAAAGGTTGTCAGCTTGCGATGAACTTAGCGACTATACTCGCAGAGGAGAATAGGAAGCTTCGTATAGCTAGTCAGCGCCAGCGACGTAGGAGAGACCAGCAACGTTAATATATAGCTCGTGGAGGAGCGCTATAGGCCTAGTAAGGCCAGCAGCTCGCTATAGAGGCAGAAAGGGTGGTCGCGGAGGTAGAACAAGCTCAGGCTACTTAAGGACGTTAGCGCGCACTACTAACGTGTACGAAGTGCTATATCTAAGAACACACTAGGACTTAATGTAGATAGTAATAGACTAGCTATGTACAAGATTGTATTCTATTATCTTATGTTGTTGTAGAGCTATCGCGTAGAGAGTCGCGTCAAGTTAGGTGGGGTGCGCAGCTTACTAGTGGAACACAGTAATTTCATTTCGAGTCTTTACACCTAGGTAGAGAGTAATGTGACAGATGCTAAAGGAACCACAAACAATGTGAATGGCCTTTTCCAGGCCACTCGGACACAGCCAACTCCATCATCCAACCCTGTACAATGCCGTCCAGTCGTTCTCATCCCCGAGTTCGACGCACCCGTCAACCTGTAATATAGGCCGGATCTTCCAGGCGCGCTTCCCCCGCCCCTTGAATCTTAGATAAGAGTTCTTCTTCTAGAAACGGTCTCTTTGTCTGGCCCTGTAGACGGTGAAACCAACGTATGCGCCCGTCAGTGCTAGGCCAAACATCACAAACTTTACAAAGGTCCATGTCCAGCTTCCTTCGCTAGGCCTCTCACGGCTCATAGATGAGGCCGTCTTGTAGCCTTCACCACTTGACGAAGAAGCTGCACCCGGGTTCTTCTTGTAGAGGTTCGTTGACTGTACAGAAATAATATCGTGGTTGTCGGAGAGTTCACCAGTTTCAGCAGAGAAACCAAGGTATGCAACGGGCGGGACCTTGAACTCGGGGAGTTCAAAGCACTTGGTCCATTCGTCTTCGGCCTTGTATTGGATTTCGAGGCGGAGGAACTGGTCTTGGAAGTAAGTGAGGCGGGCCTTGGTAGGAACTTGGGAATTGCGAATTCCACGGACCTAGTTCACGTGTTAGACTGCGTAATATCCATGTGTGTTTAGCTTTCGTACAGAGCATCCGGCCAGCTCGTTGGCCTTGCCGTCGTTATCCTTGTCATATGGCGTATTTCCATCACCGTTCATAGCCATGATGTAAGGGAAAACAGTGCCGGGACGGTTGTTTTTGTAGGTGTCGAAGAAGATGCCGAGACCCTCGAACTTGTCCGTATGGCCAAAGACGTTTCCGGGCTGTGCGCGCTGCTTGGTGAGCCACATGGCAAAGCCGTCGCCGTAGAGGCTTCCCTGTCCATGGATCTTAAACTCGAAGAGGACCTGCTTGGGTGAGTCCCCAATCTGCCAATACTCGGTCCATTGGTGCACGAACCTCCCAGTTTGTGGCCGTAAGAGGCACTCTCGAGAATAGCCAGCCGTCGCGCGAGGGCTTGTCCGAAGCCAGTCGAATGTACTGATCAGTGCGAATAATGGTGTCTCCGCCAAAGTCCCACCAACGACTCTGCATGTCCGAGTCGAGGTATGGCTGTAGCGGGTGTCAGCAAGATACAGCCTTATCCTTCCAACGGCGTCCACTGGAAAAGAGTGCGACTTACAGGCTGGAGGCTGTGTGTTCGCAGCTATGTTCCCATTAGCGACTATAGCCCCTCGACTCATCGTGTAGCAGCAGCAACGCACCGAGATGGCTTTGATATCGGGATCCTCGGTCAAACCCCCAGACCGCGCCCAGGCACCCGTCCAGGATCCCGCCAGCAAGCACACGCTTGCCCATGGTTTCGCAAACAGCATGGTCGCGCGATGCCCAAGCTACCAAGGGGCAATTGGCGCGCCGAAAGAATGGATGAAGACTATGCTCCGAAAACTAACAAACAATGAAGCCTCAGCCGAGTGGACGCGGCGACAAGAAGATGACGGCACGGGTTGGCGACTCGAACGTGCTGGAGTTCTCAAGGTGAATCTTGGGGATCGGAAAGGCCACTCTATCACCTCCGCGTGTAGAGCAGGGGTCTTGCGTTGCGGGACGACGCTAGCGAGCAGCGCCGCTCTTGACGTCGCCAACTTTTTGCAGACGAGCCCACCACCCAACGACGCCCGCTCTATTCGCAATCCTGCCCCGCGCATCTTCCCGCCGCCCACCCGCCCAATTTCTACCATGGATTCGTTTGGCTCCAGCGACCCCAAGACGGCGGTCATGCGCCAGGTGCAGCAAGAGGCCGCCATGCAGAATGCGCGCATGCTGGTCGAGGTGCGTCCACACGTGTGAAGAGCACGCACGCTTTTGCTGGTTTGATCCAGGCATGCAGCCAGGCTGACGCACCCGTAGAAACTCAACGAGCACTGCTTTGAGCGCTGCGTCCCCAAGCCCGGCACGTCCCTCTCCAAAGGCGAAGAAAACTGCTTCACGGCATGCATGGAAAAGTACATGAGCGCATGGAACACAGTCAGCAAGCAGTATGTCGGCAGGATACAGCGGGAAAGCGCCCAAGGAGGTCTGCCTTTGTAGATTTTGCATTGACGTCAGAAGGCGGACGCTTGGAGAGGAAGGGCGCCGCAGCAAAACCGCCGAGTCGACGGAGCGCATAGTGTGGCTTTACAGGACGCATCGACGCACCGCGAGGGATCATGTCTGTACGAGAATGGACTAACGACAAAACCTGATACGCCATGTATCGGGATCAAAATGTACTATACACTGTACAACTAGCACCACGAGCCGTGTATGCAGGCAACAAAACTGGTATAATACCAAGCATGAGCTGCTCAATACCTATTTCTTGCCAAACGCCCTCTGCCTCTGCGCATACTCCCTGACAGTGACACTGCAGTTGACCTCCTGACACAGCCTCTTGCGCCTCTCGGGACTCAGCTTTGTTGCAAACTCCAGTCCGCTCGCCCTCTCGACTACCTCGAGCGGTACTTCAAACTCGGTCAATGGCTTGGTGTTCGGGATAACTGCATTGGGCAGCACGAATGCGCCCAGTGCAACTTGGCCGCCTTGTTTCCCGTCCTCGGCGAAGATGACCTTGTAGAAGTGTGAAGGTACAGCGACGTTGGGCGGTGAGCCAATGACTTCATATGAGACGCGCCATTTGCCGTCGGCTTCGCGCTTGGGCAGGTATAGCGGGCCGGTTACGATGCGCACGGAGGGGTAGTTGTGCGTAAGTCTGCGGCAAAAGTCCTCGAAATGCGCCCAGTAGTCGCGGTTGAAGCCATCGCCTACCTGTGGGCACATGTTGCTCAGCGCAAAAGTATCATCCATGGCCTCCTGACTCCACTTTGCGTCTGCCGCGGGCACTTGGTGGCCTCGGTCATAGCCGCTGCGGAAGTAGTCCTTGAGCTTTGCGCGGAACATCTCTGGGATGGTGACGTCTTCCACAAAGACACTGTGTTTCCGGTCTGCATTGTTGTTTGCGAGCGATTCAGGGGTGATGTGTTCAGCTACCCATTGCGGGTTTCGCGTCCGTCGGTCGTACGACGATGTGAGCGAGGCGGCGGGGCGGAGGTCGTTGACCGGACCAGGAAAGCCATATTGGAAGAGGCCGTTGGGGTCGACGAGAGCTCTTCGAGCAGCCGCAGGAGAGGGGACCGCGGGGACTGCCGATACTGGCCCTGCCCGTGCAGGCCCAGTGACGGTTGTGGTCGTTGTGGTCGTGACAGCTGGTGGAGGCGGCAGCCTGTCCTTCTTGGTCGAGTAGAGCGCTGCTGTTACGGCTGCTCCGGCTGCTGCACTGCCTGCGCCGATCAAGGCGAAGGTGAGTTTCGACATGGTCCACGTTGGATCCCGAAGGCGTGTGGGTCGCAACAAGTCGGGGGTGGGCGCAAAGGCCTCTTGAGAGGAGCAAGACACTCTCGCAGTCCAGCGTCCTGTCCGGCGCGTGAGGAGTGTCTCAGACGCGTCTATCTGTGCCCGAATGGTTCGCTGGCGACTGCGACTTGGGTGGTGGTCATCTGCATTTTCTCCAAGGCGAGTCCAGCCCTTACCAAATGCGCACTAGCGCCGACAACTGGATGCGGCTGCCAGCACTCTCAACTTGACTAAAAATCATCAACCCCAGCACCTCATCGTTTCATGGAAGTCGGCCGTCGTTTCTCGCTTGCCTAGATCTTTCCTCGTACATGTGGCTATAAGATCATAGACTGGGCGCACATTCCCACCCTGTGCGACTCAACACCACCAGAATGCCTTCTTGGATATCAAAAGCCTCCGACTCACCCAATGCACGGCTTGTGGCGACAGCTGCTGTCTCAGGCTTTGTAGTGGGAACCGCTATTTTGGGATACCAAAAGGCCCGGCGCATGACGAGAGTGGCAGACCTGAAGGCGTCGATCCCAGATCTCAGTGACGACCATCGCCCATCAAGAGTAAGTACAAACTCTGTTCCGGCGACACCATTGAGTGGCACTCTTCTAAGCTTGGAAATTGAGATAAATCTAACAATCTCCAGCTAACTGAATATGGTGCCGCATCCCATGTCTTTGCCCCAAGCAAAGAAGACGAGCGCAGCATGGCACTAGCTGCGCGGGCGAGAAAGGGCGATTATGACGACGGTAAGATGTCATTGTCTCAACGGCTACCACTTTTAGTCCTAACAAACATTTTGAAGACCTAATTCTTGAACAGTTGGCAAGAAATCGGGTCTTCCTGACAGATGAAGGGCTTGCGAAGCTACGAAATGCCTTCGTGATAGTCGTCGGCTGTGGTGGTGTTGGATCACACGCAACCGCAGCACTCGCCAGATCAGGGTGCGCTAAACTTCGCCTCATAGATTTTGACCAAGTCACTTTGTCTTCGCTCAATAGGCATGCAGTAGCAACTCTTGCTGACGTCGGAACACCCAAAGTACACTGTCTCCGCAAGCGGCTTGAACAGATCACACCATGGACCCACTTCGAATGTCGGAACGAGCTGTTCGGCGAGCAGACTGCGGCTGCTCAATTGGCGCCCCTGAATGGCCAGCCACCGGATTTTGTGATAGATGCGATTGACAACATTGACAGCAAAGTTGCCCTCTTGGCCTATTGCTACATGAACAACATCAAGGTTATCTCTTCAATGGGCGCCGGGTGTAAATCGGACCCCACTAGAATCTTCATCGGCGACATTTCAGCAAGCACAGACGATCCCTTGTCAAAATCTACGAGGAGAAAGCTGCGACTGAAGGGAGTGAAAGATGGTATACCTGTTGTCTATTCAACCGAGAGGCCGGGTCCTGGAAAGGCTGAGCTTCAGCCTCTCTCAGAAGAAGAGTTTGCTAAAGGCAATGTCGGAGAGCTAGGCGTTCTCGCAGACTTCCGAGTACGGATTTTGCCAGTCCTGGGTACCATGCCGGCAATCTTTGGTTTAGCTGTTGCGAACCACGTCATCCTATCTATCTCTGGTTATCCACAAGAATACCTGCCATCTAAATCCCGGGATAAGATGTACGACGGCATCCTAGGTGCTCTTCAGGGTGCTGAGGAACGCTTAGCTCGTACAATATTCAACGAAGATCCGCTCGGCCTTAAGATCCCCTTGACGCAGGACGACGTGGGCTACTTGGTTGAAGAAGTATACAGCGGACGAAGTATAATCAGTGGCATCTCGACACGCCTGATTCTATCAAGATGGAGGAAGCCAGCTAAAAGCTTTGTTGATCAAAGCATACCAGGGCAGAAGCACAGTCATCTCGAGATGAAAGATTTGGTCCTTATGACGAAGGAAGAGGCGAGTAAGCACGAGAAAGAGATATTGAAAGGTGAAAAGAGCCTGGAAGACCTGTATAGTGCCGAAACTATCGAGCGCGTGAACAAAAGGATGGCCGAGGAAGAGCGCTTCGAGCGCTTCCGATAAATTCACATCCATGATGAGAAAATACGATTTATTTTCCAAAAGTTTCTGATGCAATCACAAGAATTCGCTTGTTCATATTACGCTTCAAGACGGAGCGCCGACAAGACGGTTGAGGTACGCTTCCATGTTCAAAACTCGCTAGCTTGGGGTCCCACAAAACTGCGCACTACTGTGACGGTCATACCTACCTCGGCCATGACCCGTGTCGTTCGAGTTGTCATTCCAAGTGAGTGGATATCATTCCAATATCCGCAAGGTGACCCTAGTATCACTAAACGCTATTGAGTAACGTGGCCGCCAACGTGATTAGCGCAACCAATGAGAGAAGAGTTTTCATCCGCTCTGCGCGGTATTCGTAAAGCTGGGTACATACATGCTTTGTGTGATGACGTGGAGCCCGGTAGCTACGACAGCAGTTTTTTCTTGCTTTGGTAGCTGACCGCTCCATGCTGTTGATGAGGGTCTGGCTCGATTGTGTCAACACGTCAACGGGCCGACCAACGGGGAACGGCCTAGTAAAGTTTGTGTCTAAGTCCGGTACTCCATGTTTAAATCCGTGTGAAAAACACACCGGACAGATATCGCTCACCGGGGATAGGGATCGGTGGGGACATATAGCCGGTAATCTACGTGTATTTGAGCGTCTCTTTCCCGCCATTGTAACTCAAATTTACATTTGACCTCCTTCTACAACACCAACACCGTCTACCAAATACTACATTTGCACCCAGAGAACAATGGCTACGGATATCAAATTCGAAGGATGGGTTGGAAAGGACAAGGAGAGCGCCAAGGGACACATGGAATGGGGCCAATTCGAGCCTAAGAAGTGGACGGAGGATGACGTCGACATTGAAATTTCGCATTGCGGTATCTGCGGCTCAGATTTGCACACATTGAGTTCTGGCTGGAGGGAAACCCCATACCGTATGCTCTCTTGTTTGCTTGATGAGTGAGTTCAACGTGCTAACGTCCTGCAGCTTGCGTTGTCGGTCACGAGATCATTGGCAAAGCCATCCGGGTTGGCCAGAACATCAAGCACATCAAACAGGGCGATCGTGTTGGTGTTGGAGCGCAGGGACGCTCTTGCATGCAGGCTGACTGCCCCAATTGCTCCAAGGGCATTCAGAACCACTGCGCACGAGGATCAGTCAGTACTTATGGTGGTGTCCACCCCGGAGACGAGGGCAAGTCTTACGGAGGGTACGCCACGCATAACCGTTCTAATGGACACTTTGTGCTGCCCATCCCTGATGGTTTGGACAGTGCTGATGCAGCTCCCATGATGTGTGGAGGAGTCGTAAGTAGCCTCTTTGCTGATCATGATGGTAAATTACATGCTGACCATGCTATGACACACAGACTTTATACTCGCCATTGAAAAGATTTGGCTGTGGACCTGGAAAGTCTGTTGGAATTGTCGGAGTTGGTGGTCTTGGCCACTTTGGAATCCTCTTCGCAAAAGCCCTGGGCGCCGACAAGGTTGTGGGCATCAGCCGAAAAGCCGAAAAGCGCGATGATGTGCTCAAGCTAGGTGCTGATGCTTACATTGCCACGGATGAAGATGAAGACTGGGCCAAGAACAATGCGGCAACACTGGACCTCATCATCTGCACTGTCTCCAACGCCAAGATGCCTCTGAATGGCTACCTTGGTCTACTCAAGACGTTTGGTGACTTTGTCCAAGTTGGTGCGCCGGACAAGGGCGAATTGCCTCCTATCAATGCCTTCACACTTCTGAGAAGTGGAATCAAGGTCGGTGGCAGCGCTATTGGTTCACTCGACGAGATCAAGGAGATGCTACAATTGGCAGCTGATAAGAAGATCAAGCCGTGGATTCAGAAGAGGCCTATGAAAGATGCTAACAGTGCCATTGTTGACATGGAGGATGGAAAAGCCAGGTATAGATATGTTTTGGAGAACTAGAGCTTTAGACGGCAAAGATACCAGTTTGTTTCAATAGAGCTGCGAAATACTTTTGAACGAGTTTGCGGAGTGACTAAGGAATACTTTTGAATACTCTGCTCGACTTTCTAGCGAGTTAGATACTGTAATTGCGGATGATACAATGTAGTAAGGCACATGGTAGGATCAACATGTAAAGGCACCTTTCTTAGAGCCTTGAATACGATGGGTAAATTATCTTACAATAGTATTGGCGGTGTTGTGCAATGGTTGGCTTACTAAGAGTAGCTCTAGGTTTGACGGATGGTTATAAAGCTTTAATGCCACAAGCATATATGGAGTTGATCTTTCACCCTGACTCTCAACCCGACGATTGTGTTCTTGTAGTGATTGAGGTGTTGCTTCTTGATCAACTCCACTGCAACATTTTCGTGTGCACCATATTAGGCCCAGGAACATGGAAAACCTGCTTCTGCACAATCTAGGCCTAAGTCCCGACAATCAAGAGACATAGATTATACTATTTGAAAGGATTGAAGAATGTTGAAATGTTCTGTAACACATTGGCAGTTGCACAAGAGTTCATCTCCAACAATTGTTGTCCTACAAATCCTACAAAAACGGATCGGTTGGCCAATCAACAATGCCACAGCACAATCCCTATCCTTGCACACCGCTGTATCGATTTAATGACTTTCGGATGTTACTCATTTCTGGGTGGCAACCCTCTCAATGGCCAAGACTAGCTATGCAGTTAGCTTGTATTTGCTATCTGATCTGCCTCTAAACTGTTACTCATTGAATTGCTTGGTCCAATCAAAATAACGATGACGTATATATATCCTGTAAAGCCACTTTCCATCACCCCAGCATTTATCCTACCTTTTATCCAAGACGCGCTGGTACATCAACACGGCCAATGCCAAAGACAGTTGCAGTAGTGGGTAGAAGAAAACATCAGAGATGGTGGTTGCAGAGATTTCAATTGCCCCCATTCAGCATTGCAAAATACCTCTTGGCCCAGGCTTTCCTGACCCCCACATGGATCTACATCTGACGTCTTACCCCCATCCACCGAGAAAAAAGAAAGAGAAAAAAAAACTTGAACAATTCGCGCACGGTCCATGGAACATTGAGCAATGCAAGCAGTCTTTATACCAGCCCTTGATCCTCGCAGCACCCGGCCAATATAGAAAAGCTTTTTTTTTCGATTGTCTTTTGGACCAAATGGCTACCCCACCCCCGCGCTCTCGGTCCGCGAAGCCGCATCTTGATTCGCCCACGCGAGCACGCTTCTTCGAAGCCATTGATGGCCGGGGCCAGAGCAGCATCCGCAGCATCATCAAAACATTCAACATCTCGCCCGCCACCGGCTACAAGCTGCTCCACGACCGCCAGGTGTACGGTGCTCTAGCCGACCGCCGCGGCGAGCTGCGTAGGCAAAAGGCCCGGGAAACAGGCACGCATAGCGGGCGGCCGCCCAAAAACCGTCTTAAGAATGTGACGCAGTCGGGACCCGTGCCGGTACCCTCATCTGCTGCTGCTGCTGCTGCTGCTAGGCCGCCCAGGCTTGACATAGCGGCTGCGCAACAGGGCTATGTACACGCAGTTCCTTTGCCCCAAAGCAACACATACTCGACTGAATTCTACAATCCATCAGCAGCAATCGCAACAGCGACAACGACGACAACAACAACAGCAGCAACAACAATGTCAGCCACGCAAACGATGATGGTACCCCACCTCGGAGGCATCACCGCCTCGTACCGCCTCTCGTCCCGGTTCGAGCCCAGCAAGCCTACGCTCGTGCTCGTGAACTCGTTCCTCACGTCGGCAGCGCTGTACGACTCTTTCTTCGCCAACGAGGCCGTGACCTCGCGCATGAATCTGCTGGCGATTGAGCTGCTGGGCCATGGCCAGACGCGCGCGCACAAGGTCGAGCACTGGACGTACTGGGACACTGCCATGATGAATCTGCAGGTCATGGAGGCGCTGGGCATCCAAAAGGCATTTGTGCTGGGAACGAGCCAGGGTGGCTGGGTGACTGTGCGAATGGCGCTGTTGAGTCCGAGCAAGGTATGTTGAGATTGTGTTGCAGTATTCTTTACGTTACTGGCCAGTTCGTTTTGAACAACAAGAAGGAAGAGGAGGAGGAGGACATGGAGAAGTCGTGGTTGTGGTGGTTGGTTGTATCCTGGAAAAAGCGTCCTTTGCTAACATGTTCGGCCCCATACTTAGATCCTAGGCATCATGCCACTCGGCTCCTCGCTCGACTATGAATCCGAGCGTAGTCGCCAGCTCGGATGCTGGGAGGCCCTAGAGCCTCTCGCCGCCATGGTTACCGGCGAGCTTAGTGCAAAGAACAACCAACCTACGCCGGACTTTGCGCCTACCGACGCCTTTGGCAACTTCCTCGTCGAACAAGGCTTTGGACCCGAATGTCCCGCCGACGTCAAGGACTACTGGATCGCGCACCTGCAGAATACCTACAAGGGGGACGAGGGTAGGAGGAGGATGAGAATGGCAGCTATTTGTCTGAGGGATAGGGATGGCTTGCATTTGAGGGCTGCCGACGTTACATGTCCGGTTCTGTGGCTACATGTGAGTTCTCCATTTCTTTATTTGATGTTGTCACCCCCCCCCCCTCTCTCTCTCTCTCTCTCTGAAGATCTGGAGTGTTCCTTTGTCTGTTTTAGGATGTACATGTCCTAGCCCGGGCATAGAGCAGTCGAAGTTCGAAGTAGCGCCTCTTGGATTACATATGCTAACCAGTCTTTCCTTATACAGGGTACCAAGGACACGGTGTATTCTGTTGCCAACGCGCAGGAGGAAATCAAGCTATTTACTAATTCACCAGAAGCACGGCTTGAAATCATCGAAGGCGGACAGCATTTCCTGAATGCATCCAAGCCCAACGAAGTCATGGACAAGGCTATTGCTTTTGTCACAAAGTATGCGCCGAGGGCGGTTAGTTCGTTGTAAGAATAAATAGCGGGATTTAGTATTACACATGTCCTGTCTTGTAAGCAAGATGCATGCACGGGGGAGGGGGGGGAAGGGTTTCAAGGTGGTCTCGCTCTAATTGGTCAATACAACCAATGCTGATTACATGGTGTTTTGAAACTATTTTCTGTACATGCACATAGACAGCGACGCCAGCATACACACTAAGCATGACATGCATGCATGGGAGGGGCCATGAGGAAAAAGGCTGACTGAACGAATACGAAGACTAGCTACTGCACGCATGTGCGCATACGCATACTTCCCAAACGGTGTTGCTACATGTTCGAATGCGTCACGAGCCAGAAACCCCCCCCCCGCGGCCCTCCAACGCCTCGACAGCACGGAGAAAAGAAAAAGCATAATTGCACGTCTAGCGCTGAAGAAGCAAGACAGAAAAAAACCATGGCGTGCGCACGCACATGGGGCCTTTGCAGACTTGGTGAAGGGGGTGGGGACATGCATGTGCATGCAAAAGACCCAAAACGGGTTGCCCACATCCGTCGTGCGTCCCGCCAAATCTACGCGTGACTTTTTCCCTATCAGGACATGCCCGGCGCATAACTGGGGGCGGGGGAAGGGGGGAAGATATGCGGTTGAGAAAAAGAAAGAAAAAGAAAGGAAGAACGAAGGAAAAAAAAAGAGTATTAAAAGATGAGAGAGAGAGAGAGGGAAAGAGTGTGGGGCTCGGGGATCTCGGGGATCGCAGCCACCAAAAAAGCATAAGAGATTGTAAATGGCCAAGTCTGGTATGACCTGGCATCATATTTCCCGATTCCGCTGCATGTGCATGCCCGATGCAGATGTGGCAGACGGGTCTGACATACATGCAGCGCCACTACCTTTCTTTTAACGTCTTGCTTTTTTTTTCTCTTTCGCAGCTGATTCTTTTTTTTCTCTCTCTCTCTCTCTCTTCCTGGCAGCACTCCGGTGGAGATGCTTCGCAAAGTGCTAGCATCAGCGACAGGTACGATAGGAAGGTGGTTGCAAATACGACCGACGGGCTCTTTGTGTTTCAGCTAGAGCAGCTAGTAGAGGCTGTGGTAAAGTTGATAGGTGGTTATTTGACGTAGGCATAAGGCCTCCACATTCCCTTATCTTGAGCAATGCGGGGGGAGCGTGTGTCAGCCAAGAAGCCTCCTGCCGTATGCGAACACATGGCCCCCATTCGAGTTACTGTATGTAGCCGTACATGCAGCGGGAATTTGTTTTGTATACAGCCCCGTCACCACGGAAGACTTGCAGGAACAGATGGATCTAGCTCGACGGCGACTGCAGGTCAGATGTGTTTGTGACTAGCGCATAGGATGCTGAGATCGGAAGCAAGGATGCGCGTGGGCGGCAAGCAGCTTCAGGATTGGGATGGTGGTGGCGGCAAGGATGGCGTCAAGAAGCAAATACGTAACGAGAATGGGGCATGAGCGGGCGCGGAGGAAAAAGAAGCAAGTCAACTCTTACGTCTCCCCGACGATCGGAATAGATTCTATCCGAATCTGGAGTCGTTGGTGGTAAAAAAGCAAACGCGTAGAGAGTATTGATGCAGAAAAGACGAGTTTGAGGTTACATGGACGTCACACCGGACAGCCTGACCCTGCATGCAAACGCCAACTGTCAAGGTGCTTTGAGGGGTAAGCCATGGTTGTCTAGCTCATTGCTGTGTGCAAGTGTGGACGTTGGTTAGTGCAAGTAGAGGGGAATAGCCGTTTGTCAGAATGGACACCACCACCAAACCCCCCGGTCGTAGCAGAGTGGCTGAGATGCCGAACCGACATCCCGTCCGCTCGCCTCGCACAGAAAAAGGCCCAGGGTCTCGCCCACTGCACGTGCACGGCGTTGCCAAAGGGATTGCAAGCCGGACAAACGACGTGTGGGCAGGAGATTAGCGATGGCGCGGTAGACAGGACGAGATTGGAATGGTGAGTGCGACATGACGACGATCAAACACGCACACGCGCTGAGAAGCGAAGTTGGACTTGTTTGACGATTCCATGCTGGCTGGGTCTTGATTGGATCGTCGGGCAGCATTCCAGCACCATTGACTGGCATTGGCTTGTAATTTACTTGTTCGACATGTGGACCTGTGGGCGCTCGATCGGTTCGTCCATCTGCTAAGTGGCCGTGTCAACAGGGAAAAAAGGAACCTGTGTTGCACAGCCAGAAGGAGTCGGCCCTGTTCTTCAAGTCCATGTGCACCTGGATGCTCTTGATGTGTAACAACGTGTGACGGGATGCAGCCAAATGGCCGGTGTTGGCCCGCCTCGACCATTCACCCCGCTCTCCCTTATCCGCCACGAGGCTTTGCGTGTCAGCTGTGGCTGTTGAGCCGCGGGATCCGAGACGCCGAGAGCACTGGTCGTGAGCAGAGAGTTTGTTGCAGCTCTAGCTGCATGTTAAAATCCGTCTTACGGGGATTCTTGTGCATGGTTGGCTCGAAGAAGCTTTATACTTGGCTCTGGGATGGATGTGGATGGATGGGTGCTAACAGGTGAGGAATCTCTGTCGCGAGTTAGAAGCGCTAAGCCGTGTGAATACACGATGGACGCAGAAGGGCCAAAGCAGCCAGAGGCACCAGACCAGCGTCACAGCTAAGGCCGCACGCCCTTTCAGCACCGCCGCGAGCTATAGGAATGTTGATAGTACTATAAGCGTCGCACTGCGAGCAGGCCCGGTGTATCGAGTCCAACGGCGGCGGCGGCGGTACCAATGCCGCGGGAGGTGGGTCGTGAAGACTGTGGCGGGCTCCACATGATCTAGTATCTCTGTGGAGCTCAACGGGCTCGGGGTGGCTAGCCACAAGCCGCGATGAAACTGTTTCATATGCTGGCCCCCTTCCATGGGCGACATGACACGGCGGGGGGGGGGGCGGTGCTGTGCGGTGCTGTGTTGCGTGAGTAGATGATGACGCCGCCGCGTGGGCAGTCAAGGAAGTGGGAGAAAGGAAGAGAGAAAGAGAGAGAAAAAAAGGGCTAGGGGTGGGCGTGCGCCACCGTGGGAAGGGGGGGAGGGGGGCGCAGGCGTGTGAGCAACAAACAGGCAACGTCCTTGTTCGCAGTTTGACGTCAGCCTGTCACCATGGCCGTGCAAACGGGCGTACAGCGGCTCACCACGGTCTCGGATGCCTTAACATGCCAGCCAGGTACAGCCCGTGGATCCGGGACTTGGGCTCTCGCGCCTGTCTCATCATCACCAACCTCCAGTACCGACTTGTCCGTGTGGCCGTGGTGGTGAGGAATAGTACGCGACCATATATGGACTATGGAACATTCTCTTGCTCCACTTGCACAATTCGTACCCCCCACACTCTACATGTACACGCATTCATACATGGTAATCGTGCGCAGAACAAAGTGCTGCCCTCGTCATTCACCTACGCATCTGACTTTGCCTTTTAGTCATGGCTGATCTGCCCACTTGGACCTCTGCTGATCTCCATGGGCATGACGTGTCGGCGACAAGAGGAAAAGCAGCAGCAGCAGCAGCAGCAGCAGAAGAAGAAGAAAACACAGTATACCGCACCACTTGGCTTGCTTGCATAGCGCGCGTGCATAAAGTGTACCGGCAATATCGCCAGCCAGTCGAGAGGGCCGCCCGGCTACCGTGTGTACGGCAGCGGCTGCACGTATCTGTGGATATACACACTGGGCATATAATATCCTCCCAACCTATACATGTATAATGCGGCCGACATAAGGTGAGGGGTAAGCGGCCGAGGTCACCGACCATGTAATTTTGCCGGAATTGGCGCTCGTACCCACAAACGCACAACGGAACTCACCGTCGTCGTCGACGTCCTGTCTTACATATGTGCTCTGGCTATACGGTATTGTGCGCCCTGACTAAACAAGACACATCTAGTTGCCATGTCGCTACATGCCTTGGACATGTAGCTTTCCGCCCACTGCCCTGGCCTTGGCTCGGCATCATATCCCACCACATACCGGCCGCGGCGGCTGAGACATGCAGCGGAAACATCAACCTTTGCGCCAGCATGCCATGCCGGCCCACGGGATTCAATACAGTAAAATATGCAGTGTGCTATATGCAGCAGGGATGTGATATTCGTGCATCTAACTATGTGTAGCCAATCAATCGCTAAGCACAGGTGGTATCCTCTAAAACATGAATATACTGATACTGACGCCAAATGTCCTGCTTTTGTAAGCCCAGCGAATCCGCGCAATTCAAGGAGATCCAACCCGTATTGGTATCATGAAACCGACAAGGTATGCAAAGAAAGAAAGAAAGAAAGAGAAAAAAAATAAAGCACCCCTTTCCCTTGAATACGTTGCGCCCGACATGAGCAGAGCGGACTAGACTCGCCGATAAATACAGTTGCCGTAAAATAAAAGAGAAGAAAGATGAAGAGAAAAAAAAAAGGATAAGTGGGTAAACAAGGAAATATGGTAAAATGAATGGTACAGGGTATACAGGTGCAGGCAAATGCAAAATCGCTCAAAGAGCAGCAGCAGCGGCGGCGGCGGCGGTCGTGGCGGCAGAATTAGTTTTCCTCCATCAATGCTTCTTGATCGCCCGTCTCGCGCCAGTCACGTGAAAGCTCCGACAGACGCTTGACGCCAGCAATGCGCTCTGCCCACAGAGACTCGGATGGTGACCTAAACGTGTATGCGCGTTGCGATGAAATGACGCCAATCGCCTGCAGCACAGCCTTACGCGAATCCCGCCCAAACACGGCAGGGTGGTTGATCCATTCCAGGCTGGATTCGAGCTCGGCATCCAGTGCGTGCATGGTTCGGACATCAATGCCCGCCGCGGGGCTGAAGGGGCTGTCGGCATGCGGTGAAGGCGTTCGCGCCCGAACATCGTTGGCGCTGTGCGTCGTCGGCGATGCGGATCCGGTGCTACCTGTAGCACTGGCTGCGTCGTTGCGACGGTGACCAGGAGGTGGGAGTGGGGGTAGGCCTCCCTTTGCTAGTCCCTTTAGGATACTGCGTGTTTCTTTGAGCAAGTGATGCGCTCGCTCGTGTTGGCCCCGCGAAACAAGCGTCAGTGCGCGTGTCAGCATGTCTGATGTGAGCAACTCCATGCGTCTTTGCACAACATGTGGGTGAGGCGGGATAGGAGGTGTCGATGGCAGCGCCATAGAGTTCTTCTTGGGCCCAGAAGGTAGTAGGGTAATGGCGAGAAGGGATGGTCGCGGCAGGTGGGCAAGGCTGCCTTCGCGAAGGATATCGCCGTAGGTAAGATCGGCCTGGATCAATGGCACTTCCTCGACGCTGAGTGTGCGTGAGTCGTCTTGGTCAAGGGGCCCTCCCAGGGCCTCAAGGCCAGATACGATCGACTCCCACGGATCTTGTGGGAGCTGCTCGGGAGACCCCGTATCCGGTGCGATCGCCAGCTGCACCAAAATATCTCTCTTGTCGCCAAAGCGCAGATCGCCCAACGAGGCTTCTGCATCTCGTCCGGTAGCTCGCTTGGTAATGTGCAGCGCACCACTGATCTTGACGAATTTGGCAGGAGATCCTTCCGGTAGGCGTAGCTTTAGCTTGACGTTCTGGTGAGAAGTGGTTTGGAGGGAACCTAGACACCCCGCTGCGCATTCGCGGAGCATCATCCAGTCCTTGACATATGTGTAGGACGCCTTGGTCCTAGTGGAAAGCTCAATCATCGTGTCAGGCTTGTGTGTTAGCCCTAGACCGAAAGAGTGAATCGAGACCCTGAACATATATGTTAGTAACTGCGCGCCTACACACACTCGGAAAGGCTTGGACTTACTTGGCTGCCTCGGCGCGGGATACGACAAAGTCAACGCTTTCCGTGTCCGAGGTAGACGAGTCGCTGATGAGCATAATCGATGAAAGAGGGTTGCTGGACTTGCGCTGCATGAGCAAGTCCATGGCTACGTTGGCACCATCCACCACATCGGCACGCAGGCTCTTCTGTCCAACCGGGCGAATGGAATCGAGCACCTTGGGCCAGTCTTTCCAAACTTTGCTTGTCATGCCAACAATGGGAACACCGCCACCGCTTGAGCCAAAGGTGACGAGGCCCATGCGGTCGCGCTCACCGAGGTTGTTGACCAAGAAACGCAAAGTATCGCGGAGCAAGTTAATCTTGAGGCCCTGCATGGATGACGAGACAGGAATGACTACAACAATATCGACAGGCACGTGCACCGATGCACCGAGGCGAGGCTCTGATGCGCCGGCACGTGAAGTGCTGTATTCTGTCTGTGCAGTCATGGTGGAACGCGCTGCGCCGTAGGACGAGTTGATGGACGAAACTCGTTGTGGGCGTCGGTAGTCATCCTCCTCAGCGCCCGAGTTGTCGTGATCGTACTCGGGCATGCGGTTGGCGACTGGAAAGTCGAGACGGATGTCTGTCAGGGCGCGTCGCCACAGCTCCAGCTGACCGGCGTCGTGGAATTGCAGATGGAAAGCAGGCAGCTCGGCGACGGACAGGCTGAGTGTCAGCGTCATGTTGTCGGGCGAGTGGTCCACCTGATTCAGATGCTTCTTGATCAGGATGGAGCCCTTGAGCGTGCACTTTGTCTTTCGGGGTGCCGACGAGCCATCCCAATGGTGCTGCGAGCTCTTCTTCTCCTTGACGCAGATGAGCATGTCGGAGAAGAGGTAGCATTCCAGCTCCTGCCACGACTGGCGGTCCTTGCCAACGCGGATGTGGGCGTGGAGTCGCAGCTTGCCGAAGCGGGAAAAGTCCAAGCCATGCCAATTGTCGACGCGGGCGTGGAGATCCTCGGTGATTTCGTCTAGTCCCTCGGCAGGCTCGTAGTGCGGGTCCGATGGTCGGTTGTGTACGGGCGACTTGCTGCGACCGTAGCTGCTCTCTGCAACACTAGCGACCGAGGGAAGGGCCGGAGCACTGCGCATGTCGTCTGGGTCCGGGCGCCACTTGCCCTCGACCACCTCGACCGTGACAAGGCACGTGAGGCTCTGCTGCTGGCGCGATCTGCTCAGGGTGGGAAACTCACTTCGCACCGTCACCGTGGGCGCGGGAATGGGGCTCTTGAGCAGGCCGCGAGGGCTGCTGAGGCTCGTCTCCATGGACTGCACATCGTAGTCGTGGCGGCGGCCGTCGTGCGTAGCGGCATAGTCGTTGGACGATGCAAGACCCGTGGCGCCGGAATCGCTGCGGCCATGGGCCCGAGAAATTGAGCCGCCCCTGTCGGATCCACGCTCGCGGCTGTGACTCCTGTCACGCTGACGGCTGTGCTGGTGGATGGACGAGTAAGGGGCCGAGGTGCTGCTGTTGGTGCGAGGACTGCCATGGGACGCGTCGTCGCGATGCCTATCCGACGAGACCGTCTGGCTGTCCCAAGGCGTGGGCGTGTTGTTGGCGGTTCGATGGCCATCGGAGTGCGAGTGGTGTGACTGTTGGGCCGGTTCGTTTTGGACCGACCGCACGAGTTTCTCTGTGCCGGCATCAGCATTGCGCGCAGCTTCTGGTGGTGGGGGCCTACCGAGATCCAGCACGTTTCCGCCTCTGCTAGTGTCGAGCGCTAGAGTGGCGTCGCACGTTGGGCAGTGCTGCGACTCAAACTCGCGAATGTACTCGTAGAAGCAGGCCTCGTGGGAGACATGGCCGCACGACAGCTGCAGGATGCGCTCGCCCCGCAATGTGTACTCCAGGTTCTCTTCGCACACGCAGCACTCGCTGCCAATAAAGGTCCTCTCTCGGCGGGTCCGGCTCTTTTCAATGTCCATGGTAGCGGCCATGCCTCTGGAGCGCGGCGGGGGCTGTGAGGAAAGACTGACGTCTGAGCGGTGGGAGTGTGAGGTGAAGTGCTTCGCAGCGTGGCCGCTGCGCGAGGAGGGGCGGAGTCCTAGGAAAGACATGAGCGTGCCTGAGGTTCCAGCGAGGTGGCAATGGTTTCGGGGGGGCGGCCGTACGGGCGGCGGAAGCTCCAGGCGGACGTTGAGGTCGACAGCCTGAGGTGGCCTGGTGGAGTTTTAATGGGGGTCGCTCAGCGGCCGGCAGTAGTCCAAGTTTGGGGGCAGCAGAGAGGGACCTGATGGAGGAGGTGGAGGCGTGATGAGAGAGGATGGCGGCGGCCAGACAAAGAGACGTCACGACGGTTCGACATGGAAGGACCGCGTCAAGCACGTTTCAGCATCGAGAGGGTGTACACGGAGGATCGTTGAAGAGTCGACGGGCTGGGTGGGACTTTAGGTCAGAGGGCTCCAGGAACCGGCAAGGTGTGTTGACCGGGGTGGTGCGCCCGACACGATTCGAGCCGTGGGACACGGACGTGCTTTTTGGGAGAGGGGGGAGGGGGAGGTGGAAGGTGGAGGAGGAGGAGGAGGGAGGGAGGGAGGGATGATGGAAGTGTGTGTGTGTGGGAGTGGGAGTGGGAGTGGGTGTGAGCGAGTGGACCAATGCAGCAGGTATGCATGCGATGCGATGCACCGAGCGGGCGAGCGGCGAGCGGCGGGCGATGGGGGGGGCGTGTGCCCTGGGGGAGCGGACGGACGAGAGTGAGGTGCTTTCGTTGGCACTAGGCCCGGTAGCAGAATAGTGTACGTCGTCGAGGTGCAGCAGTGGCAGCAGCAGCGACAGCAGCGAGCGGACAGTCAGTGTCGGGGTTCGCTGTGGCCACCCCGTTTGCCAGGGCGCCAGGCGGGCAGGGGGGGGGAGGGCAGGGCAGGGCAGGGCAGGGCAGGCAGGGCAAGGGAGGCGGGCAGGGAACATGGCCAAGGGCGGCCCAGGGAGCGCCGGGCAGGGCTGTCGCCGGCCGGGCAGGGCAAAGGGAGCAGCGCAGCAGGGCAGCGCAGCAGGGCGACGAGGGCCCAGCAGCGCCGACGCCTTGTCGCAGCCTCCTTCTTACGCTCCCACGCTCCCACGCTCCCACGCTCTCCCGTATGCTCGCTCTCCTACACGCTACCGCCGTCTCGCCGCCCGCATGCCAGAATGGCCGTCGCCGCCGTCTTCCTCTCGCGCGGCTCGTCCCCCTGCACGGGGAAAGGGACATGGCTGATGGCGTCGCCCGGGCCCTGGCGACGGCGTGCCGGCTCGCGTAGCGGACTGGCCAGCGTGGGCGTGCACAAGAGCAGTACAGTAGAGAGGATTGGCGGCGGCGGTTACAAAACAGCGGTACGGGCACTGGAGCGCTGCATCGGCCGGCGTGGGCCTGATTCAGCAGCCTGCGTGCCTGCGCCTGTGTGGTGCTGGCCCATGCCGGCGGGTCAGAGACCGTTCGCATTGCGCATCCTCAGCATGCTCGTGGCCCGTGGGCTGCCCGAAGCGAGCGGCCAGCTGCCACCCGCGAGCCCACAAAGGCCTGCCTGCCCGCTGCATTCCTGCCTGCCCGCCTGCCCGCCCGCCTGCCCGCCCGCCCGCCTGTCGGCCTGCCTGCCTGCCCGCCACTCTCCCTCGCCGCCAGCACACGACCAGCCAGAGTCTCACGGTAATTTCTCGCAGCTACTCCCTCCATCCACACCACACCTATAGTACCCATCCACACCCATACACCCACACCCACGCCCACAACACCACCGACAGGCTCGCCATGGCTCCGCCCGCCCTGCTCCCTATTCCCAGTGGCTGGCAACCACCGAACGCGCTAGAAGTGGAAGCCCTTGCACCTCTGCTACCCCATCGCCCCAACCGTCGCCGCCGACTCAGCTGCTCTGCCGCCATCGAGTCTGTCTCGCGGCCATCGCGCACGTCTTGGGACTAGCTGCTCGGTGGCGCCCACGCGCCGCTGCTTCCAGAAGCCTTCGACGGCCGCCTGAACACAAGCACCAAGGCCCAACCAGCGAATCATGTGACGGCCTGCCCCCTCCCCTTCCCCAACCTCGACTCTCGTCGCACACCACTGCCGCTGCCGCTGCCACTGCCACCGACCCATTGCCCTCTCTCCCCTCGAGCGCCGCCCCCGGAATCACCCTTCCGACGTCTGCTGCTCACGCTCCCTGCGAGTGCCATGACAGCGTCTAGTGCTCCCTCTGCCGTCTCTGCACCCCCTTCCTCCCAGCACATCAATCAAGCTCTGGCGGCCCCCTTTGATCTTCCGGCTCCATGCGGCTATTCGCACGGCACATGGCACGCACGTGGATTTGTGAGCATCATGACGGAAGCGCCAGACGCGGGATCGCCCAAGGACTCAACATCCTTCACAGTAACTCATCTCCGGATCGACATGACGGCAGACAGGCCCACGCCTGTCTACATGCCTACATGCGCGCACACATACACATACACAACCCCTCGGCCGGCTTCTTCCAAACTCTGCGCTGTGCATCACCATGCACACGACAGAGCCCGCACCTCTCGCTGCTAGCCCGCCTATCAAGCGCCCCCCGCCCACCAATTTCATTACGTGTGCTCTAATCACGCTTCCTCCTTCCAGGGCAGTGCATGCACTCTTCGATTCCCCACCGCCATGCCAATAAAAGAATCTTCATCGCCCTGCCTTTTTTTTTTTGCACCGGGACCGATGCCGATTCGCTTACTATAGCCCGTGGTCAAGCCCCCTTCACTTAGCGCTACCAAGCGCGCGGTAGGTTCAGAACTACCTTATGCACATGCAAGAGCAAACACACGCCCATGTTCTGCACACCAAACCATTGGCCATCTCTTACCTGTCGACGGCACAGTCGGCCCACCGCACAAACTTACAAACACTCTCCACCGTCCGTGTACGCGCATGTGCATAATGCCCTATTAGTGACGACGGTTTGATTCGCAATCGCTTTCTTCGCATCTTGCTCTCTGCCCACCCTCTTACCTCTCTACCATACATATGGTTGCTGAGTCGCTTTATCACCTGGCTAAAGCAGAGGCTACCAAGGACGTGGCGCTCGTTTTCACCACCATCGCGAGCCGAATCATCAGCTCGGTCCCTCTCGCCAGTGTCCATTGGTAAGACAGCACGTGCATGATTACCGCCCTGCCCATCGCTGCAGCAAAATGCTCATTCTCATGGCCAATCCAAAAAAAGATACACAGGTAGCATCATACCATTGAGGCTGACAAGAAGCCATCTTGCCAAGCCGGGGGAGGACCAGCGTACACCAAGCCACAAAGTCGTCTTAAGTAATGCATCTGCAGTCCCTTGGGTTCGCGTGTCTATCCTCTTCCGTCTGTCCGCTTGTGGTGTGGTTACTCTAGTCATTCGCCTACACAGTAGGCGTTTTCGCCATACTTACACTCTGTCGTGCATCGACGACATGATCATGGAAGCGCCACAGGTGCATTCTACGGCCACAGCGCCTCCACGTGGCTGCTTAGTTGACATCGGACGCGCTTGATGTCATCTGGCTACAGCATCAGTGCCAGAGTGCCTGAAAACCCACTTACTACTGTACCACTGCTAGTACTCTTCAACCTGACAGTGGCGGCCGATCGCAAAAGGGGCCGTGAGCGGCTATCGCAGCATCGGTATACCAATACAGCAGTGTTTGCGTCTTTGCCGCATACAATACCGGGCGCATTTCGGATCCTGCTTACATGTGACTCGTGTCATCTCCAACGCAAAGGCAGCATCCCTACCCGGCTGTTTGGCACTTCCCCGAATGATCGTCGGCTTTCGCCTTCAACCCCAACCTTTGTCCTTCGCTTACAGGAGCTTACTATACACCCTATCCCCTCGCCTCGAGATGATCCGTCTGACCTTGGTTGCTCGTCACCATGTGGGACCTGGAAGAGGTAGCGCTCCCCAAGACCCGACATGACTTTGCCATGTTTAGAAAACCGACTCCAGCACGCCAGTCCTGCAACACTGTCTCACTAGGCTGGCCCTGCATTGTTAGGTCGCCATCGGTCAAACCTGGAAAAGGACTCGCCTGGTACCGCGACGGAACACTAAGCTCATGACCGGAGTCTACTCCGCCCGCCACGTTTGACCAGAACTTTGCTGCCCAACCGTCTTGGGACACCAGTCCCCTCACCCATGGGCCCTATTCACACCCCTCAGGGTCGTGTTAATGTTTCACATGCGTCCCGGCCGATCAAGACTGCGGATAGAAAGATCCGTCAGCCAATGGCTGTACATTTGGGCGACATGTACAACCTGCCAAAGGCTCGAGCTCCGTAGCAACTAGTACTTTTCCATGGCGGCCGCATGCACGCTTCCACGACGAGGCAGCCACCGCGTGACCACATAGTACATACGCTTGTAGTTACAACGGCCCAACACATCCGACGGTGGCTGATTCACTAAGATACGAGCCGTGTTTGGTTTTCGGCAACAAACAGGTCGACGGGTATCAGCGTCCACTTGGGCCAGTGCATGGAAGTTTAATATCGAGCATAGCAAAGCTAAGTTTGACGCCTCCAACGGACATGGCCACTCCTCCAACGGACATGCGGCTCCGACAGATACTGCCAACTTGGCAGCGTCACTCACTCCCTTTCTCTGTATACTGTGTACTTCTGCTACGATCCCTACCCCTGTTTACCATCAATGCAATGTATGTACTAGGTTACATCCCCATCGTCGCCGGATGCGTGCTTTCGACCAAAACCACATTCCAGCCTTGGAGACATCAAGTCCCGCAGCAACGAGGCCATCCCTGCAACGATTACGTGGCGCAGTGGCCTCGTTGCGGTTGGTGCATACGATACACTCGTTCCCGGAGCTTGGGGAACAGCGTCTGAATCCCATCTCAAGCTGACAAAAGCTACGCAGCATGCGCTAATCGCTAGGGTCCAAATAATGTTTGAAAGACGTCGCCTATGCCACGTGCAATGGGACACTTACCCAGGCTCAAGTACCGGACCTTTTGCAGCCGTCATCCAATTACGAGCCCGATCTGCCCAACGTCCACTCGTGCACATCATCGACGATCATCCCAGGCCAGGCACCATCAACCGACACGACAGCACAACGCTACCAGACGGATGCACATTCGTATGCTCACGTGAGCTATCACTCCTTGTTCCCCGACTTGGCTGTCTCTGCGAGCTGTTTGCACCATGTCGCTTTTGTGCGTTTAAGAGAGAAGGCTTCACCTCACTTGAAACATGCAGCCTTCCCTACAGCAAATACCACTTTGGAATGCGGGAGAGAACACCAAAGACTTCATCAGACCACCCGTCCAGATTGTCACTGTTCCCTATAATGCCTCTAGGCAATGGCTTTCTCAATACTACCTTGTTATCGGAATGTGGTCCCCTCCTGCCGATCAACTCAACCTGTCACTTTTTGCGGTTCCCTCGATTCCGGTCAATGCATCTGGAGCCAACGCGTCTGTGGCCCTGCGGAAGCGCCTGAAAACGACACGGGCCCCTTGCAGAACTATTTGGGGAAGGTTGACCCTAGCCCCCCGCCGTTGGGCTTGCTTCTTCCAATATATCGACTTGACTCCATTCCATCGCTTCCGGACCATATTATTTGAAAAGAAGGGGAGAAACTGGATAACACTAACAGGTGACCAACAGCGAACAGTCTCTCCTGGGATCCAGACCACTGTTTCCAGATTGCCGGATCCTTGCATACACTAACCTGTACACTTGATAACTACCAACTGGTGTTTCACAATTCCTCTTCCTCCTCCCCTGACTCACTTGATCGAGCAGATGAAGCTAACTAGATGCGAATACAGTTTTTTGCATAGCCTTGTTTTTTTTTCTGACCCCAGCTCTCTGTATGTGCGCCAAGTCGAGTCCCCCGCAAAGGGCCACCAGGTACAAGTGGAGACACGGACCTATTGTCCGGTCAATGAATCCATGGCCCTCTTGGACGGGTCCGTCTCACAATCTCCAAGGGTTACTATAGACATGGGTCCTTCGGCATACCTAACATTCCCGACCTGACTGGCACCTATGTATCAGCTTTGGCCTTGTCATAGCCAGTCCACTAAACAGTGCGGGAAATTGCGTCACACATCCCTCGACAGCCGAACGTAGATAGCTAGACATGACGGGCGGATTGCTGGTTTCAACCGTCGAGGGGAAAAACAAGGTCCCAACAGCTTACGCTCCCCTTGAGGCGCAGAGCACAACGGCGCACCCAAGACCCTCATACCACTCGACGCGCCCTTGTCGATCGGCGTGGGCCAGAACGCAATGACAGGACAGAAACAGAGATGGAAAAAACTTCCGATGATCAGCGAATAGCGAGCGAATAAACAGACATTTCTCCCCCACAATGTTGCGAGTCTCCACTACCGACTGGGCGTATGACAGTTTGATAGTCTGACCGGTGTCTCCGTCCACCCGTCTCCCCGTCTCCCCGAGCACCACCCACCAAAACTGTCACCGCCAAGTAACCACCAGATAGCTTTTTTCTCTCTTTCCCTCTCTCTCTCTCTCTTTTCTGCCCGGACTTTCCGTAACAGGAATTGTAAGGAGCCGCGTCAGCGACCCTCTTTGCATCAAGTGTGGGGAAGGGGGAGAAGGAGGTAGCCTGAGGTGACCATTCGGGGAGCTTGGCGGGAGGTCCTTGCAACCGCGCGCGAGGAACCAATGTTTCGTGCAGCCTTGCTAGTCTTGTATACACACATATGGTATACATTTGCGATTGGAGAGCTGCAGATGATGAAGAGGGTGAGCATGGTGAAAGGAGAGCGAACGAAGGGCGCCGGACTGTGCCAGACTAAATTTGCATACACAAGGATCCCAGGTCAAGGCGACATGGGCGCGTTCCTCCGTTTGACCCGCTTGGTGCCGATACGAGGGAGGTGGGAGTGCAAGGGCAAGACAAGTGCAAGGGGCCATGTTCAGAAACTTGTCATGGGATGCTGGGGGGGGGCTCGCCATTTTTCCCACTATTGAACCCGCCCCCCGAAGCAACGGAACTTCGAAGCGGGAGCCAGTGTCGCTGACTAGTAGTCGCCGATAGTTGCCTCGTCCGGAGAGTCAAAATGTGAGAGTAAGAGTGAGAAAGTAAAGTGAAAAAAAATAGAGAGAGAGAGAGAGAGAGAGAGAGACCAGGAGAAAACGCAGATCAAGCGAGGAACAGAAGGGGAAAAAGAGGGAGAAGGAGAGGAGATGGTGAGATGGAGCACACACACACACACACTATTGAACCTGCAAACTCAATCTCAAAGAGAAACAAAAAAAAAGGTGAGACGACAATAAAGTTGATGCAAGGAACAGGAATTCTCTCCACTACCGGAGAGCTCTCTCTCTCTCTCTCTCTCTCTGTCTCTCTCTCTGCCCCCAGCCCCCAATGTCTAATAGACGAAAAAAAACCCCGATGGCTCTATGTACGTACGTACGTACAACCAAGGTGCGAGAGGAGAATGGTATGCGAGTACTGTATAGCCAAAACGGCCCAAGCGCAGAAGCAGTGGATACACATTGCTGTGCGCGCCCTGGTCATTGTCGTTGTCGGCGACGAAGATGACGAGACCAAAAACAGTAAGTAAGTAAGTAACCGACAAGAGCAATAAATAGCAAGACAAGCGCAATTGCATGTACGTACGTACGCAGGTACTTGGGCACACATCAGTTAGTCATTGCAACGGTGATGATGATCACACGAGGCCCGGGAATAAAATGGAACCCACATGTTGTTGTTCAGTCTCTTCTTACTAGATACTACTAAGACGTAGCGACGAGACTTGGTTGAATCAAGCAATGAGTGACTGTTTTGTCTGAATCATTCACCATCGCTCACCAAGTGCCGGGCGGGTCAGGTCAGCAGATCTCTCGTATATACATACGTATGTATGTAACATGCCAGATCTTTACTTGGCCTCCGCTGCTGCTGCTGCTGCCCCTCCTCCCTCCCTTCCTCCCCTCCCCTTATGCACCTATTGTGCACGACAACACTCGGACGCTTGCCAGCATTACCAAAAGCAGCAATCACAAAGACTTGATCGCGATGCGAGCGCTGCGAATCGTAATCACAAGACAAGATGATCGCAATACCACCCCCTTCCCCCTTCTTGTCAAAAGGAGCCCTCTGGATTCCCCCATTCAGCACGGAGGGCCTCGGGCCTGGGGGGGGGGACACCAATTCGTCCTGGGTAGGGGCGAAATGAGCAAAGTCCATGGGGGGACCCACCCGCTAGCCAATTAACCTACAGGCCAAGACAGTCCAAGCTTGGTCCGCTGCACTGCTGCACCGCCTCCGCGCCCTGCATGTCCCGCCCTGCCACCGCCACTGTCACCGCCACTGCCACCGCCACTGCCACTGCTGCCCATGTGCGCCTACAAACCCAGAGGCCATCTGTGGCTGAGCATCCTCAATCTCTCTTATCCTTTCTCTTCTTCCCCTTCTTCGCCCTCGACAGGGAAACTTTACCCTGCTTATACGACATGGCCCACTTTTCCCGACGAAAATCAATCAGCAAAAGGCACGTGAGAATAAATTGAGTAGGTTAGGTATGTGAGCCGTCTCTCAAACATGCTGGCAACAGAGCCAGCCGACTTGTCTTGCTAACAATCGAATCCGCCGTACAAAGACACGCGACGAAGCCCAAATTGTCCCATGCCTCGTCGCCATCAACCCCCCGGCCGTGTCTCACTCACTATCATGATGCATGTATTCGTTCAGCCCCAGAGACTGCAGATGCTTATTTCTGCATCATCAGTTGCACAAACTCGTTGTCTGCCTCGAGTCAGTTTTTGCACGCTACAGGCCGAAATTTTTGCGAGCACCCACAGTCAATGCGGCCGTCACCGTCCTGGTCGGCCTCCCGGATCATCTCGTCAACCTCGTCATCGGTCAGTTTCTCGCCAATAGAAGTCATGACGTGACGCAGCTCGGCAGCCGAGATGAAGCCGTTGTTGTCGCGGTCAAAGACCTTGAAAGCCTCCCGGATCTCCTCCTCAGAGTCGGTGTCCTTCATCTTGCGGGCCATCATGGTAAGGAACTCTGGCGGGCCACATCAGCGGGACTGTCACGGGGCCCAAGCGAGGAGGCCGTTTGACGCACCTGGGAAGTCAATGGTGCCGTTATTGTCGGCATCCACCTCGTTGATCATGTCCTGAAGCTCAGACTCGCTGGGGTTCTGGCCAAGCGAGCGCATGACGGTGCCGAGCTCCTTGGTGGTGATTTGACCTGTGGCGCGGCCTCGTCAGTCAAAGTGTCCTGTGTGGCGGTGTGCTGGCGGCGGCGCAGAGAGAGTACGAGCGCGAATGCGGCCAAGAGGGGTACTGACCATCGCCGTCCTTGTCCTGCAGAGATAGAAAGTGTTAGCACGCATCTTTGTCGCCGGCAAGACGAGGCTGTAGGCAGCCGCAGGGCAGGCAGAGCGGGGGGGGGGAAGGGGGGGAGGGGCAGCTACGTACGAAGAGGGAGAATGCCTCCTTGAACTCGGAGACTTGCTCCTCGGTAAGAGAATCGGCCTAGAGGGACCTGTCAGCGATGCGCGATGGTGGCTGGGGGGGTATGTGTGCATGTGGGCGTGGGCGGGCGGGCTGCTGTCGTGCTTGGGAGGAGGGCGGGGTATGTTTTGGCAGAGGGCGAGGGGGCGCGGGGCTACACACCATGGCTGCTGGGCGGGGAGGGTGGTGGTGCGAAGAGAGAGAGGAGGTTAGCAGGATTGGGCGGGTGGTATAAGGCGCTGGCGATATATAGCAGCAGACGCAGGTGCGGTGTGGAAGGAGTTCTAGTAGTGTTTGCGGCTGGAGAAGATGGGCTGGAGTGGAGCAGGACTGTCAGACGGGTGGCCCTAGTGCCGCCTTGCTGTTGGGAAGGGGCGTCTAGCGTGGCTGCATGCGGCAAAGCGGCTTCTGCTGCACCGCTGCCCGGCCACGGCCACCATTGCATGCGCCTCACTCACACCCACTCCAAACGCCCGCCCGCCGTCCTGGCCTCCTCTCCCCGAGCCCTACCATGACACAGCCCCGCTGAAGCTCGCCCAGCCCATCATGTGGCGCGACCGAACCAACCTGTACTGACCGCCGCCGCCCTGCCTTGTCCGCTGCTGCTGCTGACGTAGCCACCTAGCTTTATATCCTACCGCCAGTCCTACTCGCACCACCCCCAGAAGAAGACTCGCTATGGCGCCCCCGCCTCCAATGGCTTCGGCGACGCCAGGCGCATGTCCGAGGAGCGCCAGGGCCTCATGGCCAGCGCCGCCTTCGAGGACGACGGCGACGCTGTCATAGAGATGGACCTGCTGCCGCCGCGCTGGCTCGACGTGCAGGACGAGATCACCGAATACCTCGCCGAGATTGCCAAGCAGACGCGCAAGCTCGACCAGCTGCACCAGAAGCATGTGCTGCCGGGCTTTGACGACGAGGACGTCAAGAAGCGCGAGGAGCGCGAGATTGAGCAAATCACCCAGGCCATCACCCGCCTCTTCCAGAAGTGTCAGCAGGCCATCAAGCGCATAGAGATGATGGTCCGCGAGGCCAAGCAGCAGGGCAACATCCACCAGGGCGAGGAGGTCATGGCCCAGAATCTCAAAATCTCGCTTGCCTCCCGCGTCGGCGAAGTGAGCTCTATGTTTCGCAAAAAACAAGCCGCCTATTTAAAGAGTGAGACGGTTGCAATTGCATGTTTCGTGCCCTGCTAATGTCTTACCCCAGAACTCCGCGATCTCGGCGGCTTCGCCTCGCCCTTTCGCTCTGCCACGCCCGTACAGAACCCCTACAATGACCCTGCGCTGCAAGAATCCGATGCCGACCGCTCTTTTTCGCAGTCCACGTTGCTTCAAACGAAACAGCAGCGCATGCGCCACGACCCGAATGAGGCTTTGATAGCCCAGCGCGAGCGCGAGATTGAGGACATTGCTCAAGGCATCATCGAACTAGCAAACATCTTCCAGGAGCTCCAGACCATGGTCATTGACCAGGGCAGTATGCTGGACCGGATAGACTACAATGTGGAGAACATGACGAGAGACGTCAAAGAAGCAGACAAGGAGCTCAAGGTAGCTTCTGGATATCAGAGACGAACCGTCAAGCGGAAGATTATGTTGCTTCTTGCTATTCTCATTGCAGGTGTTTTTATATTGCTGTCGCTCAAGCTGAGCAGAAAAGGTGGAAACAACATACCCAAGGTTCCAGACGTCCCACCAGCAGCAGCAATAAGAACCAGGCGGCAGTCAACAACGATGCAAAAGAATCATGTTTGGCACAGGAGAAAACGACGGCTGTGGAAAGGGCCTATCGATGACCCTTTGATGTTATGAAGACATTTTTATGTAATTTTGATAGTTAATAGATAACGACTTCATACCTTTCTCACAATTACATCTACTAGGTACCAACTAAGTAAAGTCTGTGTTGATGTAATAGCATGTTGTGATGGTTCTCAGTGGAGTTAGCATATATAGAGCACAAAAGCCACCTTTGTGATTGATCGACCGCTTGTGATTTTATCCATAGGGCCAAGTTGAAAGTGAAATGAATTGACATAGCCCTAGAATGTTAAGTCTATACAAGTCCCCTCAGAAATATGGCAAGACTTCATGAGGAGATTGCTCACACAACTCCTAACAAAATACAATTTGATATTTCTGAAGAACAGCATAATATTTATACCACACCATGAAAATCATCAATATGCAAAGCCAATCTCTTCCTTATTCATGTCACGTCTGCCCCTGCAAACATATTGGACAACAATGGTATCCTGGCGCAGACAAGGTTCGTATCAGATTCCTGTTTGAACAGCCCTGTTTTCAAGTCCAGGGTAACTTGCATCTACTAATCTCTGAACCCAAAGGGTCTCTAAACCCTAGAGGGCCAGTGTGTTATAACCTTGAGCTTGCACGTCCTGAAACACGCGATACTGCATCAGTGATAAAACAGACGTCAGTAGCCATGGCTGGGTTAACATCCACCAATTGCATTCAGGACACCTCCTACTTTCATAATATACTATTTTTTTTATTCATAACACGCTAAAACTCCGCCAAGTTGTGTCTTTGTCGCATGAGAAGTGCAGATGTTCAAAAGTCAGGCTTGACTGTAATGTTGCTGAATAATCAAGGTAACGATCAAGAAACAGCAGTGTCAAACCAACACTGGTATCCAGCAGACTCAGAGCAGCAATACGACACTGTCTGTGACAAACTATCATAATTCTTAACTATTGTCAATAATCCTTGGACGTTGTCCACTCTTGGCACGAAACTGGCTACAGCAGACCAGCAGCATCCCCCTCACCAAGTCACAGAAGTGAGGCAACTCCAGGGATAGAGAAATTGAACCCGAAATAACTTCTGCAAACATGTTTTGCATAGGCCTTTTCTATCTCATCTCTCTTCAGGCTAAACTTATACCCAAGGAGAAGAACGATGGCATCAATGGCTCATCATGTCTACTCCAGTTCTAGCGTGAAGCATATTTCACCTCCCTATGCGGTATTGCATAAATGTTCCGAACATCTTGATGTCTTTTATGCGTGATTTCAATGTGCTGACGCAGCGGGTTTCACGGCGCAGTAGAGTACAAAGTAGAAGATGGCACCGTTTAGAATCACCTCTACAATAAAGAATATAGCATTATTATGGAAACCATTAGATATGCTGTAGATTTCTAACCTAAGATAGTTATTAAGAAGAGTGAAACCCTGCAAAAAGAGAGTTGAGACTACATAGTCTGACGTTTGGTAGAATTCTCGGCAGTACTCTTGACAGCCACCTCCGTACAGCGACATTATCCCTACATCGGGCCTATTTCAGCCTAGAGCTAATAAGTGTTTTCTTTCCACTCGATTAATATCTCACTAAGCGCAGCCCCTTATAGTATTGCCGGTTCTCATCATTTAAGATTAGGGATTAGACTCTAAAGGCAATAGCTTTTATGTCTCTACCTCGCTATTTCGCTCTATAAATAACGATATAGTAATCCTAATACAAGCAGGTTTGAGACTACTAAGCCCTTAATAGTATCTGTCTCTATAATGCGGTATCTATTTGTGTTCTTGATATGAAAATTGCTTATTACAGCAGCGGATAGTAAGAATATGTTACAAATATAACTAATAGGAGGTGCATTAGTAGATACGAGCTCCTTTGTAGTAATATCTGAATCTGTCGCCGATAAACCTGCTAAGTACACATGCTAAGAGACTCAGATGGTATAAGCGCTCACTGTTAGCCCCTATGTGTTCGCGAGCGCGATTTTGAAGCCATGCGACGATTAACGAAGCTATCAGTGCTAAGCACAGTCAAAGAGACTACAACCACTTGCGACTGTACATAGCAGATGTCTTTCCATGTTGGGGGTTGTTGTCCCTGTCATTCGTGCAATTACTCCTAGCGTGTGGCTGACTGTCATCACTCGGCTGGAATTGATATAGGCATCAACTGGACCGCGACGTCTGGCACGTTGCCATGACGTGAAGATCCCAATAAAAACCATGAACAATTGCTCACCTGGAGGCTGCGCTTGGTTAGCTTTGCAAGAATCATATGTCCGACAAATAGATAAATAGCCATATAGCGAGAGATGCGATCACTAATAGATTCAAGCCATTATTCTCTCTAGTACATCCCCTCACAGAACATACCTTACTCGTTCCTATAGTAATATCTGAGTCTGATCATCCCCTTACGATTTTCTTCGATTCCTCAGTATGCTGCGCCTACTCTTTGCAGCGTTTGTACTCGCTACTACAGCAAGTGCGTGTAGCTCATGGTGTCTCTGCAGTACAGGATGCAAGGTTGATGCCGGTCACAATATATGGCATCAGAAGGATTGTAATGCCATCTGTGATGACAGGGGCATTGCACCTGGTTGGTGCGACCCAGGCGCAACTTTTGTCAGCTATTGTTGAACGGTAAGTGATACATGCTAGATATCATGTTTTGAATTCAAGGCTAAGGTTTAGATATTATAATATTAAAAATAACAGGAAGGTTTCTGTCGTTGACAAGGCATGGAGGTTGAGGGCCAAGCACTGTCGACGTCTGGTTACCGATCCGTGGCAATCACGTGACTTGGCATTCCACCAAAGCTGACTATTTGGAGGGTAGTGTATGAAATGCTGATAGAGACTAGAGGTGGTAGATTTAAAGAATAGGTAGATATTATTATTCTTACAAGTGCTACTTGGTGCTCTACTACATTGTGAAAGCCACTGCATCAGCACGTCGAAATTACCCACAAAACAAATAGAATGTACAAGGGTGGCTGTCGGCGCAATCTATTTTGGGGTAGAGACCTAGGTGTATAGAATGACCAGAAGCATACTAGCAAGGCTGAATGGAATAATCAAATGAAGCGAACTGACAGCCAACCAAATACAGCGCCACGCAGCACGCCTCATGAGGTTGCAACATTCAGCCTCAGCCTTGTATGGAACCTTATTTTCAACTAGTTAAAGCAATCATTTCCCATACGTTTATTTGAGATCTTCAAAAGTACTCTCGCTCTGCTGCATCAAGCACAATTCTCAATGTCTGAGACTGTTACATTAAACGAAAGCCTCGCAACCATGTCAGCTACAGCACAGCTCGTCTTCGACTGGATAGCAGCGCATCCTATCCAGACATGTGTCTTCATGGCCAGCACTATCGTTCTCGTTAGGCCCCGTGTAGCTACTGTCCCCATCTTTGCTGCGATTGGATTGACTACCTTGGGCCCTGCTGGTGGTAAGCACTCGCTAGCCCGCCATCAAAACTTATTCTGACAGATCAGGATCGTTTGCCGCATGGGTCATGAGTTATTTTGGCTTTGTCCAAGCAGGCGGCTGGTACGCCGTGGCACAGAGTGCGGCCATGGGAGGCTACGGGGCTCCTGTCGCTTACGGGGTTGCACAAGCAGGCGCGTTGTTGAGTTCTGGGATTGCTTGGGCGCTAGGCAGAAATGACACGGCTACCTAAGAAGCCGTTGTACCAAGCCATGGCTTGGGGCTTGAGAAGATGTAATCCCGAGTTCATGTGACGACACGGAGTTGAGCTGATGCAGTATGGGCTGCGAATTGGAGGAGGCTAAATGCCTCAACCAGGTTGGTACCTCGGCCCGGTCGCTCTTTCACGCCAAGACGGCAGTGCCAACATGATCAAAGCCACAAGACGTTTTTCATCCACACGCATAGAACACACTGCATATGCCATAGGCAACAGTGGCTACAAACCCTTGGTAGGATAGAAGAAACGTGTCTTCCGCAGCGCTCTATATCTATCCACAGTCGCTAAACGACATCCGCAAAGTCTCATCCATGGATCCTCCAACACCGCCACCAGGGGATGCCAAGCCCCTCTTAGACTTCCAGAAGATAGGACACAACACCTATGTCTGGACCTCAGCCGCCTATCTTTCCAAATCACCACCAGAAACACCCCTCATACTTTTATTTTCCTGGAACGCCGCAGCCGCAAAGCACATTGCCAAATACACCATCGCATACCAAAGCCTCTTCCCCACATCCCGCATCGTACTAGTGCGATGCTTCACCGAGGATTTGTTCCGCACCAACGCTGCCTATGCACGCTTATTCAAGCCGGCCATGGATCTTGTGTCCTCGCACACGGAAAGCGGAGGCCAAGTGCTTGTCCATAGTTTCTCCAACGGCGGCGGGAACCAAGTTAATGAGTTTGCCAAGGCGTGGAAGAAGAAGTTTGGCGCAAAGATGCCGATGCGGGCGCAAATCCTCGACTCGAGCCCGACCAAAGGACCCTGGATGAAGAGCCACGCTGCCATTTCTGCGTCGCTGCCCAGGACATTGTTCTGGGCTTGGGTTGGTGGCGCGCTGGTGCACCTCTTTCTTGCGTGCACGTGGCTTGCTGATCTGATCCGGCGCAAGGAAAACACCATGGTAGTCCTCTGTCGGGAGTTGAACGACGAGACGGTGTATGACAATAGCGTACCAAGAGTGTATTTGTATAGTCGTGCGGATATGATGGTGGGATTTGAAGAAGCGGATGAGCATGCTGAAATCGCCATGTCCAAGGGATGGGACGTGACCAAAGTGCATTTTGAAAAGAGTGCGCACTGTGGACATATACGAGAAGATGCAAACAAGTATTGGGCTGCGGTCATGGAGGCCTGGAAGAAAGGACCCAGGGATGAATGAGCCGATCAATAGATAATTACATGTAATATAGCACCATCGGCAGAGTCATGGAGAGGGCAGCATATTGCGCTGCGGTACATGTATTGGGATTGAGGCTATCTAGAGTCGGGCTGCCACCAGCGATAGGTAGATATTCCACAGTAGACCACAGAAGCTCAGGAAGATGATGCGGCGCTCGACCGGGACAAGCGTTGTACTGAAGAAGTTGGCAATCGGCCAGACTTTGTATGAATCGAAGATGAGGCCGAAAAGCTCCTGCTCACATGTCAGTATGCGCGTTTGCAGTTTATCTTGGTTTTTTTTTAGAGTTCTTACATGGCGAAAGTCCTGGACGATCATTCCCATCGTCTTCCCCTTCATAATACCAATCAATATGAGGAACATGGACTGGTTCAGCAACGCGCCCATGGTGATACACTGCATCTGGTTAGCATGCCGCCATCTCGTAGCTATCGCGCTACCACTAGTATGTCATGGCCACTCACATCGGTAAACCACTTCTTGAAGATGTTCCACCAGTTTCTCACTCTCACCTCTTCCTCGACATATCCCCTGGCCTCTCCATCCTCCTTGAGCATTATGCCCTTTTCCTCTTCGCTCTCTCCAACAGGTCTCGTGTGCGTCGTGGTCGTCCACCCGGGGAATGCGCGTTCAAGCCAGTTCTGCCAATGGTAGTTTACCGGCGCGGTCAGGACGACCATGATGGCGAATTGCGTGAAGAGGACACGGTCGAAGACGAAGGGCTTGGATTCGTTCCATGCTTTGAGGCGTTGCGCAATGATGTTGCTGCAGGAATCTATGGCGAGCGCGGACAGACACGCCGTGGCAATCGGAGGGAGCTTCATGGTGGCGAGAGGACGTGGGCTCGACGGCTGGGAGACGGTGTAAGATGTATAGATAAGACGGCGCCGAGGTCTCAGGCCGCAAGGTGCCAGATGCTGGTATGCTCGGCGGCGCAAGGTAAACACGATAGTAGGCCGACGACGACCTTGAAAGCCTCTTCAGGACAGTTCGATTAGTAACAGGGCGTGTGGGGTGGAAGAGAATAAGGAAAGTGGGGGATATGGCATTGCGATCGTCTCCAGGTGCAGATGCGGATGCGCCGTCGCGCAGCGACTCCACATTTGTTGGTGTTCGCTATTGCGCGTCGACTCGGTGCATCTGCGGCCGAATCAGACGTCGCCCAGGAAGGATTACGACTGACTCGACCTCTATCTGCTACAGTAGTACCAACTTTGTGCCTTTGCTGATACACCTACAATTACCAAGAAATGGAATTATCATGCTGCTTCAGCGTGCCCTCGTCCATTCTTTCCATTTTTCTTTTCCAAAAGAAATCGAGTCGTGCATCACTAAGTAGTGGCCGGATATGCAATTCTCTAGAAGCGCCTCGAGACCGTCCTTCAGCCCACAGATTTCACAGTAGCCTTCCGCACCTTGACATACATGCAATAATATTTCTTTCCTTATGTTCCGACCTCCTGTTCTTTCTTACATTATTCGAACGACGCGTATCCAACCATTGCTTATTCACCAAGTGCCAACAAAGAACCTTGCATAGTTACCTGGTATGATTTCATGCACCAAGCAAAACCACCCTTCTTTTCATGTCCAGCAGGCTTTCTCACCCGTCATAGTCTCATCCAAGATCCTGTCAGTGCGTACTCGAAACTCACCTGGCCGAATACAAAGCTGGGTATAGGGTGCCAACCGAGTCCACACTAAGCCATCATCAGACGGCAGAAACGGCGGATTTCTTATATTCAACATCTTTCCGACAGGTGCGGATTGACGGGAACGAATTGAGCCGTAAAATTGAATCATGGGTGGTGGCGGGAGTCGGATGGGTCAGACCGAGCGATTCTTGGCTGTTGAGCAAGAACTTGGCATGCAGATGCTATTTGTGGCAGCATGGGGAACGTTGCCATGTGGTGTGTGACATTACTAATCATCCCAGTGCACCAAGAGATATATTCACCGAGTTTGTCTCCGAATCTATATGATCTGCCAAACTGCTATGCAATGAGATGGAATGACATGGTTGGTTAAGATACTGGACATGTACCCAATATATAGTCCGGCATTATCGGATGTGCATCTCTTCTGCTGAGCCAAAGCCTAGAGAATATCAAAATTCGGATTGCAAAATTTGGTACTTTGACATCCTCCTTCTCATGCATTGGAACTATATATATAAATCGATGCAGCAGAAAGCCTTTTCAGTATGGAGCGTTGGCGGAACAAGTCTTGAGCTTCGTGGGGGTCGTAATTTGCCTTTGCCCAAAAGACAACAAGAGGAGAGATGTCGAAACTTTCAACCCCAACGATTCCCCACTTTGCCAAAGCGGAATGGCTTGTGATCTGCCTACAGTGTTTCTACCTGACAGAAGCGGGGAACCAGCGTCTGTAGCCTTGCGGATGGCCCAGGCATCAAAGGCTAGTCACCGCTTTCATCCGGTAAACTCTTTCTCTCGTTGCCAACGGCCCGAGCCGCACATTTGCTGTAGACCTTGTGTACAAACTGCGGTCATTTCTATCAAGAATTCTATACAAACCTCCACAAAAGCCCAACATCATGATTGTTCCGTGGGCTTCCGCCGCCGTACTGAGGCTCAGGTACGATGATAGAGGGGTATCTAACTTGGCGTATTAATCCTAGCCAATATTGGCTAGCAGTGTATGTAGCACATGGTTGTGTATTAATAATGTATGTTGACGCTGGAACCTGAAGTCTGTCTGTTTTTATATCCCAGTGGTACCATGCATGGCTCTGTAGCACGGGTAAGCCTCACATACATGCAGCTCCCTCAACAACACATAGGGTTACAATGTCAAACCGAGCGGTATGGATCACAGAGGCCAAGGGCAAGCTTCAGATCAAGGAAGCTCCTATGCCAAAGGCGGGCAAAGGCGAGGTTGTGATTAAGAACCACGCCGTCGCGGTTAACCCTGTAGACTGTGGGTAGTTACGAGCGTAGGGTACAAGTCGCTTTGCTGACTGAAGTAGGGAAGGTCAAAGACTATGGCTTCGTCCTGCAAAAGTACCCCAATATCTGCGGCACAGATGTTGCAGGCGAGGTCTACGAAGTCGGTGAGGGCGTTACGCACGTGAAGAAGGGCGACCGTGTACTAGGGTCTGTCTCGTGTCGCCAATCTCTCAAAGAGTGCCATGTGCTAACACAGTGTATAGCTATGCGTTGTCTCTTCTCACCCATGATCCCGCTCATGGCGGCTTCCAGAACTACACGGTGTGTAACGCTCTCGTTGTTGCAAAGATACCTTCTACCATGACCTTTGCTTCAGCATCGGTGCTGCCAGTTGCAATTTCAACCGCATTAGCCTGTCTTTTCAAGAAAGAGGCGCTTGCGTTGCCTTTGCCATGTTCCAATCCTCCCTCAACCGGCAAGTCGGTGTTGGTCTGGGGTGGCTCAAGCAGTGTGGGTGCCGTTGCCATCCAGCTAGCTGTAGCGGCTGGTGTAAAGGTTGTCAGTGTGGCAAGCAAGCATAATCTAGAGAGCTTGAAGAGCCTAGGCGCCACAGCCGCTTTCGACTACAAGGACGCCAATGTCATTCATGACATCATCGATGCTCTCCAAGGTAGCGAATTCGCCGGTGTCTGTGACGCCATTGGTACCACTGCGTGGGTACCAGTGTACGAGAAGCTTGGTGGACGTTATGGTACGGTTGAGGTGGGCGTACAGGAGCTGCCAGAGGGTATCGAGGGTGGGAGTGTCTATTCGCCAAGTGTCGTGGGAGAAGGCAAGGACATTGGCGAGGCTGTGTGGGCTCGGTGGCTACCAGAGGCTTTGGAGAAGGGCACCTTGAAGGCTGTGCCAGAGCCGCTTGTCGTCGGAAAGGGACTTGAAGCTATCCCCAAGGGCTACGCCGAGCAGTGGAAGGGCGTCAGCTTCCGCAAGGTCGTGATTGAACTGTAGATGTTGCCAAGCGCAGCTTGACAGGTGTCATGGTGATACGTAATGATTGACCGAGTGCAGGTGCTTGTATCCGCGGGCAGCCCGTTCTCATGGCGACAAGTGGGCCCGGAGAAACGGTTTATCCGGACCCACTTTAAACTTTTAAGCTTCTGCGCCTCGTTCTTGAATCAACCTGCCGCCGCCTTTTGCTTTGCCTTTGCACCACAGTTTTGCTGCCACGCCCTGCAGCGCTGATCTCGTAAGTCTTACCTGTTCTTCCCTCCCAGCCCCTTTGCGCGCACCATGATGAAAAGCATTCCACATTCGCAGTTTCCACGCTAGCCATCGATTGAACCTACTTTAGATGGTCAATGAGCGCGAATACCTTCCTTGGATGTCTGATGCGCTTCACGCACCTCCAGCTTAGGCCTGACTGAAATTTACGAGCTACCGCTGACCCGTCAAAGTGTGTGTAGATGATGATGAGGCAAAGGCGTCACGCTAGACACGACAGAGAGGGCCGTAAGCTTACAAGCTTGCGTGTTCACGGTCTGACTGTATTCACGGCGTGGATGCTGGCAAATAGAGTTAAAGTTTTTTATTTCAATTCAATATCGAATTATTATCACCAAAGAAGAAACCCTCCCCCTTCACGTTGTCCGTTTCATTGCTCCTACATTGTACTGACTCTTGTGGCCATGATGATGATGATACTGCACACTGCGTATCTCGAAATGGTATAGAACCGGCCGCGCACTCTGGTATCGAAAGTTTAAAGCATGAAGAAAGTGAAGGCACCGGCGAGACCGGCGACGAAGGCGCTGCCGGCGAGTTGAGAGGCAGCACCAGTGGACTTGGGCAGCTGGGCGCCAGTACCGGAGGCCATGCTGGCGGACGGGCTGGCCTTGGTGCCGCTGCTCTGGGTCAGGTTGCCGCCAGTGCCAGCCTTGGATGCGGGTGAGACGTTGTCGGTAGCGGTCTGGGCGGCCTTCTTGAAAGCATCGATTGTCTTGTCACCGGTTTTCCTAGACGGGGCAGTCAGCACGGAAGAAGAGATGGGCAGCAGGGATGGGCATGACTTACGCCTGGTTGATGACACCAACCATGCCGCCTTGGCAATGCTTGCCTTGGCTGCAGTAGAACCAGATGGGCGCCGAAGCGTTCTTGACCTCGTACATGAAGACGGTGGAGGCGGCGGCAGAGGCGTCAGAGGTGGGGACGAAGCCCGAGTAGAAGCCACCGTCCATGGGCTGGCAGGGCTTGTCGAAGGTGGCCTGGACGACCGAGTGGTTCTTGGGCCAGAAGTGGAACGAGATCATGTCGCCCTGGGCGGCCTCGATGGTGTCGGGCTTGAAGATGATGTTGCCGTCCTTGTCACTGACGGAGACGGTGTGCTCGGCGGCCAGGACGGCGCCAGTCATGGCGGTGGCCGCGATGAGGGTAGAGAAGTGCATTACGGTTGGCTGTAGGGGGGACTGAGGCTAGCTCGGTTGGGTAATTAGGGAGATGGGAGAGTAGTGAGAAGTTGTGATGGTGGACCTGCCGAGAGAAATGCCCAGCTGAGCACTTTTGCGCGCATTATATAGCATATAAGTCGACGGCCGCTGGCGCTGAGCAGGCGGAAAGAGCGGCCTGGGTAAGGCATGGTATAACGACGACGAAACTCAGGCTGTCGCAAATGGGCCGTAAGCGCTTGACCGCTGCTGGCGAGAGGGTGAGAAACAGCGTGTGCTGGGCCGGCTGCTACTGGCCACGGGCGGGCGCCGGGCAGGCGCTTGGATTCAGCCACGCGGCGCTCCGACATGAGGCTTTTTCTGCCTGGGCGTGTGGCTGTGGCTGTTTGAGGGCCCCTGCGCGCGAGGCTGGAGAAGCTGTCGCTGTCGCACCTGTCGCGTTTCCTGCTCCGCCATGAAACCAGCCTGTCGACGCTCATGCAACACGCCGGGTTTGAGCCTCCTGGGCACAGGCGCCTCTGCTGCTCGAGCCCGCCTGCCATGGGCCTGACGTGCCCCCCGACACCCGTTGCGACAGCCGTTCAGTCTGCCGACGCCGCCGGCCGTGGGCGCACAGAGGACGACGACGCTCAGGACCCGACTGATAAGTAGCAAATAGCCGTTACGCCGCCGGCCAGCCAGCTAATCGGAGCCCGTACAAAAGCCGCTGCCACTCCTTTCCCAGAGCCACGGCTGTGCCCCCCCGACAGCGCTTCTCTTCTCTTGTCGTCTCGTCCCATGCTCACTCCGCCTTTGCGCGCCCCAACGAGGCCACACGCCGTCTCTGCTCGCCGCGTCGCGTCCTCTTGTCAGGCCGTGTCAGACAGCAGCACTGCTCAACAGACCACGACGGCGGCGGCGGCGGCGAAACGGCGACCATGACGGCGACCGGCCTTCTGAGAGGCCGAAGCCTTTTGCGCACGAGGGAAGGGGGGGTGGGAAAGCTAATATATACGTGGCTCCACCATCACGAAGAGACAAAGCTGCACGCATTCCATAAATACCGCCCGAGGTGCAGGCATTGGGTTGCGTCGGGGAGGCTCATCAGAAACATGCAGCAACCCAGGGCGGCGAGGTGGGCATTATTGTTATTATTACTGTCGCTATTCATCTAGTGGGAATGGCTACCAAGGCTACCGTTGCGAGCCCATCAGCCGTCCGCCCGCCGCAACAAGGACGCTGACACGCCATCTGACAGCAACTTCGTATGCAGGGCTGCTACTGCGTACTACTGGCACCTGCTATACCGTGTACGTAGTACCATGTGCTTACTTAACATGGCCCATGATGGCATTTCGTATTTTCGCTGCCCCACGCATCTGGCCCCATGGGATGCTGCTCTCACTCTGCCCTGCCCGGCTGTGGCCTTCCGAAGCTCAACGCCTATGCCCCTATTCGTCGACTGTCGCATAGGGTCGTATCTCTGCCAGATTGCTGGTGTCGTGAATGCGCCACGAGCGTTGGTGGGGTGCAGCATCGTTTTATTGATCGCTGTCCACGGTTGCCTGTTCGGGCGGCCAACAATGCAAGTGTCCGGTAGCCTCGGCCTTTATGCTCGCTTGTGCTGCTTTGCACCGCTTGGCCCAGCCATTCCCGCGACTAGTCTGCCAAAAATACACTTCCTCTCCGCATCCTCTCTCGTGTCCCGGCACGCTATGAGCTCATCCGATTGCTTGGCTCTCGACATACCGCCACCGCCTGACCACATGGACTCACGCTTGCAGTTAGCATCGTGAGAAATTCCAGCCTAGACCTCGTACGTTGCTGGCATCTTGCCCGTCACGCTCCTCGTACAGCCTAGCCGTGCCCCGGGAGCAGACTAGCAATGTAACTGCAGCATGACGGAAAGCTACGGACTGCAGAGTGGAGGCATCACGATAGCAATGTGTATAAAGCACCTTGCCGTCGCTGGCAGAGACTGGCTCTCATCACCATCCAGCTTTCCAACAATCTACTATCCATACAACCATCTACCTAATACCACCGCACCTTAATCCTCAATCTTAATCAACACCACCCAAAACAATCACCATGAAGTTCTCCGCTGCCGTCTCTGCTGCCGTTCTTGGCTTCGCCAGCATGGCCTCTGCCATCACTGGTGAGTAGTACCCCGAACAGTCTGCAGCTCTATATACTGACCTTGTCTAGTCAAGTACGACACTGGTTACGATGATGCCAGCCGCTCCATGAACGACGTCTCCTGCTCTGACGGACCCAACGGTCTTGTCGGCCGCTACCCTACCCAGGGCAAACTTCCTCTCTTCCCTAACGTCGGTGCCTACTCTGGCATTTCTGGCTGGGGCAGCGCCCAGTGCGGCACCTGCTGGAACCTCTCCTACAACGGCAATACCATCAAGGTCATGGCTATTGACCATGCCGGCGATGGCTTCGTCCTTTCCCTGGCTGCCATGAACACCCTCACCGGCAATCAGGCTACCTTTTGGGGCAGCATCGACGCTCAGTTCAGCGCCACTACTTGCTAGATGCTGGCTTTTACGACACGATCCAAAACAACAACACAAAAACGAGACGGCGAACTGGGTACGATGAAGGATATGCGATAATGTTTAGAAGAATTTTGGGCATTTACTAGATTATGCATAGCGCGTGCTTGATTGGCCTGTGGTGGGGCTTGTATATACACACTCCTTGGTACATATGTACATATAATACTATCCTTAATTAGTTTACATACCAACGGAATCGTCGATATGATTGGCGTGACATCATGTCCATGTGTATGCGGGTTCTTACCAAGCATCGCGCCAAGAGCTACCTTTCTGCCATTGATCACGTGTCTGTCAGCATCCATGTATCCATCAGTTTATGTGGTGTCACCAAAAGGCGGATTAAACCAATCATATCATCTCAACATGTCTGAATCTGGACTGAAGAGTATGTTGAAAAGAGACGTGATATTCTCACATCCGTCGCATCCGAGCGGAACATATACTCTCGATCCGAAAGGAAAGAATTATAGAAAAAAAATGCAATAGATACAAAAGAAACGACAAATAAAAAAGTAGGAGCTATAAAGTATATAATATTACGCATTCCATGACTAATACTTATACGCCACGCTCTCTCACTCTTAATCCATGATGAAAAAAAATATTCGCGCATGCAACAATATGTGGATGAAGAAACAAACAAACAAAGAAAGAAAGGAATCGAAAGAAGAAGAAAGAAAGTAAAAAAAAAAGTCGCAGAACAACGGATTCCACGGCGCATATTCCCCATTGGACCACAACGAATGCAAATCACACATGTACTTGATGGCGAAGCTTTGCCTTCCAAGGCGAACAAGCATGCACAAGCATTTTGGGGCCCGCGTCTTGGATGTACCTACCTGCAGATCCCCTTGTTTTTTTTTAAATAGGGTTTGCTTTCTCCTTGTTTCCCTGGTGCTAGCCGTGACTGGTTGGTTCAGGCCCAGGGACAATGGTTGGTTGGTTGGTTGGTTGGGTGGCTGGTTGAGTGGGAGTCTAATTATATCCATGCCATTGTCTAATTATATACCTCATACGACTAGAGTAGTATTTGTGTTAGTGTGCCCTAGTCAAAGTCAAGTCGGGTCGAGTGGGGATCAAGAGGGGAACATCAGAAGATCAGGACATGCACATCTCCGAGAGCAAAAGAGACATGATGATCGGGATACTATACAGATCGGGATTCTATACAGATATGCACCATGACTATACTAGTAGAAGCAGGGCATCTCGGCACATTGGACCGACCCCCCTCCTCCCTCCTCCCCCCATGTCTGCTCATACATACTTACATACACATATGCAGACATGCAACAAGGACCATGGCTATCAATGCGGGGTATCCCAAGGCAACAGACAGGGAATGGGCAAAGGACCTTGTTTCATTCTTTGCTTGTTCGGGCACGTCATCTAGCGTCATCTAGCGTCATCGGGTGCAACCATGGCCATTTGTGAGGCTGAACAGCAAACGCCCAGGGACGACGTGACGCATTTTGATTGATTCGTCAGGGTCCATCTATCTACTCCACCGCTTCCTTTCCGTCATCATTCACTACCCTCATCTAGGTAGCAAGGTATCTATCAAACAAACAACAAAAAACAAAATTCTTGGTATATTGCTAGTAAAACTTTTGAGTGCAAGAGGATTATGGGACCGCCTTTCATAAACCTCTAAGGGGCTACGTCCTGCATAGCAGATGACCTTGTGGTCATGGTCTATTAAAACAAAACCAAAAAAATAGAGCCCAAGTGGACAAACACAAAAACGAATCGTAGTAGGTTAAGGGGGGGCCTAGGCCTTGCGAGGTGATGAGGCAAGTAATCGACCGAGGCTGCCGCTGGCGACGGAAGGCTCGGGGACGGGTGACTTTGCGTAGACGATTTCCCCCTCGATGGTGCTTATCGAGGTCCTTGATACGGCCGGCGACTTGTGCGAGTAGGACTTGGGAGACTTGGGACTCGAAGGGGCGGTGACGGGCATGACCAGGTCGATTGACTTTGCAGCACCATAGGATCCATTGCCCGAGGGCTTGGTCCTGGGGGGAAGAGGGCGCGTGGTGGCGGGCGTATATGGCAGCGAGTAGCTTACGGATGAAGCCGGCGTGTGAGACAACGAAGGAGCGGCGCTAAGGCTGAATTGCGAGGTGGATGCACGGCTGTAACGGGGTCGGTAGGGGCGGGCAGTGTCAGGGAGGTAGGCAGGGGTGAAGTGGAGTTTGCGCAGGTACTTTGAGGCATCCGAGTGATGGCGCTCGTCCGTGTTGTCGTCGGACGAGATGTCGGAGAAGGTGCATGACGAGCGTTTGGAGTCGGACTGGGTAGGCGAGCGCTGGGGGACAATGTCGCGGAAGACCAGGTCGTCAAAGGAGCAGGCGGCAAAGGGCGTCGTGGGGGGCGAGTAGTGGTCGTAGTAGTAGTAGTCGAGCGTCTTCTCCGAGTCCTTCTTCTTGCAGCTGCGTATGCACGTTAGCGGGTGGTCTGTGCGCGCAATGGGGGCTGGCGGTGGAGCAGCGCGAGGGTTTGCCCTTACCTTTCGGAGCAGTAGAGCACCGAGTTACTGGGAACCACAATTTGCTTCTCGCAAACGGTGCTGCGTGGCGGCGTCAGCGTCAGCGTCGAGGGTGTGGGTGTGTGGGCGAGCAGACATACCAGTAGTTCAGGAAGCTCACGGCCATCGAGTCTTCGTCGTCGTCGACAATGTCGGCCTCTTTGCAGGGAGTGGCTTTGAGAGGGGCCGCCTTGGAGCCGTGGGATTGCGTGCGCTTTGACAGAGGCCGGGCGGGCCGTGCGTGCGCTGGCAGCGACTTCTTGGACTGATGGGACAGGTGACGAACGTGATGCGTGGCCATGATGGACGTGGGAGAAGTTTAAAAGGCTAGAGGCCTGGGGTGGGAATCTGGCGCACGGAGCGCGTTATTTTTACAGGCTGGTGAAAAGCCAAGCGAAGGAGCGGTGACACAGGCACAGGCCGCCGCGTTTCCCAGCTGGCTGATATGACGGAAGGTTCGTGCGTGGCTTTGTTTAGCAGAACCCCTTATCGCCCGTTGCACTGCCATCGACTTAGCCCAGGAACACCTATCGACGCTACCACGCCCGCCAGCCCACCGTCGAGTGTGCCCAGAACCGCTGTCGCCGCCGCCGCTGCTGACGAGACGGCGCGCGCGCAGCCGTGGCCGTGACAGCGAAGAGCAGCAAAAGAAAGCAGCCAGGCAGGCCGGCCCAAAGGCAGCAAAAAAGCAAGGAAAAACACCCGGCGTGTATGGGCGGCAATAGGGCAGCAAACTTACACGCAAACAGATAAGGGAAATGGGACTGGCGATGGTGCCGACGCGCGATCTGCGGGCAGGGCTGCAACACGGGAAGGGGGGGTCGATGACGGGGCGACGGGGCGGCGGGGTGAAGGGGGTGAAACGGCTGCGAGGGAGAGCCGACTGTTTCCAGAGGGCCAGCGGCTTTTGGCGGCAGAGGACAGAGGACAGAGCTGGTGATAACGAGGCGTCGTCGAGCAACGGCCAGCTGGGCGGGTGCGGTCAATAAGTAATTACGGGCACGGCGCCTGTGCAAACCGGAGCGCCGTTCTAGAACGCAGCGGGTTGACGACGACTGCGGCCCTAGTGGTGCCGTTGCGATAATGCGCTGCTTGTGCTTGGGGGGGGGGGCGTGTGGGGAATGATTCGTGACGGCCATCACTACCACCACCGCCGCCGCTGCAGCCTGCAACCCCCACCCCACCACGCCCACTCACTCACCCACCCACCTGCGCCGTATGTATACACCTCCCTATAGTGCCTCCCATACTGCCATTGCCGTCGCGCTTCCACTGCTCGGTGCATCCCATCGCCCTCCATCCACCCATCCACCCATCCACCCATCCATCTCCATCCCGCCGGCCCGACACTCGCGATGCGCACGCCCGGCGGGTTAGCAAGGTGCACGTTGTTGCGGACTCCGGTACCACTGGCCCCCCCTTGGACTAGGTGTACATACATCCCACATACACACATCCTCCTAGGCACAGTAATGTACGCACCGCACCGCACCACACCGCACCAACTGTCCACCCGGGTGCCCATCGGTGCCGCTTCCAGCCAGTTCCGGTGTGGTCCCCCAGATTGCGCGCTCGCTCAACACAATGAAGCCATATTGCGAATCTCTCTCACCCACTGCCCCATGCGGCAATCCGGTGCTTTCCTGACCCCTCCCGAGGCCATGGCGTCACTGCTCCAGCGTCGGCACAATCGCAATCACCACTTCACGCCTATCGGCGTCCGAACCCGCCACGCGCCCCCCGCCTACCCTGCCTATACCTCGCACGTCTGAGGCAGCGACTTGTGTGTGCGCGAGCGCCTTCTGCACGCTGCATGGCGTGCGGCGGGTCCTCTTGCTCTTCTACTCGCGCATCGCTGCCCTAGCGCCCGCGCTGCAAAGGCCCGACCGACAACTTATTATTCGCTTTCGCCATCAGACTACTCGCCGTCCCAAGTTTTGCGTGAATCATCAAATTCTTCGTCGCCCACCGTCTCAGTCCTAAACCCTGCCTGCCCATGTCTGCCACCCCACAGCCCTCCAAGTGCGAGCGTCCAATCCGCAGTCTAGACTACACGCGTCGGCTGAAGACTTTTTTCTCCTGCACCTCGTCTCAAACACCAAACGGGTCATCCGCAGCCTGGCCTCTCGTGATACACCACATCTGGATCGGCGTCGATGTTGGGTAAAACGGGCCTTCCTGGTCATCCTCAGGCACAAGCGGGCAATCAATCGGCTCCAAGCTGAACCTGTTTCGCTCTACCCCACAAAAGTCAGCCGCATTCCATCCAATGTCCACACGCTGCCAGCACACCACCACCGCCAGAGCCGAGAGACCCACTACACGCGTCGAGGAAAGTCTCGAACGTCTGCTCATTGCGAATCGTCGCAGAGACCAAGGCCCGGAGCCTTCTGTTGAGCGCAAACAAGGCTCGCAGCGTCGAGACCAGCCGTGGAATGACGGCACTGTCGTAGGTCTGCAGCTTGGTCAAACCCACTTCTCTGTAACAAGACCGTCATGCCAGCTTACAACATCCGCTCCCAGCACAGTGTCGGGCACGTCCATGCCATAGTCCTCAGCAAAACTGGTTGCGTTGACTGGATAGCCCCACTTGAGTGCTGCTGTACGCACTTGACAGCCTGAGTCGTCATTCACATCAAGCCCGTTCAGGAAAAGGTTGGTTTTGATGGCATCGACTACCGCCTCGTCGCCATCCGTGGCAACAACGCCAGCCACACCTAGATGCTTTGCGCACAGTATCGACAGCATGCCCGTCCCCGCGCCAAGTTCAAATAACCTTTTTTGATTCACATACCCCCGGCCACCCGCGGATGCAAGGTAGGATCCGAGTAGTAAAGCGGCTTCCCAAGTTCTCAGGCCAGTCGTTCCGGACGAGGAGATGACGGAACGGGCCTCCAATAGTGTTACCGTACGCTCACCGGAAACGCTGGCGCCAGTCGGCTGCTGCGGGAACGAGTACGTCACCAATGCCTTTTGCTGTGCTGCGCTGGTTTCAGACGGTAGGTTAGTAGTGAGTAGCCTAGTCATCGCCTCCATAATATCATCCGAAATTTCCTGTGACAAGAGAGGGGCACAAAGTCAGCACAGGCTGGCATGCGTTGCGTCCTATACAAGGAACATGTTCCGGTGTGGCACCCGGCTGAACACGGCCACGCCAGAGACTGCAAAACGACGAGATTGGAGACCATACATCCTCTTCAGGGTCTGTTATGGACCGCTCCAGTCTTGCGACAAGTTCCTTGAGGAACCTCAGCTGATAGCCCACGGGTGGTGGGGAAGAAATGGTGGATGCGTCGAGCAGGTGAGTAAATAGCCACGTCTGCACCTGGGGCCTTTTCAATATTGCCTCGTCCGGCCATCTCAGCTGCTGCGGCTCGACTAGCTGGAAATACTGGCGCTGCAGTATGCGCAACTGCGACAGCTGCCCGGGGGTTTCCATAGCGGAGGAGGCTGCGATGATAGTCCCAGTAGTCTCGATAATTCAAACTTCGTCCAGCGCTCTCGCGAGAGATAAAAACACCCAAAAAAAGTTACAGGTGCAAAGACGTCGCGAGGCGTTGGCTGAAGACTGGTGTTCCTGCTTTCCAGCTTACCTAATTGTGCAGCGGGGCGCCTTGGCAGTCTAAGCGAGACAGGCGCACCGCCGACCGCCGACACGACGCACCGCAAATTCGACATCTCCATCCCGCCGCCAGCTAACCACAGCGAATCGACAAACAGCAGGATCGATCTCTGTCCAGTACGTCCATTTCGCTCCTCTGCCCGTCCCCTTGCCATTGTGAGCGACGTCTAACCGCCGTTGCTGCAGGCCCAAATTATCCATCATGGCCGACTCTCAAGTTACTCTGCGCACGCGCAAGTTCATCCGCAACCCTCTTCTCGGACGCCGTCAGATGGTCGTGTAAGTGCAAGGAGCCGAAAATACTGGGCAAGCGTCATTGCGGAAAGAGGATCTCTGTGTCTGACGGGAATTGTGTGTAGCGACGTCCTCCACCCCAACCGCGCGAACGTTTCCAAGGACGAGCTCCGTGGCAAGCTTGGTGAGCTGTACAAGGCCAAGAAGGAGGATGTCTCCGTCTTTGGTTTCAAGACACACTTTGGTGGCGGCAAGAGCACCGGCTTTGCTCTCATTTACGACAGTGCCGAGGCCATGAAGAAGTTCGAGCCTCGCTACAGGCTAGTACGATATGGCATGGCCACCAAGGTCGAGAAGGCCAGCAGGCAGCAGCGTACGTTCCCCCCGCTGGTCCTATATCTACTTGTCGATCTACTTGTTGTGGATCACAGCAATGGGCTGTATACATGGTTCAAGAGTAGAGAGATATATGAAAAAAAGGGGAGAGGCAAGAGAACATGCATACTGACTAGGGCAAACAGGCAAGCAACGCAAGAACAGGATGAAGGCATTCCGAGGCACAGCCAAGGCCAAGGGTGGTGCGAAGAAGGAGAAGAAATAAGCGGGTGCACTCTGATGATGGCTACGAAGGTCATGGCTGGGGTCGAGTGGCGGTTTCCTTGGGACTACTGTTCCGACTGCTTCTTCATCATGGTGGATTAGGGAGTTGCTTCTGCGGGCAATCGGCGTGTTTATCTGCCATTGCCTGAAAAAAACTCTTGCGGATGGACACGACAAGACGGATGGCGTTTGAGATCAATTGTCTGCTAACCATCAATGCATATCATGGACTTTACGATCCTCCAAGTCATTTGCCGCTTGGCCCCATTATTTCTTTCACACATTTGTTCTCAGGCATAGGCTTGCAGTGGCTCACGTTGCACCTTGTTCAGGGCCCATGTACAGGATGATTGGTCGTGGTGTTGGTGTATTACATACCAACACTTGGTGATTACTATTCATGGCATGCAGTTGGTGCCGTTAATGTTACACGTCTATATGCAAGGCTACGAATGGAGAGTGGGAGCCGTGTGTTTCTTTGGCTACTGGCCTACCCCCGTCTCAAGCTTGACGGGTGCAGGAGTGTGATGTGGTGCAGCACCGGTCTTGGCCTCTGTTTGTGGCTGACCCAGCACACTCTGTGTGCGCCCTTGTGTCTGCTCGCCTGCAGGCGTAGGCGTGGGCGTAGGCGGAGGATGCGGCGCGCTCTTCTTGACCGTCCTCGGACTCGACATTTCCCAGAACCGCCTGGGCACGTTCTTGGCCGGCGGCATGCCCAAGAAGCCTTTGCCGCCCATGGTTTCCAGCGGCTTGGCTCGCCCGCCCACATAGCAGCCCAGATTGCCGCTCCAGATGAAGCCGCCGCCCACGACGCCTCGGAGCACGCCAAACGCACGCGCATCGCGGTACGCAATCCCCGTCTCTGGATCGCGGTACCGGGCAATGGTATTGGTAATGGGGCATAGCTTCTGTCCTGGCTTGAGCACCACCTCGGCGTCAGCCTTGTGGGCAGCATTCTTCCGGGGCGGCTTGGGAGGCGCAATGAGCGTCTGCTGAATGTAGCTGGTGGCTTCTGCAGGCGTCCAGTTGAAGAGTGCCGTGTACAGCTGCACCAGTGCCGACCTGTCCTTTTCCTTGAGGAGCGAAGCACTGGTTCTGGCTCGAGAAGATGTTGGTACTGGCACCTCAAGATGGGGGAAATTAGAGAGGATAAGCAGGTTCCGCAGGGCTCGGCGGATGATTTTGCGGCGCGGCGGTGCAGGAGGCTCGGCTGGTTTTTGGAGTTGAGCAAGCATGGCTTCGGGGCCAATGGCAGGGTTATCACTGCTTGGTGGCATGGAAGGGCCGTTGAGCAATGGGTGTGCTGTTTGTGAGAATGTGGATGGTGAGGTTGCGTATTGCTGCTGAAACGGAGAGGCCTGTGTGAAGGGGTTTGGAGGGAGGTCGCCAGACACCGACTGGGACCGTTGCTCTTGGGCATATTGGTCGATGCCAAAGAGGAAGGAATCTTGGCTTGGCGGTGCAAACATGACACTGCTTGGCATTGCCATGCCGTGCGAGCCCATGAATACATCTCCGCCTTGGGATGCTGCTGCTGTCCACGGCATATGTGCCGAATCTGATTGCGGTTGTAGGGTCGTGGGTATGGGAGGTGTGTGTGAGGCGCGCATTGGGGGCGGGGCGGGGGCCGGTTGACTGTCGTCGACATGGCTTTCGGGTGGTGGTGCGGAGTTTGCGTGTTCTGCTTCTGACTCTGGCTGAGCAGTGGGTGCATCGGCGTCGACCGCATCCCTGTTGAGTTTTTCCTCGAGCTGCTCGGGCGTCGGTGCATCTTTGCCCGTATACTTGAGTTTGTCATCGACCCATATGCCTGGGCCACTGTAGTAGCGGTAAAAGGGCCCGTCAATCTGGCGGTTCTTCAGGGCGTCTATCTTGGCCTGCCTCTCGGCTGCGCGTGCCTCCTCGGCCTCCTCCCACCTGTGCAGCGTCTTCTTGTTGATGCGCTCGTTGCGGGCGGCTTCGGCCAGCCGTTCAGCCTGGGTCAAGGGCTGCTCCTTGGACTTTAGTTTCCGGGCCTCTGCAGCCTTCATCATTGCCAGGGTGTCGTCGCGCCGGCGGTCCTTCTCCTTGAGCTTGGCCATTGTAGCGTCCTTGTTGGCAATTGTCTGCTTCCGGTTGGACATACGGACGGGCCCGTCCTCGTCGGTGGGCAGCCATGATGCGCGCTCTGACTTCTTCTTGGGCCGCGGGGGAGCATGTGTAGGAGAGTGGGTGCGGGGCACATGCAGCTTGACTTTCTTGCGCGCCGCAGCGACGGCTCTCGCCGCAAAGGGATTCGTGGCGGCCTTGCGCTTTTTGCTCCGGTCGTGGCGCTCGGCTCTGCGCAGCTCCCTCTCGCCGGCATCGTCGTCGTCGTCGGCGGCCTGGTCTTCGTCTTCGGACGAGGACGAGTCGAGGTTGTAGTCGTCGTCGTCGTCGGGCTGGTCGCCGTGGAACTCCTCTTCGTCGGGGGCCTCGTCCCACGCGTCTCCCCACGCCTCGTCCTCGACCGACTGGGCCAGCAGCGTGGACATGCGGTTGCCGGCGTTGGGGCGGCGGGCGCGCGACGTGACCATGAGCTCGGCGGGGGCATCGTCGTCGGTCTCAGTGTCGTCGGGCGACTCCGGGCCGTGGGCAGGCTGGGGCGCGGCGTGGTGCATGGCGGCATGGGGCGTGGAGTGCGACATGGCGGGCGGCGGTGGTGGAGGCAGCAGAGGGGTTCGAGAAGGGTTCCATGGACAGCGGGTTATGCGCAGCGGGCGAATTGTTTCAAGGACGGGCAGCAAACAGGCGCGGAGAAGAAGGACGAGGGCGCACGCGCCCGCGGATGACGCGACGGGCGATTCGGCGTCGCCGCCAAGTCAGCGGGCGGATGCTTGGCCTGTCTACCTGGAGCGCATGCGCGGTGCACTGCCGTCTAGGTGTAGCAGTCTGACACGCGCTGCTGCTGCTGCTGCTGCTGCTGCCCCCGACTCGCCCCCAGCGACAGTGTGCGAGGACATACATATGTCGCCTGCTGCTTGGCTGCGCGCTAGCTGCACGTTAATTTCGCTGCGCTCGCCGCCTGGCGACGTCGATGGCACCACAGCACAATGGCTGCGCAGTGCCGCCGGCTCGTGGGGTCGCTGGCAAAGTTTCATCGCCCGCCCGCCCGCCAATCAGCGCGCGCCTGCGCCCAGCGGCACTCGAGTGTCCACGTCAGATGGCCGACTGACGGGCTTTGTCGACGCGCCTCTGTGTTTCAGACGTTGCGGGCATGCGTTGCGCCCTTCCGCGGCCTCCCTCTACTGGGCCACCGCATTGCTGCCAGATAGAGAGCCCCTGAAATCCGTACAAAAAGCAATGCGCGGCGGCCGTCTCGCCAGTGGCAGCCATAGCAGCAGTGGCAGCATTCCTCCCCCCCCTCAAGCCACGGCATCCGCAGCGGCCTCGAGACCAACAGTAGCAGAACCAGCAATACCACTGCCATTGCCACTACCACTACCACTACCACTACCACGACTGCTATTACAACTGCAACCACCACCACCACCACCACGCCAGCCCCAAAACACCTCCGCCCGCCGTCGAGCGCCCACGTCGTGCTCGCCAACCTGTAACGTGCTTGCTCTGGCAGCCTTGGCCCAATCCGGCTAGCTCCCTCGTGTTCCTGGTCGGGCTCCCCATTTCTATCAAGCGAAACCTCACCCAGCCCTCGCACCGCGCATGATAGCACTGCTCATCGCTCCCTCCCCTCCTCCTCCTCCCACCTCCCACCTCCCGCCCCTCCCTCTCCTCGTCTCTCTGCCTGCACCCGCTCCCACCGCCGCATCGGCCCCTCTCTATGAGCTCGAATGCTTAATCGGCCTTCTGCTTAATCCCTATTACTTCTGTTCTCCAGCCACTCCGGTGATCTGTCTATTCCGCCCGCCGCCCGTACAGTTCGACGCCCCATAATCCACAGAGCCCGCCGCCCACCCGCCATCGTCAGTCGATTGCGCACCTGCCGCCCCTCTCCGTCGCTCCTTCCCGGCCCCCATCGTTTTCGTCGACGGCTCGACTGCCGCTTCCACGCACACGACTGCACCGCTGCTGCTGCTGTTGCTCTTCGGCACCACCTGCCTGCGCCTGCGCCTGCACCTGCGCCCTCGCCCGCCCAGTTTCAGCCTGCAACTCTGTCCGTCTTGCCAGCTCCATCCTCCGCTGCAACGTCGCCTCAAGCCGGCCCATACTCGGCTCCCAATTAAGGCCCAGCGAGTCCCTCTTCTGCTGCTCCCCGACAATCGCGCATCATCCGGACTGGATCCAACCGCCGCCGCCCTCCGTCGTCGTCGTTGCCTCACATTCCTTTGGCCGGCACCAACCCGCGTATTTTTTCACCCCAACTACCCTGGCTTCCGGTAACCGAGTCAGCACGACCGTCTTTGCCGTATTAGACTATCGCCGTTACAATCCGGGTCTGTAATCCATAATGGCTCCCCCCTCCAACCGCCCCGACCACCACATCAACCTCAACTACATCCCCCAGCTGCCCCAGCCCCCGCACTCGGGCTCCTCGTCGACTGGCAACACGTCGCCCGTCGAGCCGCCCAACAGCGGCTCCCTCCGCTTCTCGGGAAACACGTCGAACCCGCTCGGCGCCGCTGCCGCCAGCACCAGGCTGGGTGCTGGCTCCCCATCGCATGAATATGGCGGTAGACTATTTTCCAAACGGTTTGTCGCACCCTGAGACAAGGCACGACTCGAACTAACACATGCCACAGTGCACGCGAAATCCAAGCACAGGAAGGCTTGAACCCACAGATGTGGGGCCCTCCTACTAGTGGTAACTCGACGCCATTGCGCGAGACGATTCCAGAGTCTCCCAACAGCGAGAGCCTGAGCTTCCCCGATTTCAACAACACCGTGCCCGACACCGCTTCAGCTGCGCCGTCTTCGGGTCGTCGTGCCCGCGCCGGTACCCTTCCCTCGCGCTTCTCTCCATCCGCTGCTCCGCCGGGACTCATGTCTGCCTCTTCGCTTCTCCCAAAGAGCTCGCGACCAACGCCTTCCACAAGTCCCTTCAAGCCGGGTCCAGGTACACCAACCGACACTTCAAGCTTCAGCGCTCTTGGGTCTACCAACGCTGCCGCCAAGTCGGCACTGCTCTCGCGCCTTCGTGCGGGCTCAATGCCTCAACGACCAGGCTACCTCCCACCCTCGACCTCGCCTTTCGGCAACCCCATCTTTTCCAATGGGTGGTCAAACAGCCGTGACCGCAGCAGCACCCTCCAAAGCATTGCCTCGGTGCCCTCGAATGGACCGGGCTCGCCGAGATCCTCATTTTCTCGTGATTCACTTGCCGATACGGACGTCAAGACGCTTGACTACCTCGGCTTGGTCGATACGCCTCAGCCCGCCCGGGCTACCCTGGCTCCGTCAGACATTGAGCTCCTACTGGAAAGCCAGCGCAATGCAAACAGCCAGAGTTCCAACAGCGCCAATCGCTTCCGTTCGTACTCGGTCAATGCAAAGGAAAAGTATGCCGAGGACGAGGAGGATCAGTATGCCGCCTACAGTGGTGCCATGACGCCTGCTGAAGCAAATGCACTGCTGATCCACGAAGCTGTCCGCCAGCACAACCTCGAAGTTCAGGCGTTTGCCAATATTGCTTCCAACGCACGCCCCAGAGCCCGAACTGCTGGTGTGCTTGATGCTCCCTCGCGAGGCGGAATGCGCCCCTATCTGCCTGCCATGGGACGCTTCGACAATGGTATGGGATCTGGTGACATGACAGAAGATGCCGAGTACAACCTCACGGAGGCTGTCAAGAAGCTCCACTTGCCTGGCTCCAACTTGGGAGACGACGGAACTTTGGAGGGTCCTACTCGTTCGTTGTGGCTTGGCAACATCCCCTCTTCCACCACTGTTTCGTCGCTTCAGGTCATCTTTGCTCAGTATGGCAACATTGAGTCTACACGTGTTCTTACCCACAAGAACTGTGGTTTCGTTAACTACGAAAATCTCGAGAGTGCTGTTCAGGCCAAGTCGACTCTGAACGGAAAGGAAATCTTCCCTGGCGCTGGTCCTGTCCGCATTGGCTATGCCAAGATCCCAAGTGCCGCAGCCACACCAGGTCACAATGGTCTCTTCCCCTCGCCAAGCCCGGACCCACTCTCCAAGGGCCAGGCTGAAGGTGCGGCTGGTTCTGCATCCACTGCTAAGATTAACAGCGTTCCTGCAAGCGTGCCATTGACCACACCAGAGCTTAGCGACATCCGCAACGACATCATCCAGATTGTGAAAGACCTGGGTGCTACCGATGAAGAGCAGACGAGAATTTCCACAAAGGTTGAGAAGGCTGTTCAGTTCAACAACTATGTTGATGAGATTCCATCGGTCGAGGAGCCAAGCCACACGCGCATCCACGATGCCCCCAGATTGCGGGAGATCCGCAAGCGCATTGACAATGGCTCGTGCTCAAAGGAAGACATTGAGAACATTGCCATTGCCATGCTTCCTGAGATTGCTGAGCTATCGTCCGACTACCTCGGCAACACAGTCGTGCAGAAGCTGTTCGAGTTCTGTGAAGAACCCACCAAGGAGGCCATGCTCCGCGAGATTGCTCCCCACCTTGCCAAGATTGGTGTTCACAAGAACGGAACCTGGGCCGCTCAAAAGATTATCGATGTCTCCAAGTCTGAAACGATGCAGAAGATGGTTGTTGATGCTGTTCGACCCTATGCCATGGCTCTCTTCCTCGACCAGTTTGGCAACTATGTCATGCAGGGATGCCTCAAGTACCAGCAGTTCAATGATTTCATCTTTGAAGTGATGCTCGGTAGGCTGTGGAACCTCGCCCAGGGCCGCTTCGGTGCTCGTGCTATGCGTGCTTGCTTGGAGAGCCACTATGCCACCAAGGATCAACAGCGCATGGTGGCTGCCGCGATTGCTCTTCACAGCGTCCAGTTGGCGACCAACGCCAACGGTGCTCTGCTCCTGACCTGGTTTCTCGACACTTGCACATTCCCAAGGAGACGTACCGTCCTGGCTCCTCGCCTGGTTCCGCACATTGTCCACCTGTGTACCCACAAGGTCGCGTACCTGACCGTCCTCAAGATCATTAACCAACGCAACGAGCCAGAAGCCCGCGATACGATTCTGCAAGCGCTCTTCTTCTCACCAAACGACCAAGTGCTGGAAAGCATCCTGGCTGATCAGAACTGCGGGGCTACCTTGATCTTCAAGGTCCTTACTACGCCTTTCTTCGACGAGCAGATTCGTGCAGATGTTGTGCAGAACGTGCGCAACGTGCTACTGCGCATCAAGGCACAGCCACAGCAGGGCTACAAGCGACTCATGGATGAGGTCGGTCTGTCGACCCGCGGCGGACCTGGCCCACGTGACCATTCCGCGACTCGGCCAGCATCCAAGGACAGTGTTGCGTCGGGACCGCCAAACGCCGGCAATTTCTACCAGGGCCCCGCCCCTGGCTTTGATCCTGTAGCGCTCCAGCGCACGACAAGCATGGATTCCAACGGCTTTGACCAATTCCCCATGGGTGGGTACATGCCGAACATGCCGGGCATGAACAACCAACAGCAAATGCAATACCAGCAGCTCTTGGCTCGACAGGGTCAGTTCTATCCCCAGATGAACGGCTTCCAGCCACCAGTTCCCGGCATGGACGCCTACCGCAACGCCTCACCTGTTGCTGGTCCCGGCAGCTTCAACGGCTCTCCGATGATGCAGCCAGCCAACCTCGCTGGCCAAGGCATGCCGGGCATGTATCCACCATACGGCATGTACATGCCACCTCAGCACCAACAGGCCGCTGGCGGCAACCAGCGACGTGGCAGAGTAAGCAGAAATGCCTCACCTGCAACGAGCATCCGCCGTTAACGTCCCCCTAGAGATGAATGTCTCGCTGGGAGGGCGTTTGGGGCTCATGTGTTTCTAGATTTTGCGGTGTTGCAAGGGAAAGCAGTACCATCTTCCTGTATATGATTCTGATCTCTGCGCTTATGTACCTGTTGGCGAGCATACTGCAAAACGCTTCACAACACTATACTTGTCCATCATATGATCACCATCCTTTTTGGTCTCGATTTGATGACACGGGGTTGGAAATCACCTTTTTTCTTTTGTCGCCGTCACTCGCTCACCCACAAACTTGCTTGGCGTTGGACGGAGTTTTCTTGCAACGAATTTGTCCTTGTTCTTTCCCTCTTTGCATGGTCCCGTCTTCAAGGTCTCTTTCTCTCCTTCTCCTGTTACATGGCTAAAAGAATGCTTTTTTCTCTGGCGACGAGGTGGCGTAGTTATGCTCGAGGGAGAAGGAGAGAGAGGGACTATACGCGAGGATGATTGGTGGGCGAGACGACGGTTCGATGGAATGATGTATGGCGACATGACGCAAGAAAAATAAGTTTTCCTCTACTCTATATATGTGTTGTGTGTGTGGGCATGATGTTCTGTCTCTCTCTGATCTCTTTGTGTTTTCACCAAAGTGTGTATGTATGTGCGAGTATGTGTGCGTGCTTGTTTGAACAGAGCAAGGGTTTCCTTGCACTTCTTTTGTATGCAGTATAGATATAAATTTGTATTTGAGGTTTTTTTTCTTCTTACCATTGTGCTCATTGCTAAGAGTCTAGGCCATGTTGGTTTCGCAGTGCAGTGACGATGGTGATGATCAAAAGTCTATGTGTGCTGGACCATTGTACTAACATGAGTGACTGTGTATGTATTCTATTTCAATGGCCGAGTTCACTGCGGTGCATACATGACAAAGACTCAGACACTGCCGACCCGAAGGATGAGGTTTCGTTGCACATCACGTGACTCGATGTTTGTAGTCTAACATATAGTTTAATTACTGTAGCTAACGATGCCCTTTCACTTAGCAAACACATGTCTGTGCATTCCTTTGTTTTTTTAGTAGATGGAATAAGGAAAGAGGAAAGAAAATAAATAAGTCATCAACAATCATAAGCCACGTGCCTTGTTCTTGGAGTATGAAAACTTTAGGCGGGAAAAATGAGAGGGCAACAAGATAGATTGACGGCCGAAGCCATGGGGAAGAATGGGGGTTTTTTTCCAATTTCTTTACATGGCCAGCAAGTATCGTGAGTGAGGTGTGAAAACGACTGCGATTGTGCATGGTGCGTTTGGGCTGGCTTGGGAGGTTTCAGAAATACTAGAATAATCAAAAGCATGTTAGTAGCTATATTGTAAAACGGAAAGTAGTGCACCAACGTCAGGCTTGATATATGGCTCCTCCGGACGTTGCCCTCCACATCTCGGCTGAGCGCCATCTTTCGTAGATCTGGGGTCTGCCATGAATACCGGCATACAATGTGACGTGTATACAACTGCTGATAGGCGGAACGCGCAAAAGAATATATAGGTGTAAATACACCAATCTTTAGGATTGGCGGCTAGATATAGTCGTGCACTTGATGATTTGTTTCTGATTGCTGGGTTCGTCCATGACTTCCCAGTGACGCACGAGGCTTTATAGCCTGACAGGCCGAGTGTTAGCCTGTGAACTTTGCATTGTAGAAACTGGAGAGTTGCCATGTACTCGCACTCGCTTTGTTTTCGATCCCGCGCTAGTCGTTCACGTTACAGATGTCAGTCTAGTCGAGATTGTGACTCATGTCGAACTTTTGACATGACGCTGTGCACCGTAATCTCCGCGTGTATATTAGAGTGAGCCACCAAGTCACAAACTGTCGTGGATGGGGGGGAAAGGCCTTCGAGCTGCATGCAGCTTGGTCTCGTTAGCCTATTGTTGAAAGCACGTTCCCGACAAGGCACATACCATCAGGGACCACAACCCCCTCAATGGTTCGATGAAACATACAAACTGAATATCCCTCACACGGAGGTATTTCCAGAAAAGAATCGAGGTGCATGATCGACAGCCTGCGCTGTAGTACTGTATTTTCCTAGGATGCCTGAGTAGCTAAGATGAGTTTCGAGTCGCAAAACGCGCCAACGGAATATGCGCGTCTTGCAGTTGCTGATTACGCAGCTCCTAGTCATACATACGATTTTGCGAGAAGGAAAATACAATTGGAAGTATTTGGGCTCGAATTTTTTATAAGTCGCACGGTTTGAGGCCGTCTGGCGATGATGATTTCCGAAAACAGTCAGATGGATTCTTAGCGATACTTCTCATCACTAGAGAACGATATTACACATGAACATGTGGGGCTACAGAAGATCCGCTGCAGATCCCCGTTGGATTGATCTCTCGCAGATAACGTCATTGAGCCTGGATTTGTCAGTGTCTGTAGAGCATGTTGCTTTCAAAGACCCGCACTCTTGTGCGCGGGTCACTGCATATGCCTAGCCGGAAACCGACATCTGATCAAAGCTGTCGTTTCCTGAAAAGGATATCATAACAATTCAGTAGGAATGTGTCAAGCAGAATGACAAAGGATATGAAAACGTGGCCAGGACATTGTTTTCGTTTGGAAGGGAGGTAGAGTATGTCGAAGCAATCACTATAGCATCTCAGTATTGAAGGACACATGTGGATACGTTCCGTGTGGCTGCAGGGAAATGTTGCTGGAATAGGAAGCAAGTATGTGGAGTGTTAGGAGCCTGTTACTGATGGCGAATGTAAGTTGTTTGCTTTTCCCAAGACCATTCATTCCGGAGCAAATGTCATTCTGCGAGGAAGGCTGGGCGTAGAGTCTCCTGACATCGTAACACATGTAATTTGCTGTGTGTTAGTGTGGAAGTATTCTGTTGAATAGTCCGAGATAGTACAGTCTCTCTAAGGGCATTGGAGTGACGGAGTTCCTACAATCGCATGAAGCTTTGAGCAGGTTGTGGGAAGTTGTTCGCCTTTCCTGAAGCGTAGAGACGCATTGTGGCACCAATGAACCGTAGGGTCGAATCAGAAGACAGGAAAAGAACGCGAGGTGGCCATCAGATGCGGGTTGAGCGCAATCTTGACAAGGCGGCTGTTATCTCCGAGGCGTATAGAAATGCGTAGCAGCAGCAGAAGAGTGGCCCGAACTGCGGTTGTAGAACACGCCCAATCCTCACTTGATCGAGGGCGCATAAATCTGGCCAGCACAGACAGAGTAAGCGTATTTTTCCATGCGAATGTTGCGTGAAGGTGCAACCTGGATAACAGTGAATGGGTACCAGACGGACTGGTATCACCAATTTGCCTCGTTGTTTCGTTAGCGATCGAGGCCTATCAGAAAGCTTCGTATTAGCCGTTGCACAGCATATTGAGGTGTTGCATGCAAGGAAGCAAAAAGGCGCCAGGGCCTTTTCGTGTTTCCGTAGTGCTCGTGGGTATGATTCGGAATTGACCGGGACTCTCTTCTTGCGACTATTGAGATGCAATCGTGGTGACCGTTTCCAGCGACTGGAGATCAAGGAATAGGAGCAGTCGCAGTAACCCATGGAAGGCCAGTGTCGCTCGGTAGCATATCCAATCGAGCAACCTTGCACCAGGCTGTGAAGCGGGACAGGGAAGCCTGAGCAGCACAGCACAGAATGGGCACTTGACAGGCTTGAAACACAGCTGCGTCACCGAAGGGTAGAAGAGAAGCGTGACAAAAGACGGTGAGGGACGGGGCTGGGCTTTGTCTTGTGACGAGTGGCGGGTGGAGAGGTCGGGCGCAGGTGAGAGAGAGGGATGACAGATGACGGATGACGGCTTGCTGCGACTTAGCGGTGGCTCGTGTGTGGTCGCGCGCCAGTTGGGCCCACGCACGGCCAGGCACCATCGACCCCGCCGCCCCTCCAAGCATTCATTCAGCAGGTACCAAACACGCCCATACAACACAACACGACTACACACCACCACGACAACACGCCCAGACAAAGCACCCGCCCCAGCTCTCGCCATGGCCTACAACTTTGTCAGGTCGTACATAGACACTTTCCGCGAGCGCACCGCCGCCATCAGCCACACATCGACCTTCCGCGAGACGGGCCAGATAACACCAGAGGAGTTTGTGCTCGCCGGCGACTTTCTTGTCTTCAAGTTCCCTTCTTGGCAGTGGGCTGATGCCTCGTCGCCCTCGAAACGCGTCTCATACCTGCCCGAGGGGAAGCAGTTCTTGGTAACGCGCGGCGTGCCCTGCCACCGACGGCTCGACGACAACTTTGCCGGAGAGGCTGGCCAGGATGAAACCATAGTCAGAGACGGCTTCGCTGCTGGAGAGGGCGCAACCGACGACGACGGCTGGCTGCGCACCGGCGGCATGGCAGCTAGCCAGGAGGCCAAGGTCCGCGACGTGCGGACCGTGGACGAGAGCGGCAACCTCGGCGCAGCAGAAGACGACGACGAGATACCCGACATGGAGGATATCGAAGACGATGACGAGGCCATCATCAGGGACCCGCAGGCCGAGTCAAACACCCAAGCGTATGCCTGCCCACCACCTGCGCCCACCATGCTGCCTGGAGAAGAAGAAGACCTGCTGACGTACTCTGTAGTCCTCTGCGCACATATACTCTCTACATCACATACTCGGCGCACTACCGGACTCCGCGATTATATCTCTCTGGCTACGGCTCCACCTCTGTCCCGCTAAAGCCCCAAGAGATGATGGAGGACATTGTGGGAGACTACAAAGACAAGACAGTCACTATCGAGGACTTTCCCTTCTTTGAGAACCCTCTCAAGACTGCCTCGGTGCATCCTTGCAAACACGCGTCGGTGATGAAAGTGCTGCTCGACCGCGCCGACGCTGCGTTGAAGCTGCGGCTCACCAAACTCAAGGCTGGCAAAGACGTGAGCAAGCTCGATAGCGGCATGGAGGCGCTCGTCGACGACACGCGGTTACTGAAACTAACTGAGCAAGCCAAGAGCAAGGATGGCGAAGAGGCCAAGGACGACTGGGAAGTGTTGAGCGAGGGTGACGACGACGAAGTAGCTATTAGAGTGGATCAGTACCTGGTCGTCTTCCTGAAATTCATGGCCAGGTGAGTTTTGACTCTCATCAAGAAAGGTGTCATGCTAACATGCGACAGTGTCACACCAGGTATAGAACACGACTTCACCATGGGGGTCTGATTGTTGTCAGTCTTTTTTTGGCACAGGGATTGGCGTTTTGTGGCATCATTATCATCATAGGGTTGGCAATCTGCTGAACAGGCGTAGCGATAGATGTGGAAGGGTATAACGTAGCAATATCAATGATCGAACTTTCTTCTTGTATTTTGAAAGAACAAGTCATCATGCCCAGCACTTTTAACATGTATCGTGAGGAGATGAAGTTGGAATGATTGGAATTTGAAATTTATGAAGCCCGCCGTTTGAAATTCCCAAACGACTGTTTCCAGTTTGGCACCCCTCCGGGTCGGCGCAGCTCTAGCTCCTTGCCTTCATAACCAAAACTGCTCTCAGCTCGGTGGAACATGGCACATAGCCTGTCAAGGAAGCCTGCTTCTTTGGTGGAGGCTTTAGGCAGGGCCTGGGGTGATTCCAGAGTACCAGGTGCGATGTCGCCCGAGAAGTCTTCGTCTACTTCGTCGTTGTACAGCGAGTTGGTTTCGTCTGATTCTGACAAAGAATCCATGAGGGCATGAAACTTGTTGTTGAGGTGAACGCGCCATGTGTCGACGTGAGCTGGTGACATAGTAGCCGATAGGCGTTCAGCAATCTCAAACTAGTCCAGTTAGCCACGGTGCTGGTCAAGGTGGAGCTTCACGCGAGCAGCATGACGTACCTCTCGCAGGCCTAGCAGTCGAAATTGCTCGGCCCGCCTCTGAAGGCGAGGGGCTGATGGTGTGATTGGCATTGCACATGCCAGCGTGAAGAGGGCCACGAGGGCCACGAGGATGTGGGAGCGCATGCTGGAAGCAAGACGGCAGGGAAGAAGATGGATGGATGACGTCGACAGTACGAGTCTATTGGATGTATAGCTATCAAAGCTATATGGGTGTGGTTCTCGAGGCACACTAATAGACCAGCGCTCTTGTCAAAAGTAGCGAAATGAAGAAAAGAGGGGAGTCGGTGCAAGATGAATGGTTTAGCACGAAAATGACAGACCAGGAGCCACACGGATTACCGCTGCTAGGTGAGTTGCGGTCGAATATATCCGTTGCGGGTACAGTCGGGGGTAATAGTTGACCGAGAAGGATATGTGTGTATAAGTACCGTAGACCCCGCCAAACATTACCCATGCCCAGATGAAGTGTACTATAAATGCATCCGCGGGACAAAGCTCACTGGCTGACGAACAGGTTGAGTGTTGCTGTCATAATTCCGAAACGCCATGGACGCATAAAAGGACGCCGGATCGGCAAGTGAGGCGCAAGGAAACCATATAGCGACAGCCTGGGGCAGCCTAGCAGGCATGGTGCCGTGGAATCGGACCAACCATGGCATGACGGCAGCGCCATGTAAATAGCCTGGGGATGGGTAGGCGCGCGGCCGTCGTACTGCATGAAGGCGTACCTGGCTGCATGATTCAGCACGCCCAGGACTATGAGGGCCTTTCCTGGCGTTCCTTTCTGAAACACGGCGCCGGCCTTGGGACCTGCGGCTGAATGGTTGCGGGGTTTCTGGATGCGAGGGACGGGACAGACTTGGGAGTGGATGCCGCTGCTTGGCTGGCGTAGCAGCTGCTACTAGGAGAAAGGTGGTTGACTCCGGATTGGGGGAGGGATGATTACGCCGAGCGATGGGCTGGAGGGATTGCGGAAAGCGACTAGAAAGCGGGCTGGGGTGAAACCGACGTCGCAGTTGGATTGCGCGTCAAGGCGGGCACTACCACTAGCGGCAAACCGCCCGCGCGCGCACGGGCCTGACGTGAGGCGGGCTGGGTGGCCTCGTCAGTTGTGGTTGTGTTGAAACAATTGCGCCAAGGGAAAGCCTGCCAAGCCTCCCAGTCCTACCTCACCCCGACGTCACCCACGCCCGCTATCCACACTCTCCCAACTCACCCACTCCCAACCTCAGGTCCCGGGGCTGCCGATATACGCATTTGCATCGCTCGCTACTCCCAGCTGTCGCCGCTTGGACACCGGCGCTTCTGCACGTACAATGGTTGCTTGTGCTCGCACCTTTAGGCCCGACCCTCGGGGAAACGGGACACGCTTTTTCGACACATTCTGACCATCCTGGCCCGACATCTGCGCCCCAGCCTGCTATTACCCGATATGGACTGCAGTCCTCCTTCGCCTCCACGCCTCCATCTCAGCCAGCTTCCACCCATTGCCATCCTCAGTGCGCATTTGAGCGACAATGAAGAGGGCGCCCTCACCAACACGCTGCGCCAGCACGACGCCCCGCTGACCAGCGACATGTCGAGGGCCAAGATGTTCGTTGGTAGGGTGGGGACGAAGAGAAGAGCCGAGTTCGAGTTGCGGTCGCGAAAACTGGTTGTTGACGAAGTCGCGGGCACCAAGCGCACAGCGACGCATGCAAAGGTGTCCACTCATCCGCATAAGAAGCAGAGAGCCATCGGATCGCCAGTCACGACCGCTTCTGCCAATCAGAGATATTCCCTTATCAAAGAAGAACATAGCAACATCTTAGCAGCCGGAGACTACTCGGAAGCTGAAGCTGAAGCGCCGAATAAGAGGCGGCGTACTTCACCGTTTTCGTCACCGTTGGCTCAAGACGAAGTTCATCTTGCACAGATGTTTGAGAATAATTCAAAAGATGACCTCGTCTGGGTCATAAAAATGGACTGGATAGAGGCTTGTGTGGCCGCGGGCCATGTCGTTCCCCTAGGCGATAACTTGGTGTTTAAAGGGAAAGTGCAACAACGACCAAAGCCAGCCAATCTCGAGCTAGCCAAAAACATCGTTTCTGTAATACCAAAACATCAACCCGTGTCCCAGGCGCTCTTGGCTACCAAACCTCCACACCAGCCTCATCGATTCGGCAATAAGACGTCTCGACGTTTTGAAGGCAAGAGCTATGCCTCTTCTTCCCAGTCTATCACTCGCTCATACACTTCGCAAGCTGCGCATCTGCTTCAGCAAACCACGAGCGAGTATGAAGGTGAGGATAGTGACTTACCACCACCGCCCGAGTGGGTGAAACTAGGTCTCAAGTATGCGTGCCAGCGCTTCACTCTTGGCAACGGGCCGAATGAGGTCTTTCTTAACCAACTCAGGAAAATCAGGACCGCTCGGACCCTTATCGACGACGAAATTGGCGTGCGCGCTTACTCAACAATCATTGCGTCGATTGCTGCTTACCCGTGGAAACTCTGCCATCCACGTGAGCTTGCGCGATTACCAGGGTGTGATGAGAAGACGGCGGCCTTGTTTGTGGAATGGAAGAACACGGGCAAGATCCAGGCTGTCGAAGACTACGAGGATGACGAGGCAATGAAGGTCTTGCGCTTGTTCTACAACATATGGGGCGTTGGTGCCAAGACAGCGAGGCATTTTTACTACAATAATCACTGGACTGAGCTGGATGACATTATTGAATATGGGTGGAACGAGCTTGACAGGGTGCAACAAATCGGTGTCAAGTACTACGAAGAGTTCCAAGAACCCATTCCCCGTGCTGAAGTTGAACAAATAGCTGCAGTCGTCCGCGAGCATGCTGTAAAACTACGCGATGAACGTATCACTGTTACAATTGTTGGTGGATATAGACGTGGTAAGGCGGCATCTGGAGACGTGGATATCATCGTCTCGCATCCTGAGTTGGAACGTACAGCGGGCCTGGTTCAAGAAATTGTAGGATCCTTGGAGGAAGCCGAGTGGATCACGCATACCTTGACCATGAGTTTGGCAAACACTAATCGCGGTCAACAAACGCTACCTTTTCGTTCTACAAGAGGCACTGGGGTAGGCTTTGATACCCTTGACAAGGCGCTTGTAGTATGGCAGGATCCCGCCTGGCCGGCCCGAGAACAGGATCTCAAGGCAAACCCAAGTGCCAAGAATCCTGCCATCCATCGCCGAGTCGACATTACCGTATCGCCATGGCGGACTGTAGGTTGTGCAGTCTTGGGCTGGAGCGGTGGCACGACCTTTCAGCGAGATCTGCGACGATACGCGAAAGCCGTCAAGGGCTGGAAATTTGATAGCAGCGGCATTCGCAGCCGAACTAATGGCGAAGCCATCATGCTTGAAGGGCCGAATGGCGTCAATGGAACACCCGAAGATGCAGAGAAGAAGGTCTTTGAAGGCCTGGGACTCGAGTACGTGCCGCCTGAATGCAGGGTCACATATTGAAGAACCGTTTGCAAAAAAGCATAACGTGAAGGAACTACTATATCGTCCCTGCATCCCCTCCCTGGACCCCTTCCATGGTACTCATTCCAACCAGCATTTCAAGTAATTGATTGCCTTGACATGGTGCAATGCCCAATTCCAGCTTCTCTGCCGCCATGACCCGCAGAAACCCTCGACGCCTCCCACAATCCCCGCTGCCTCTCTTATGAAGCCCATCGACATACTCACAACAACCTTGCAACTAAGTACCGGCTTTATCCAGTATATCTCTCTCCACGCCCTCATTCTCGCGAGATCCATCACCACGTCCCAATCTCACATCCCATGTCTTGCACTGCTGCTGCTACTCCAAGTCTTCGTCTCCCTGGCCCTGCTCGCGAAATCTCTTGTATACTTCATCCCGTGGTTGAGCAGGCATTTGCAGAAGACACAATATGAGCACGATGATGAAGGGGCGTGGCGTGGTGAACTCATCCTTCATGTGGCTATTTTCATGCTGGGCTGTGCGCCGTTTTGCGGTACGCTCGGCTTGGGAGGTGGTGTGGTGTATTATACAGGCAAGGTGTGGATGTATGGTCGGTGTGAGGGGAACACGTATGCGATGAGGCAATTCAGGCTGGATCCGTCGTACCGGTACTCGCAGCAAGAAGGGGGGAATGTTGTGTTCCAGCAGCCAGGAAATATACGACATGGGCAGCGTGAAGATGGCTTGGTACAGCCACCAGCAGCGGTTTTGGCACCGCAACTAACGGCAGAGAGGGCCAGATGGAATCTGCGTACATTTTCTGGTATTAAGTCAACTTGGAGGAGTGAGAAGGGTTGGTGGAAGAGTGGATATTATGAGCGGGATGTGCGGAGGAGGAATTTCGAACAGGATGTTGAAATGGGGATAGTGAGGAGAGGATGAATGGAGACATTGACGATATCGATGTAAGACTTGTTGTCAAGTGGCTCTCGAGCATATAGCAAAGACTATGATTGTCACAGAATGGAAAAAAAGTGAAATTTAGCATCTGGAATCAACGGGTATCTCCTCAACCACTGCGTGCCTAGACAATTTCAGCTTTCACCTTTACCAACCCTCAATCTCTGCGTGTCCGACTCAATTTCAGCCTCCACTTCTTTCAATCCCCAAACGCCTTTACTCTCCTGATCGACACCAACAACAAAAATCACGTGTGCTTGCTCTTGACACCATCCAAATGCCACTTCATGACCTTCTGAAAGATGCCCTTGCCGTCGCCCTCAATCACATCCCCGTGGCACGGAATGATGCGCTCAAAGCCCCACTTGTCAATCTTCTGCATGCTCTTGGAGAAACCAGCGCGATCAGACGCACTAGTACCATACCACACGGTGCGCTGCTGCCACTTTGCGTCGCCTTTTGTATTTTGCAGCGTGTTGAAAATCTTGCTTAGAATACCCGTGTTTGGGTCTACGCCTGCCTTGCTGAACTGCTCTGTTGCGGGAAGATTGAACAAGAGGTCAGCCTCGATGAGGGTGCGGGTGGGCCGGTGGTGGAAAACGACTTCTTTGTTGACATGCGAAGGCACGTATTCCCAATCGAACTCTGCGTCGAATTCCGGAGAGATGGAAGTCACGGGCTTGTCGGCACTGAAGAGCACGCTAAACGGCACATTTTCGTTCTTCTGCTTTGCGCGCTTCTCAGGAAGCATTTCGGGGCCCATGACTTGGGCGTTGGGGTACTCGGCGTGCCAGGGGCCGAGGAAGATGTGGTGCTGCGGGGCGGTGTATGTTAGTTATGCTATGCGAAGCTCTGGAAATGGAGGAAGACGTACTTCGTTGTCGAGGGCAGCAATGTATTTGACCTCGCCCATCTCGGACACTTTGCGCTTCACATCTTCGGTGAGTGCGACGGGGGAGAAGACGGCAAGACCACCAGACTCGAGGCGCACTGTGGAAATTGTCAGCGAGTGGCCCGTGATGGCTGGAAAAGCTGCAACATACCGATTGTTCCCCTTCCGCCAATCTTGAAGCGGCCAAATCTCCAAAACGGGACCGAGAGCGTGGTCAACACGTGAGGAACCACGTCACGAATCACCATGACACTGGCGGGGTCGGAGGGCACTAGTTTCGAAGACATTTTGGACGACGAGAGACTGTGAATGTGCCGGTGAAGAGGGAAAGAAAGAGAGTTCCAGACCGAAGGCACAAGGTTTACTTATTCGAGGATGCGCCGGATGTTTGGGACACGGATCTGGTTGGAAGACGTAATGTCGGGAGATTTTGCTATGACGCAAGGTTGGATGCTAAAATTGGAGATTCAAGGGCCACGAAATGTCAAGTGCCACGTCGAGTAGCTACACGTTTAAGCCAAACTCCTTCCTACTCATGTATTACAAAGTGCGCGGCATCCAGAATCAAAACTCGGATGCATAGTTGGGCGACAACATGGCAAAAAGCGCATGAACCGAGGTGTCACAGTCCATGGTCCGACCGTCAGCATCCCTGGGAGACGCGCTTTGTCAGCTGCATCACGGAACCAGAACCAGAACCCCCAGATTCTAGACAAGGTCTTCACACCACCTCTTCATGAGCAGTTGCCGAGCATCAGGAGACCTAGTCGTTCCATTTTCACATGCCTGTAATTATACACTAGCCATTCCTGTCGTTATACCTGTTGGAGCTGAGCTGCTCACTACACCCCATCCTGCCACTTGAGCCTGCCATTTGCCGTCTGGTTTCGGCTATCTCGTACTTGTATGTAGGTATAGGGATGCTGCGGACCGCCGATCCACAACATCGACAGACCCACAACCCGTCCTTGAGTGGAAATATTCCGGTGGAGCACATGGCTCGGCGGACAAAGATTCGCGGTCGTGCGATCTCGTTATTTGCAAGCATCGCAGGCTGGATAGCTGGGCCAGACTCCTGGGCTTTTGCGTCATGCTCCTATTTGGTAGATCTTCACCTGGCGTTTTCAGCGCTCAATTCAGCCATGAGCCCTCCCGCATCCCTTTCCTTTGCATCTTCTTCGAGTCTCTTTTGAATAAATGCGCCTATCTGTTTGACCTTTTCCAGCGCAATGTTTGTGCAATTCAGTAGGGCCAGCGGATTGATGGTGGCTCCTCCATACTTGGCAATCTGGCAAATCTCTCCGTGCTTGTTCATGGTAACAATCACCTCTCCTTGTCGAACCTGCTCTTCGGCCAAGTTTGCGTCCACCAAGAATATTTCTCCTTCAAAGTAGGAGAATGTAACACAGAGCGGTTGGTGGAGAATGGACAATGGAATCGGCTCGCGCTCGCGTACGCTGAGAATGGTCGCTTTCTCGCCTTCGACTACGACGTCTGGTCTCCTAAAGTGTTGCAGCGCTGCCATGACGGCTATGCAAGAAGCGTCAATGAGACCACCGTCGTGGTCGATTATGTGTACGTCCGCGCGGAGAGCAAAGCACTGTAAGCCGGCGATGATGCAGAGTGACTCGGTGTCCAGAGCGTTGGAGCGACGAATGGCCTTTTCGAGTATGCGCGAGAGGATCACTTCGGCATCTGTAGGGCTAGAACCAAGTCAGAAACACTTTTGGATAGCCAGCCATAATTCCGACGTACCGGCCAACTTCAAACGCCGGCGAAGCCATTGGTGAGAACTCTGTGACTATTTGGAAGATGCCATCGAACTTGCGCTCCGGTGGTGGTGTCGTCACGTCTACCGAGATACGGGCAATGACTCTGAGCTTTGTTAGCTTGCGCACTCAATACTCCGCCATTACCACGTACCTGGTCTTGCCCAATTGCACGTCAGCGACGCCATATTCGTCGCCAAAGGTGAGCTCAAGTGGACGAAAGGCGTCAAAGGTGCGCCGGTCGATGCGAATCTGCTCTTGCAGCGCTTGTTTAATGAACTCGCGCTCATTGAGCGATATCTCAGCTTCTCGAGGCATAATACCCCCCTATGGTCAGTGTGTGGTTGTTGGTTGAAGTCCTGGTTGTTGAACAAGCATGGAAAATGCGGCGCGGGGAAAAGTGAACGCCGATGCTTAGCGCGACTTGAACATCGCGAGCCCATGTGCGCCATCTTTTGTACATCAACAACAGGCACCGCCCACCACACGCAAGACTTCCGAAACCGACGTCTCATTAAAATTACCCTACCGACTCCAACTATTCTACAATGACGACCGCCCACAGACCCACGTTCGATCCCGCACGCGGCAAAGAAGCTCAGCGAGGACCCGCCTACCATCAGCGACTCCTCCCTGCGCACACAACACTCAAACATAGACAGCCGGGCCAGGGTGGAGATGCTGATAACATCCAGCGCGACTTGCGCGCCGAGCTCTTGGAGGCCGAGGCACGTTACATTGCAAAGAAGAACGGCACATACGTAGAGCCGGACGCAGCGGCCGAACCTGGAAATGCGCCTAAGCGTCAGATTGACGCGGTGTCAGTGGCTGAAGATGCAGACGAAGATGAAGCAGCTCAGAAGCGGCGGCGAATAGAAGTGCTTGAAAAATTCAGGGATGTGGATGCCGACGACAGTAGTAGTGAGAGCGAGAGCAGCGACGATGAGTAGGTCTATGCTGCATTTTGATCTGGCGCACTTGACTAACGGTGTACTAGTGACGAAGACGAAGAAGACGAAACCGCGGCCCTGATGCGCGAGCTCGAGAAGATTAAAAAGGAGCGTGCTGCAGCCAAAGCGAAAGAGGAGGCCGAACGCGCAGCCGAAGAGGAGCAGCAACGTGAAATCGACGTCGCACGCGGCAATCCTCTGCTCAACGCAAAAGACTTTACTATGAAGCGCCGATGGGACGATGACGTGGTTTTCAAGAACCAAGCACGTGGCACCGAAGACAGGAACAAGAAGAAGGAATTCATCAACGACATGCTGCGTTCCGACTTTCACAAGAAGTTCATGGTAAGCAGTCGTGGTCCTGATGTCCCTAGTGTTGCTAACACACTACGACAGTCCAAGTACGTGCGATGAGGTCATCGCGGGATGTGAGTTTGTTTTCGACGTGTAAGTCCTCGTGCATTGCTGGCATCCATGGGTCTTGGCGTACTGGGTCTGGAATCTTTCATACAGCCTTTGCGAATGGCGCGGGATACCCCAGATCTTGGCGGGAACAAGGGAGCCAGTGACGGGACGGAGTCTTGTGGAACGCTTATCCTTATCTCGATCAGCAGCGGCAACTACCATTCACAGAGGGCAGCTTTATCTATCGCCTCAGCCCGCCGTTGCTAGCGACCGGTCCAAACAAGACATGTTTGTGGGCTTAGAGACCACCTTGACACGTTTGCCGAAGTGCGGTTGTAGAGAGGACTACTTGTACGGAGGTCGTTTCTCAATATCAGATATAGACGCTTCATCGCAATGGACATGCAAAAGCCGGGGGACATCACCCAGTTATTTAGCCTGACAACGCCCGTCTACGAAATCAGGACCCTAGCATCCTATAAGAGTGCTAAGCATGGCTTAGCTCCCTACCGCCATCCTCTTATGATGTATCTGCATCCTACGATCTACGCCATCTCCAGCAGAGTGACCTCATAAGGCTTATATCCGTCCGTCTCACACGCACACACACACACCCCTCTGTGGTATTGGCAGGCGGCCCAACAGACCATGGCCCAGCATATATGTATATAGCACAGCTCATCTGTAGACCAACCCAATTTCCAAACTTGATACTCATCACCCCATCTATCCATCTATCCATCTACAATACATATATACATACATACACAAAAAATGGCAGGCTACGGCAACCGCACCGCGCCCTCGTACACAGCCGCAGACCTCGAGTCCCAACACACCAGCACGCGGCTCAACCTGGTAGATTCGCACACGCCGTACCACAATCCGCACGACAAGCACGGCTCGGGCACCACGGGCGGCGCTGGTTTCGGTACGAAGAAAGGCTATTTTCTTGGATTTTTTTGTTGTTGATTGGTTGATGATGCAGTCTTGTCCTTGATCCTGTTCTCAGAGGTGGCCTTTGGTGGCGCTATGCACGCTTCACTACATATTCAGCTTTCCATTTCCCTTTCCACTGCCTTGCCTCCTCCTCCTCCTCTCCATCTTCTTCTTCCTCTGCTCATTCACCCACTAACACATTCTCCACACACACCAGGCAACAAGCGCTCGTCCTCGTCCTCGACCCCCTCCTCCTCAAGCAAAGACAACTCAGAATTCCGCTTCGGGTCGCACGACTCGACGACGCCATACTCGCATCCCGCGCCGCTGGGCAGCGGGTCGACGGGCGGCGCGGGCTACGGGAACAAGACGGGCGAGATGGGGGGTCCGACGCCGGATTCGGCCGTGGGCCGAATCGTCGAGAAGGTCGGGGGCGTGGTGCGGAGTCAGAGGGTGGTTGGCGTGGGGAGGGGGATGCGGGAGAGGGAGGGGTATGGGAGGGATGAGGATGATGAGGGGGAGGAGAGGGTGGCTAATTAATTTTAGGGTTTTATAACAGATACTTTATGAATGCTCGTTATTGTGGGAGTAAAGATAGTCGAGCTACTTTTGGAGGCGTCGAGATTGTGTCAGCTAAGTATTCCTGACATGGCTGGAATGAGCTTAGTATTTGTATTTAAACAAGACATGTATTTAAACGGTTGACTTCACTTAACCGGACAATACCATTTCCGAATACATATGTATATATTCACCAGAAAAAAAAAGTTTGTATTCCTGCACATGCCAATGCCTTCATTATTGCCTGATCTATTCAAGAAAGAAAAAAAGGCAAAGCTTGGGCATGACTGTCTTTACAATGTACGAACCTACTACCAAAGAATAAGAAATACAAGACGAAGAAGAGACTGTGACTGCAATAGGCAATGCTTATGCTCATGCTCAAAAGCCCAAATGCCCCTAAGACGGACGACACGTCGCCCGAGCAAATGTCAGAGGAACATGTCTTAGTAAATGCCTTGCGTGCGGTACTGGAAGGTATCGTAACTGTCATCCTTGTTAGCGAAAATTCCCAAGAATGGAAGAGCTAGCAGCTAGTGAAAAAACTTACAGTCGGGTATAATAACTCCCCACACTCTTTGCAACAAGTTCTTCGACAAAGCTTTCTGCTTCTTCCTTGCTCAAATGCAGCATAAGCCTTGCCCGCAAACTATTTGTTACACTGGCTGCACCGGCAGCAAAGCACGGCATACTGCTCTGCTTGCTCATCAACTCGACAAGCATAATGAGCCTCTCGGCATCCTTCCTTAATGCTTGGAACGCCTTCTTGCATAGCGTCTTGAACTCTTCAAAAGGAGGTGACCCAATTCCGCCAAGGACATCGACGTAGTCTTGTGTCAGCTTGAAGGGTGCAGCTTCAAAACCCATGGAGCCAGGCGAGTTGGAAAGCATAAAACCAAAGTCAATATGGATTATGTGACCCATGTTGTCAATGAGCAAGTTGCCGTTGTGACGGTCCTTGAGCTGTAGTACGTAGCAGATGATGCTGTAAGCCGCTAGCGAGCGACCAAAGGCCGCCACACCAGAAATGTAAGCTTCTGAATCAGGATCTCCAAACGTTTTGAGCCAGTGGTCCTTGAGGGTTGCTATGCGTTTCCGGGGATTGTTGCCTGCTGCGATGCTGGCAAGTGTCAAGCTTCGTTTGAGAGAGTGTAGGGAGACGCCGTTGGTAATCGTTTCAATGAGGCCGCCGGATTCACCAGTAACGAGGATGCGCATACGCTTCGTCCAAACGGGCACATCAGCTTCTTCCCAAATCTTGGCGCAGACTTCGATAAGCTGGCAAGCGAATGCCTCCTGCCGTAGATCCGCCCCTGTCTTGACAATGACACTGATCAGGTCCCAATTCTTCATGTGTCCATATGGTGAAGATCGCCGTATACGTTCTCGCTTTGCGCTCCACTCTTCTCCAAACGTTGCAGCACTAGGATCGTCCCGGTCACCTTTCCGCCGCATCCCACCAGTCTTCAAGTCATTCTCCATACGAGCAGCACCCGCACCCGTATTGGGAGAAACCGCCAAGTCATCGTCAAGAACTTCGGGGTCTGCTGTGATTGCAGCTGGATCTGACTCTGCCATGATGGTATCAAAAGTCGGACCCTGATCTTCGCTCAGGAAATTTTGCTCCTCCAGGCTCTGCATGCTTGCAATAATCTTGGCCTTGATTGCCGCTACCTCGCCCTTTGGCCGCTTTGCACCGCTTGCTTCCAGTTGTGCCAGCATCTGAGCAGCCGTGCGCATGTGAGTTGCCAGAGCAGAAAAGTCTGGCTGGTCGGCAGCCTGGTTTGCTCGATTCAAATTGGCTGGGATCGTCATTCGCCTACTAGGGATAGGGCTGGCTGAGCGGCTGATCTGTGAGTCTGACGTCCGCGGTGTAGACATGGTAGCCACAGATGACAAGGTGTTGGCGCCACTCGAAGACCTGGGTGCCGGGATTTTGCCGATTGCGGTTGGAGGAGGCAAGGTTATTCTTGCTAGTCCTGAGGCAATGTCCGTCTCATCCGTATCCTTGATAAGCGAGGTACTGCCGAGATCTCCGGTTACTGGTTCGAATACGCTGTCTGATCCGTTTGGTGGCGTTCGGTCGTATGCAAGGTATTCGGCGTTCGTAATGTCAAACAGACGCCGTCTTGAAGTGCCCTTTTCCAGCATCAGCTTCTCGAGTAACTGCTGATTTTGCTCCGTGTCTGGGTCAAAATCAAAGTCTTCTTCCAGCACCTCGACCATGAGCAGATATGGTACTCGCTCCGCACTGTTGAGGCTGGTGGCTTCGGCGGGGTTAATGCGGACTATTCGGTGGTGCCGACTTTGCGAAGGAATGCCATCTTTCAACGTCGGAGGCGACAGTAGCGGGATATCGACTTCAGCTGGCAAGTCCTGGGCTATTAGCGCCAGTTCGGCTCTCAGAGCACTCAGCCGTGCAGGCTTGGGTACAACGACCAAACGATTCGAAATGTCCTCAAGAGCACTCAAGAACTGGGTTTCGTTTCTAAAGTAATTGGATCGCAATAGGCGTATTTTCTGTGCGCGGGACAGGGCAGTTGGCGACAGGGGTCTTGGTTGCTGCGCGAGATGTCTGCGAGGGCCGAGTTGGAGCGGACTTGGTCCGAGGCCAGCAGTGGCGGGTGGGGTAGGGAGGGGAGAGGTGCTGGCATCGCGAAAGTCGGGCAAGGAAGACGAACTGAGGCGGGCTTCGGATGCTATTGACAGCAGCGAGGGACGGTGATGGGCGGAGGGTGCCCGCTGGGTGTTGAGGGGTCGGGCGGCCTGCTTCCTCAGATCCTTGGGGTCGCGCAGCTCGCGCGGGCGCTGCGAAGCCGATCTGCCTGTTCGTCCATCCTCAGGGTCCGAGTGTTGTTGTGTCGAGCGCTTTTGCCTGGGCCTTGGCGAGCCTCCCGTGACCGTCTTGCTCCTCCCCACCTTTGCCGTCTGCACATTGTCCGAGATGATGTCCTCGACGGGCCTGGGTTTTCGCGCCTGCGCAATGGCCAATGGACCGGCGTGAGCTGGGAGGAACGGGGCGGCGATGCTCGCCAGGACCAGACTGGAGAGCACGCTCACAGGCAAGACGTTCTCCTTGATCTTCTCCCGCCGCGAGGGCTCGGCGGAGCCAAAGACAATGCGCTGGACGCGGTTGTATATGCGGCGACAGGTCTTGAAGGCGATTGAGTTTGGGGCGTTTGCAAGGTCGTGGAGATAGGTCTGGAACAGCCAGAAGGTCTGCAGGCCACGTATTAGCAGGCGCGGAGCGGCCGACAAGCCAGGGTGTCGTCAAAAGCGTACCAGCAGAGCGCCGTTGACGGACTCTTCGCACAAGTCGATGATGAACTCCTCCAGGGCCATGGACTCATTGTCGATGCTGATGAGGAGGTGGCATAGCCTAAGCGGCCGCGTTTGTAAGCTAGCTGTTCATACGCCGTCGGGCTCGATGGCAGGCGGGCGGGCGACGTACTGCGGGAGGAAGAACTCGAGCTCCTCGTAGGCGAACTGGCGCAGCTTGGAACAGAGCACATAGTGGATTCCGACGTGGTCTGCATACCGGCTGTTACATTCGCTCTCGTGTTAGCCAAGGGGGCTCCGCGAATGCTGAGGGCTGGGTGGCAGGCAGAGGGCGCTGCGCTGCGCTGCGCTGCGGCGGTGCAGCCATGCAGCGGGCAACGGTGGCTTCCGACGGCGACGGGGGAGAGAGGGCGAGGGCTTGGGAGAGGAGTGCGACTCACGCCAGGTATGCTACTGCGAGGCTCGGATCTTGGTTGAAGTGCTCAGATTCTATAAAGCGCTCTAGCAGATTCCAACTCATCTGGGACGGCTCATTGGGGCACGGTAGGGATGGAGGGCGACGGCATGCGAGTGGGAAATGCTCAAAAGGGTCCCATGAGGAAAGATGGGGCGCCAGACAGGGTTCAGCGGGCGGAGATGAGCTGCTCCGCCTTACTTGGTCGATAGCCGTAACAATCTCGACGTCTATGCGAACCCCCAGGTTCTTCCCGGCCTCGCATCTCTGCCCTCTGTGCACCCGGCACGCAGTCTCTGCCACTGCCACTGCTCTTTTGGCCTGCTCAAGCCCGTCTTCACATCGCCACATGTTCTCCCACGCCCTGCCCCGCCACGTGGTTCACCAAGACAGGGTTCGTCTCGTATTAATGTACTGGCGCACGCTGCCCGTCTCAGACACACAGTCTTGTATTGAGCCTCGCTGGACAAGACGGCACCGCCCTCATAACAGCAAGCACAGCGCTCTGCCGTGCCCATGGCCTCGCCAGTCTGCCTCCCCAATTGCGTGAACCAGAAAAAAGAACAACAACGCCCGCGCCCAGTACCAACGCCATGCATGCACTTGACCTGTTTAGGCATGGTCCAACCCTCCCGAGCGTGCAGCAACCTCATATCGTACACGGCAACGAGCAATGATGAAACAGCAATCTATGTAGCCTTGGAACAGTCGAGGCCATTCTGCAACATGCACGCCAAAAAAAACATATCGGTGGCTGCGACCAGGACGTGAGCAAAAATTAGAAAAAAAACTATGGTCCACTCGAGCATCCCACCCCTATGCCCGGTGAAGTCATCTCAGCACCCAACCACAGACGACGCCAGGCTAGTCGGCAGCGTGCAGGTCAACGAAAATGTTAATGGCTGCGACCAAGACTTCGGCGAAGATCAGAATAATGACGATCCACTCGAGCAATTCGCCCTGCGCCCCGTTAGCAAAGCCATGTCGATATCCAGCCATCGGGACTTACGTGTGTCACCGTGAGCTGGTCCTTCAGCACGGCAAGAAGATCGCCAATGACATTGAGCCGCTCGGTCAAGAGACTCACGCGCTGGTCCATCTCCAGATAGCTCCTCACCGCCTGGTAGACCGGGTCGAGCTGTGGCTCAGCCCACATGAGCTCGGGGGCATCTAGCACCGACCCCTGCAAATGGATGCTGATGCGGAGAATGAACAGCTCGCCAATCTGCATGTTGATCTGCTTCTTGTTGAGATTGATCTTTCCAGAGCTCGCAATCTCGGCGGGAATGTCTTTGGTCTCGTCAATCGTGTTGTCGACCAAGTCTTCGAAAAGCGACGTCTTGACGCTCTGCGACAGCCCGTGACTAATGGCCAGCTTGATCATGTAGTTCTTCTTGTCGCGCAGACTGATAAAGTCGTTGTATATCCGCGCCTGGTATTCGCGCGTGTAGTAGAAATTAAACTCCTCCGTCTCAATCTCATCCTTGCCGAGCTTGTCCACCTCGAACTTGGCAATCTCCTTGAGGAACTTTTTCTCTTCCTGGAGCGTCATGCCCCAGATGACAACGGTGCCGTACTCGAAAAGAAACACTTCGGGGGTATGCACACGCGTGTCGAAATCCGGCGTGTCCATTGGGGGGTCTGAGTCGGCATGCGTCATGGCGGGGCGTCTTGAGCCGATACCTTGCTCGTTTGCCATATCGGGCGCGTCGCCCTCGTCGTGCAGGTCGAGAATGTCCTGTCTCCTGCGCTCGTTCTCGTGCTCTACTTCAATGGCGCTGTCGGAGAACCTTCGCGGCCTCTCGTCTGAAAAGCCGTCGAGGACGGACGAGCTGCTGACGTCTTCTGGGCCCTTTGTCGAGCCATAGTTGTAGGGCGAGTATATGCACTCGTCAAAGCGCTTGGGCAGCGTGCCTCTTGTCTTTTGCTTGCCCTTCAAGAAGCGCATCAGCTCGTCGAGCTTGTACGAAGCCGCCGTGCAGTATGCCGTCACCCTTGGCAGCCGCTCTCGGTCTGCCTTTCCAAGTCTCGCGGCGTCTCTCCTCGCCGTAGGGTCTTTGATACGCGTGTACTGTACGTAAACATCGCGTCCGCTCTCTTCGTCTTCGGCATCGTCGGCAGCCGGGTCGGGCAGCAGCTTCAGTTTCTGGGCCGTCCTCGTCGTTCGTTGCGGGCCAATCTTGGGTGCCGGGGCTGGGGGCATCCTGGCGGGCGCCCCCGAACTGTTTCTCCTTCGCAGCTTGCTATTCAGCGTCGACAGCATGGGCTGCCCGCCTTGGGTCGTGGCGGCATGGCCCGAAGACGACGCGCTGTGGGACAAGGAGCGAGACTGGGCTGGCTTCGGGCTGGTAGAGATGACGGTCGGGTTGAACGTGACGGTGCGCTGGGGCTTGGTGGGGGCTGCTCGACTGGAGCTCGACATGGACGACACCAAGGGCGTGGTTTCGGTGGCTTGTGACGCCATGACGACTGGTTGCGCTTGGTGGTTGCAGTGCAGGACGGGCAGTTCCAGGCAGGTCTTGCAGGAGACAACAAGAGAACAATGGCAGATGCCGGGTTTCCGACACAGCGCCAGAGGGCGGCGTTAGTGGGAGCGATGGGTGTGGCAGACGCGGAAGCTGCTTGCTTCACTGAGACTTTGAGCCATGACGTTGTAAGGATCTTAGCTTTAGCCTAACGGCACGGACGGGGCCCACGTGTGCGTGCAAGTGAACACTCGATGCGCGCATGCACGACCGTTTATTGAAAAAAAAACCAACTCCCAGGATCTCGGACGTTGCTGCGGCTGACATGTGCCGTTTTCTGCGCTTGTCGTCCAGTGCGAGCGGCTTGCCATCGATATGCACGAGGATTGCGCACTAACGTGCGTTAGCTTGCCCGGGCCATGGACACTTGCGAGGGCGCGTAACCCGTAACCTTGGCGTCTTGCATGTGCATTCGACGCTACGTCTCATGGGTAGCCAAGTGGGTGGGATTACAATACAGAGTCGGTGTAATTAAATACAGAAGTGAGAATTGTCAACGCCTACAGCTCCATCATCTCGGCCTCGCCTTGTGGGATAGTCATGCTGCCCTCTTTGGGGACGACGACCCAGCCTTGTTCAGACGGGGCAGTCTTGGCCTCTTGTCCTTGTTTGGTGATTCCAACCTCGCCCATGATGTAGCGCCCAAAGTACAGAAGCGCGTCCAGCATCTCCTCTCCGGTTGGGATGATGTTCTCCTTTGGCAGCAGGAACCCATAGCTGCCCGTGTCTCGCAGCTTGACCTGGTACGAATACTTGACCTTCATCTCGTGGTAGAAGAAGTCGAGTGCACTGCCGCCAGCCGATTCGATGCGCGGAAGCACCGTTTTCTTGTTGTTGGCCAAGGCGACATTGCCTTCGCATGCAGAGGTGACCTTGTACGTCTGGCCCTTGCGGGAGACGCGGATGGCCTTGGCCAGGCCCAGGGCGAGCTCTTCGAGGTCCTCGATGGCCGGCGGCTCTTCGTTGCAAGAGTAGCTGTACGGGTACAGGATCTGCTGCGAGTACGAGTGCAGGTCCAGGAAGCCCACGAATTCCACATTGTTGTTCTCGGTTTCATTCTTGGCCCATTGGGCGAAGCGGGCTGCCTCGACGCCGTCAAAGGGCGCGTCGCCGGGGAAGGATTCACTGCAGGGATTCGACTGCGCCGAGTCTCCGTCCCACATGTACGGATAGCTGCGGTCGAGGTCGACGCCGCTGCAGAAGCGCAGCCTGGTGGGCTGGCGGTTCTTGCGCCACAGGCGGTCCGTCTCCCATGTGTAGACATAGCCGTCCGGGTTCAGCGTGGGGACAAAGACGAAATCAAACTCCTCGAGCAGGCGCGTCATCTCGCGGTCCTTTCCGTAGGCATTGATCAGGCTCCAGGCCAGGTAGTTGACCGTGCTGGTTGATATCCACTCGCGCGCGTGTATACCGCCCGTGACCAGAACCGTCTTGCGCGGGTGCGAGGGCTGGTCGTTGTTGGTCGGGTGGACACCGACGCGCAGGGCGGGCATGTCGCGGCCCTGGTAACTGACGCCCACGTTGATGCGACGGACGTGCGTGGTGAACATGGAGGCCATGAGGCTCATCCACGGGTTGATGACGGACAGCGGCTGGTAGTCCTGGAAGAAGACATGGCCTTTGCCTGTCCGCGGCGACGGGCGCAGGGTGGGGGAGAAGCGGTCGTCGTGGTGGGAGGGGGGCGAGTCGGTGGATGGGTACGTGTTGAAGATTGCCTGGGCGAGGCCGAGGTCCTGCATGAGCGGCTCATGGGCGTCGTGGAGCGACGGGGGGAGCAGCTCGAGCAGCGACTGCACCACGTCCCTGGATATGCGCACGTCGGCCCAGTCGCGGGTGAATTCCCACACGTCGAGGAAGAGGACATGGGCAGCCTTTGCAAGGGCGGCGGCCTCGTCGGGGGTGCGGATGGCGAACCTCAACACCAAGTCGTCGCTATACTGGGCGGCGAGGCCATGGCTCCATGCGGCTTGGGCGGCGGGGCGCGTGTCGGCAGCGGGGCTCTGGGGGGCGGCGGGGAGGGCCCATATCCTGCGGATGAGGGCGTCGGACAGGCTGCGCCAGGGCCTTTGTGGTGGTGAGGATGGTGGTGGTGGCGACGCGTCGCGGGCCGAGGCATAGGCTGCTGCGTCGTAGGGGAACGGCGCTGTGTCGTGCGGGGCGGGCGTTGCGGGCGAGGGCGCCAAGCACAGCAGGCCCAGGGCAGCAAGCGTCGGCCGGCGCATGGCGGAGGAGAGGAGACGCTGGCCGGGCGGGGGGCGACTGTGGCGCTGGGTGTGGCGGCGATGCAATGGGCGGCGCGTTGTTGTGTGGTGTGTGGTGTGTGGTGTGTGGTGTGTGGTGTGCGCGGTGCGCGGTGCGCGGTGCTGTGCTGTGCTGTGCTGTGCTGTGCTGTGTATGTGGTGTAGTGTCAGTAGTGTTGAGGGCGGGCAGGGCCGGGCAGGGCATGGGCATAGCGTGCAGGCGGAAGCGTGTGCGGTGCGTGCAACGTGTGGCTGGTGCAGGCACAGGCGCGCCGCCGCCCAGCTAGCCGCGACGACGGGCTCCCCACAGCAGAGGCAGCGCCGGTGTGTGCCTGTGCCTGTGCCTGCGCGCGTGTGCCAGTGCCAACAGTCCAAGTGGATGCGTCGGCCTGGCCGCACCCCTTCAACCGCCCACGCCCCCCCTATAATACCTACGGCAAGATCAATACAAGAAAAAAGCTCCCCCCTCCCCTCCCCCCTTGTGACGTCGCCGGCCCCTCTGCTCTGGCTCTGCACCCGCCCTCGTCCTACGCGTGTGCAGCCCGCTGTCGTCGTGCCCAGGCGTCCGTCGCCCGTCGCCCGTCGCCAGTCCGCCCACGCCCACGCCCACGCTGCACCCCCCCCCAAAACGCATCCTAGCATAGCATCCTCAGCCTTATAGCCTCGCTCGCCCCGGGCCCAGCCTGCACAGGAAACACTCGCCCTCCGCCCGCCTCGCGCCCTCGCCCGCCTCGCCCTCGCCCTCACCCTCGCCCTCGCCTCGCCCCGTGCTGCCCCGTCTGCCTGCCACCCCCCCGCGCCGCTGTGCCATGTGCTGCATCGTGACGCAATTCGTGCCTTCATGAGCTGCTAGCCGGCGCGAGCAGCCATGCCTCTGCGCTCCCTCCGCAACAACCGCAGCGACCGAGACCTCAAGCGGCGGAGCACCCTCGATCCCGCAGGCCTCTTCAGGCGCGCCGACAAGGACTCGCGCTTCACAAAGTCGACCGACAACCTCGACCCCGCCCGCCCTGCCGCCCCCGACCACGGCCATGGCCTCCGCCCGGCCTCGTCTGACATTGCGCGGCCCTCGACCGGCCTCGATGATGATGACGACTCCCCGCCCTCGCCGCCCGTCCACCACCACACGCCCAACACCAGGCGCTTCAGCCTGATGCGCTTCCGCCATGCCTCGGACTCGCAGCTCTCGACGCGCGCAAAGGAGCACGACGCCGCCGACACGCCCGACGACGACGTCCCCCCCGTGCCGCCCGTGCCTGCTGTGCCGCCAGTGCCCGCTGTGCCCGCCACCGCAGCGAGTACGTATAAGCATCGCCAGCCCTCCGTGCCGTGAATAGAGCCCCTACTGACGCACAGCCGTGACAGCCCCCGCCATCATCACCACGGCGCCCTCGCAACCCGACCACGACGACCATGCCAAGCCCACCCCCAAGAGGAGCCGCATGCAGCAGCTCGCCCTGCGCAGGCGCTCCTTCGACCCCAGCCTGACGGACAAGCCCACGGCGCTGCGCAAGTCCATGGACCGGAAGCGGAGGCCCCTGGCTTTTACCAACGGCAATGGCAGTCTGCACCACCCCCCCAACGACCACGACCACGACCACACCAACACCAACACCAACAACACCACCGACGACGACCACGACGACGCCGACCCGCGCCCGCCGGCCACGCCGCGCCAGCCAGACGTGCTTGCCGACCCCCGCGAGTCCGTCGAGAGCACCACCCCCTTGGCCCCTCCTGCCACCAGGGCCTCCGAGTCGTCCAGGTCAGACGGAAGCTCCGGCGTCCACATCTCCTTTGACACCACACCACGGCCCAGCCACCCCGCCCGCGTGGGCTCTGCACGCTTTGGCTTCGGCCGCCGCAAGCAACGCGCATCCCTATTCCCCCTCCCCGCAAAGGTCGAGCCCCCGCAATTCCCCGACACTGCACCTGCCACGCCACGTGCCTCGACGGGCGCGAGGAGCACAGCCTCGACCCATCACTCGCCCACCGCCAGCCCGCCACTGACTGCCCGCCGCTTCGACAATGGAGACGCTCGGTCACACACGCCGCCAGTCCATGCTGCATCGCAAGTTGCTCTAGCTGTTGGTGCTTTGAATTTGGCCTCACCTGGTTCAGGTGCCCTCATTCGCAACGACTCGTACAGGTCAACCCAGTCGGCCCACTCGTCGGGAAACAACAACAACGGCCAGGCCCGCCTGGGGCTCCGCGGCCGCTCCTCCACCATGGGCTCGTTAAGCGCGCGGTCTGACGATGCCGGATCGCCCACTCCCCCCGGAGGCCCCAGCGGCAGAACGTCCATATCCACTGCAGGGCGGAGCAGCTTCAGCAATCTCTTTGGTCTCGGTGCAAGATTCCGTCAGAACTCCGAGCCGCACTCACCCCGACATGGTTCACCTGCTCACGGCTTGCTAGGAAACTCTGCCCTATCCTCCCACCAGAACTCAATGAACATTAGTCGTGAAACACTGATACTGCCGGAACGCGAAGAGGGCGAGACCCCAGGCCGATACCTGGAGCGCATCGAGGCAAACAACTTTGACAAGAGCGTCGTGGCCAGCTACCTCAGCAAGACGGACGACCCCTTTCTGCTCGCCGTCTTACGAAGCTACATGCGGAAATTTGCCTTTTTCGGCGACCCAATCGACATGGCCATTCGCAAACTGCTCATGCAGGTAGAGCTGCCCAAAGAGACACAGCAGATTGACCGTGTGCTCCAGGGCTTCGCCGACCGCTATCACGAGTGCAATCCCGGCATCTACATCAACACAGGTAACAGCATCTGCTATCCACGGCATCCCTACATTTCTAACCCACAACAGACAAGGCGTACTTTATATCCTTCTCCATCATCATTCTCCACACCGACGTCTTCAACAAGAACAACAAACGAAAGATGCAGAGGCCCGACTATATCAAAAACTCGTCTTGCGAAGGCGTTTCGGCGGATGTGTTGGGCTGTTTTTACGACAACATTGTCTATACTCCATTCATCCACATCGACGACGAGGTCGATCTGAAAAACATTACCTCGAAGAAAAGCAAAAGAACCGCCGTCCTCAAAGGACCCATGAACGACCCAACGAGAAAGGCAGCTAGGGAACCCATTGACCCGTACACTTTGATTTTCGAGGGCAAGCTCGACGCTCTCCGTCCGACGATCCGCGATGTCATGCAACTCGACGATCCCTACAATTACACGGGCACTGCGGCGACATTAGACACCAAGAACATTTACAAACTCTTCTCCAAGTACGGCGTGATCCAAATTGTGTCTTCTAGATCGAGGCCCGAGGCGTTCATGTCGGAAGCTGCCCAGGAAAACCCGCTCGGTACTTCTGTGGGGATTGTGGAAATGCCCGTGACCAAGGTTGGAATTCTATGGAGAAAAGACACCAAGAAGAAAAAGGCGCGATCGCCGTGGCAAGATTGGGGTGCTGTGCTTACGCGCTCAGGGTTATCCTTGTTCCGCAATTCTACATGGACGAGAAGTTTGATGGCCCAGCACGATCAGCATCTGAAACGTGGCGATGCCGGCCCTGTCGTCTTCCAGCCGGCCCTGCCGGATTTCAAGCAAGATCACATCATACCCATGGACGGCGCAGTCGCGCTTGTTGACAATACTTACAAGAAGCACAAGCACGCTTTCGTCATGTTTTCCAAGGTAGGCGAGGAAACGTTTTTAGCCGATAGTGAGAAGGACTTGAATGAGTGGCTGGGCGTGCTGAATTACACGGCTGCATTTGAGACGCTTGGGGTCCGATCACGAGGCATGATTGGTGGCCTGTACGAAGGGCAGAAGAATCGGGGCATGAGGCGGCTAGAGTCTTCACATTCCACCAAGACAATACCAACATCCACGGGCGAGGTAACGATCCAGAGCGGCAAGATCGACAGTCAGTTTGCACAACAAATGATGAACGCTCGCAAGGACCTCATGCAGATGCGCATATCCGAGTCCGAGGACAAGCTCACCGCGGCAATCAAAGAGTTGGAGGCACGCCTAAGAGACGCCAGGCATCTTCAGATTCTCGCGCCTATACAGCCAAAGACTCGAGAGCTCATCATCCATGCAGCTGGCCGCTTGTCGGCCAAGTTAAAGTGGACTCGTATCGAGATTTGGCGGATGAAGTGTCACCGTGATATACTCGCCCAGGAACTAGAGGACGAAAGGCAGGGTGGCATAGACAGACCAGCACAGTCAGATCGAGCCTCGGAACTCCAGCAGCCCCAGCTTTCCCCTCAACAGTCCCACAAAGGGTCCAAGGTCAGTGGTTTAGCAAGGCTGACTTCGAAAACCAGCTCGCTTACCAGCGGGCATAAGCCGCCCCCGCTGTCCCCTGGCTCGTCGGCTCGGCCAGAGACCAAGTCGTCGAGGGAAACCGATTTTGGCGGCGACGAAGCCTTCAAAACGCCGCCTGAAACATCTCGACAATCAAGCCCCAAAGATCCATCTGCCCATTTCCAGGCAGCTCCCATCTCGCTGAGTCCTAGCGTATCAGACCGTCGAAGTTCGGTCGGCAGCCTTTCTGCGCATTCCCCAAGGACCTATGTTCCGGGCCACCGGCCTTCTATATCAACCACAGGAGACGGCACAGCAGGCTCCGACTTTGACTCTGACTCTGACGATGGGTCTCGGTACGCCACTCCGCCGCCCGGTGAAGCGCCAGACCTCGAATTCAAGTCACCCGAAGTATCGCCCATGGACACAACTCGACCGGAAGCTACCGTTGATTCCGACAGCGAACAAACCTTTGCCGCTTTGGCAGGCTCGCCTAGGTCGCAGACCAAACAGAGAAGAAGCTTGCACCGCACGCTTCGAGAGTCGCGCGGTAGCTCAACACACCGACGCACTCACAAGAGCAGAGACTCTGCATCAACCATTGCTAGTGACATGACTGAAAGTGAGGGACTGGCGCGCGGCAAGGGCAGCTTCACTGTCCATGGCAAGAAAGCGTCCGTTATTCAATTCGGTTCTGATTGGCACAACATGACAGCCGAAGAGCGACTCAAGACCAAGAAGCAGCTCCAAGAAGCAGCCGAGGCAGCATCTGCTGATGAAAGAGATGGCAGCATCTTTAACGGCGGCACAGCACCTGCTTGGTCTCCAGGAAGCGACGGTATGGATCCCCTCGCTGTTCGGAAGCTCTCTGCAGATACGACCAAGCAGCGGCACGTGTCGTCTCAAACCATAACCCCTGCCAACTTTCGTGAGTCGTTCAAGGTTGAGGATTCCGAGCCGAATAGCCCATCGGAAATGAGTGATATTGCTGAAGAGTCGACGCCTAACCCGCGAACTCCAGATGCCACCAAGGCCAAGAGTCCCCTTGCTGAGCGCGCTGAGCGACATGCCCAGACGACTGCAGTTTAGTTTTCATTAGTTAATACCTTCTTGCATTCTTTTGGATTTCAAAAGTGGATTTATAGCATGCTAGCATTGCTTCAGCGGATTCCCGTTTCTCCTTTGTCAATTCTACATACTTTTCTCGGAGCTCATATGCACCTTCATATCTAGCATGGCGTACTTAGGCATTGCACTGAAACGCAACAGGGGCGCTTTATATGCATAGACGGACTTTCGGGTGATGGCGTTCTGTTGAGTACACGACCCATTGAAGCGATTGGGGTTGGGATAGTGCGCACGACTGATACCAATGTGAATGCTGTGGCATATTTAGTTTAGATTTTTTGTGTAGCGAAGAATAATTGACTAGTCGTCTGGTGTTGATAACCCGTTGATAGTAACTTGGCGATGCACAGACAGGGATCTAGTCGACTTTTGCAGTCAGCCACACTGAGGTAATACTGTACCCGCCTTCACTCCTTATATTTTTATGCCCTACTTCGGCCTTTTTGTAGCGCCACATACGCCGGTTTCCTATTCACCATACAACATGGTTATACGAAATGCCATTGGCTGTGCAGCATGCAGCAGATCCCGCCGAGCCCCTGTCCCGTTCTTTGCTCCAACATCCAACAGCCAAGCTACTGAAGCACACCAGAGTCCACACAAGAAACCGCACCAATACCCGAGGGCCAAGCGGGGAACAGTTACTGATAGGATCATGTTCCGAAATATTCGGCGCTGAATAACCGTCTTTGGATGTCAGAAAGCCGAAACCTGATGGCGTCTCAAACCCCAAGTGTCGCGGGGCCAAACGTCACAACACTGACAGCCCTGTCAACAAGTCTCGCAACGGCCTAGTGATACAAGCACCATTGCGGGTTGATGCCTTGTTGGCCGTACGCGCCCCCAATCACGACATTGTTGCGATGGATGCTGGCACGCGTTTATATAAGAAGCATGATAATGCTCGGCAAGAATTTGCTTTGCTTTGCTTCAGTATCGTTTCTCTGCGTTTCTTTCCAGTCGCTACATTTTTTTGCTTTCCCACCCTCCGGCCAGGGCTGACATTTTATTTTATATCATTCTATTTCATATCCGTTTTTTAGTATTTCAAATACCCAGATTTGTTTTATACTCGGGTTGAAAAAGGGGAAAAGATGTATACCAACGCCATCACCGCCTTTGCGCTCTTGTCCAGCCTCACCAGTGCCATGCCCACCGCCAACAACAACACTCCCCGTCAAGCCAAAGCCTGCTTCGTCATTGGCAACACGGCGCTCCCCGCCGAAGTCACCACGGCCGTCGCCGCAATCCAAGACAAAGTAACGTGCTCGACGACGGCCAAAACAATCGACAACGTACCAGACGTAACCTCGGGCACCCAAACCTTTTCCAAAATCGACTTCAGCAAGTCCAAGCAGCAACCGCTAGAATTCGCACTCGCGCAATTCAAAACCGCAACGCCCCTCGCCAAAACCGATCTCGCAACCTTCCAGGACGCGCTGAACGTGTACACTGCGACCGAGGCTGGGCTGCGCAGCGTCGCGGGCCCGATTCAGGGCGTCAAAGTACCCAAGTTCTTTCTCGCGATGCAGATATCCAGGATCCAGACTGCGCAGGGGAATCCGCCCAAGGCTGCGGGCCAGCAGGTGGATCATCTGAGGGATAAGGTGCTGAAGAATGCGGCTGGGGAGAGTAAGGCGTTTTTGGACCAGGTGACCAAGTTGGCGACGGAGACGACGTAGGTAACTCGATATGGTGGGGAGGAGATTTGTGATACCCAGATGGAACGGGAAGGGGAATGGAAATGCGGGGTAATGAATATGAATATGAATATGAACATGAGAGATTGAGTAATAGACCCCTTGTTCTGCAATGATATCATGCGTGTTCATAAATCCTATGAGTTTATCCTGGATACAGTCTAAGAATGTGCAAGGAAGAACACTGCTCTTCATTGCACTACATAGCAACATACATCTGAATGCAAAGCTTCTCGTTGCCGCATCTGTAGCCCCTGCGTAGCCGTGCGAGCAGGGATTCCCCGGCTTGGTTTCAGTAGACATGTACTGGCTAATTTCATGTCAGATGTAGGACAGCGGTGGTGTTGACCGGAGAGCGGGAGGGAATATAAGAGCTCTACTTCGAATTGGGGTTTTTTATGCTGTTACGAGGTAGAGAAGTGGTGGGTGTAGTATTCTCGCGTTCTTTAAGCGGTGGTGGTGGTGGTGTGGGCGAGCGGTGTGCGTGGGGTGTATGAATTAGATACTGAGGACTTGAAGAGTGGGGTTTGAGGAAGGAGACGTGTTGATCTGTATTGATAAAGCGTCTTTTTCTTATTGTTGATGTTGTTGTTATTGTTCTGATTCTTTTCCCGAAAAAAAAACTGCCTTTCAACTACTCAAATTATCAGGCTTTTGCGAACTTGAACCTTTTTTAAGCTTGGTTTTCTACATCGATTCTAAAAGTACCGTTCCAACCATGTTCAGGACATCTCCGTAGTATCATGACAGGAGGTTGAAACAATAGCTCCGTGAGAAATGGGCTGCAATTGCAGAAACTTAAGTCTTGAGATGGGGATAATTCTTCTGTGGAAATACCTGTCTCTCTAAACCATCCATAGATCCAAGGTCCCCTTCCAAGTGCCCCAAAGGTCACCCTCATCGCCATTTTAGTACAGTGCGTTATGAAAGTTATATACTGGTGGAACTCCACATCTTTGGAGTTCATGAGGTCAGCAATCTTCTCATCTTCACATCTTTCTTGCCATTGTTTCAGCCCCTTGAACCAGATCTGGACTTTTGAATATATATCAGACGGGGTCAAATATTCTTGCCATTGTTCTGGCGAAAGAATCAATTTCTCGACCTCTGGATAACGATGTAAATGAAATGGGGCAAAAACTTCGGCAAGCTGATCCAAGACCATATTCTATTTTTTGAGATCGCATGATGCTCTAATCACCTTCAGGGATGATAAAAGCTCCCTCCAATTCTTGAATGCGGATGTTCCCATTTGTATCGGTGTAACAACCAAGGCGTTTGTGGGGCTCGCATTAGGCATGGCAGCGTCTCCGTTATAATCGGCCGTGTTTGGTGGAGTTTTCATCTGGATGACAGGAGATAGTAGGCCAGGCTCTAAAAGTCGAGTTAAATTTAACCTTAAGCGTTTAACATCAGCCCTTACGTTGCGGTTTCCCCGGATCGATATTGCAGTTCGGAAGGCGCCGACTTATCTCCCTCGCAATCCGCTCCTCGTTAAGTTCGACGTTGTTGAGCACAATCTGGGTTTGCTTGCCGTCCTGGGCTCTCTTTTCCAACTGTGGAAGAATGACATTCCACTCTCGATTCCTGATTTTCTTTCGAATGTTCCAGAGTCGAAAGCGGGCTTCATACTGCGCTTCGCTAAAAGACGACATGTATTAGCCTTGTACAGCGTACCAGCGCAATGACCTACGTAGCGGAAAAGCCATGATCCCTGGACATTATATGCATTACTCCTTCATTTCCTTTGAGTTTGCGACCTTCATTGATGTAGAGGCGGGTGATGGTCTCTCGGTGCTGCTCCCAAGTCGCCTTATCGATTCTAGGAGCGAGATATCTTGTTGTACGATGCATTGTTGTTGTTGGATAGACAAGGTAGATCGGATGATTGGAAAATTATGAGTAGAGTATTCAGAAGAGTTAAACGAGTATCGAGGAAAAAAGATGTAGGAAGTAGGGCAATGGAATGTCGGAGGGAGGTAGATATATAGATGTCCTCGCTCAGCTCAGCAAGCCAGCCAATGATGCAAAACCTGAGAATGCGCAGCAAGGCTATTAGCGCTGCCGTGGGCTGAAGGCATCTTTGACCAACCATGCAAAACCTGAGTATGCACTGACCGACTTGGACTTGGAGTAGATGCATATTCCCGAGAACGTGCGGCTGGGCTTGACGCATTGCCATGTGTTGAACGCCTCTTTCGGCACCATTGACCAATCAAGCAAAATCTGAGTTTGTCACAGCCCCCATCCAAGCCGGTATCACCGAACCCCCGGCCTCAATGTCACTAGCCAATCATGCAAATCCTGAATTCTGTAGTCACGGGAGGGCAACAGTTGATAAAGACCAGAGTAGGATTAACACTTCGTGGATCATCTAGTGAGTCCACCTCCTTTCGACCCTTCGACCTAACCAAATGTCTTCATGGAATGCAGAAGTTGTTATCGCGCTCGTCGCCCTACTTGTGACATGCATCCCTATCATCTTTGCTGTACACCGGAAGTTACGTGGACAGCGCATAAGGGGCGGATATGAGACTGGTAAGAATATTCACAACAATGCCACACAGCTCGACTTACAATAACCTTGAAGATCTTGAAAGACGCAACGAAATCGCTCTCGAAAGGCGAAACACGCTTTAGTAGATCCGTCGCTTTACCGTAACCGCCTGCGCACATGCCTCGAAGCCGCCTTGGAGTTGAGGTCTCGGTCCGTATGAACAAGATCGACGTGGTTGTGGGAAGGAAGAATCGAAAACGAGGTATATTGGATAGACATGAAAAGTTTCCATGAGTCTGCCGAACGTGGATGGGAGTGATATAGACAAGGCATACCGGCGGTTTTAGATTCGTGGCTCGGTAGCATTCTTCTCCATCCGAAGCCGTTTATGTATCATTCATGTACAATCAATCTCGCCGTTTGGAGAAGGCGTTGACGGATATTACTGGATAGTGAATAGGAATTTGTTGAGGATATATGCTCTTTCAACTCATCTTGCCAACTTTCTGTAGTGCTTTTACGGTTGCCGGAAGAAGATCATGAAGGCTAATTCGTTCCGCAACGATAATATTTTTGATCTACCGTGGATTCAACTTGAACTCCAAAGAAGTGAGAAGAATATGGATGCTAGCGTATGTAACTGATAGCATAGAAATTGCTATCTAGCATTTTCAAAAAGTCCACGCATAGACACGTTCTTTATTTTGGAGGGGCTGGCTAGATTTGTGGCCCCTGGTGGTGACTGATCAAAGAAGACGCGCGTGAATTGGTGGCATCAGCATAAGCTATATATCTGAGGTTTGAACTTTGATGCTTCATTACATATCCTGTGTTCAGAGATAGGTGGCATGAATACGAGAGCGACGTGGGGCGATGGCGTCACAGCTTACTGTAGCACCTGCTACATCCAGCAAAGCCCCGCACTATCAGTGCGGCTAGCATAGGTATACTTTACTTTAAGTCTAGCAGTTGAGCACACTGATAAACAATCTTCTCATCGTCACTCCATTCTCTACTCTGTGCCGCTCGAATTTACACAATGACTTTCGACATCTCCAAGGCGCGTGGGCGCTTCCCCGCACTGCAGCAGGACCAGGTGTTTCTTGATAACGCAGGTGGCAGCCAAGCACTTGGATCTGTAATTGAGACGTAAGAAGACAAACTCTCCTGCATGAGTGTGTTTACTAAACTATATCAAGCATAACAGAGTACCTTTCCAAGACGAATGTCCAGTTGGGTGCTTCGTACCATACTGGTTCGCAGTCCAACACCAAATACGAGCAGGGCTACCAAGCCGCTGCAAAGTACATGAATGCTGGTCGCGATGAGATAGGTAAGGTGACTTGTCTTGTCACAATCTCGGCACTGTCTGATGTGTTCAGTAATTGGCAGTTCCACTACGCAGCTTTTCATGAATCTCAGTTCCTCGCTGCAATTCCCTGCAGGATCGGAAATCATTCTCTCCAAGATGGAACATGAGACTAATGTGAAGCCGTGGCTTTTTATGGCTGAGCGTCTTGGCCTTACTGTCAAATGGTGGATGTCTTCCAAAGAAGATGGGCTGAAGCTCACAGCGGAGAACTTGAAGCCGCTCCTCAGCGATAAAGTGAAGTTTGTTGCCTGCACGCATGTGAGCAACATCCTCGGCACGGTCCACGACGTCAAGTCGATTGCGGACGCGGTACACGAAGCCGGTGCTTTGTTCTGCGTGGATGGCGTGAGTTATGCACCGCACCGTGCGGTTGACGTCAAGGCTTTCGGCGTGGACTTTTATTCCTTCAGCTGGTACAAGGTAAGTATCCTCGGTAGGTGTTCGCGGACATATGCTGACGGGCGTAGGTATACGGCCCTCACGTCGCAGTGCTCTATGCCAGCAATTCCGCACAACAGCACATGAAGCCCATGACACACTTCTTCAATCCCACAAAGACCCTCGAAGACAAGATTGGCTTCGCAGGCTCAAGCTACGAATGTGTTCAGTCTATCCCCCAGATCGCCTCATATCTCTCCGGCGCTTTTCCTGCAATTACCGAACACGAGGGAAAACTTCAAACCATTCTTCTCGACTTCCTCAACTCCCGCCCTGATATCACGGTCCTGGGATCTACGTCTACGGACAGTAAGATCAGAGTTCCTACCATTTCTTTCACTGTCAAAGGCATGAGCAGCAAACAGATTGTTGTCGAGGCGGAGAAAGTGAGCAATTACGGATTCAGGTGGGGTCACTTTTACTCGAAGAGGCTGTGTGACGAGATCCTTGGGCTAGAGCCTGAGGGTGTGACCAGAGTCAGTATGGTACATTACAATACTGAGGAGGAGATCAAAGGGCTGGTAGAAGTGTTAAAGAAGGTCCTTCCGCAAGTTTAGGGATGCGTTGTGCAAGTAGTACGCAGCTATGTAGCTTACCGTAATCAGGCCCTGAAACTTAACACCCGATGATCCTGCGGATACGTGATCGCCGTCTTTTGGAAAAATATAGCTAGCCTGGAGACGCCAACAAATCTCCGGGCAGTCTAACCCAAGGCGTTATAGCGAGACGGCCTGGAGGAGATGTCAAAGAATATAGTGGACGTGAAGAAGGCTAGAGCTGACGCGTATTTGTTTCATTTCTACCCGTTAGTTCGTATCTCGCAACCCGCACCCTGATTTCGCAACAAGATCGCAGGACCAAACTTCGGTGCCGGCTTCTGGGATTCGCACACGAGGTGCAGGGGTATGCGTGATCGACCTTATCTAAGAGCGATGTTTCAGAAGACTGTCTTCACGTGATTGCCGCGGAAACAAAGCATGCATTGTGGATTAGGATGTAAAGTTAAGCTTTTTTTGAGCGGGTCGGACGAAGCTTTCTTGATGTGATTGCCGTTGGCATCAGGTGTTGCATATTTTCGGGAATATGTCCAGCAATCCACCGACACTGGACAAAACGCGAGCCCAGCAGTCACCATCCAAGTCTGCCTCTGCCGGATCCTTCGTCTTCCTGTACAGGTCCTGCTCGCGCATGAGCTTTGAGATTGCGGCACTTCTCACTGGGTTGTCGTACGACATGACTCTGAAGAGTCGTCGGGTGCTGCTGGCATGATGTTCTGGACGGAACCCAAACGGGCACTTTGATTTCCATGAAACAACCATCTGCGCATAGACCATGTCGAGAGTCTGTTTACGAAAGCCAGAGCGGGCGACTTTCTGTCGGCCAACGGTCGAATTACGCTCGCCGTGATGCCTCGGTGGAGTCTCTGGAAACCGCCACACCGCTGCCTGGCGAAGAGAGTCGTGAGCCTGGAAAAATAGCGCAGCCTGCTGGTGTTACTTGGTCGGAATAAAAGGCGCAGCCTGCATGTGTGCTGCTCGAACCGAACAAAAGGCGCATGAAACTCGTATTTCCACCATGCGCCGAAACATCCTCAGGTAGAGTTCTCAAAGAGGATGCGGTGCGGGGTTATGCCTTTGGAGTGCGGGTGCCATTGGCCATGCACGTCCCAGCAGTACATCATGTCAATCAATGCATTCTAAACGGCCAAAATTAGGCTTGAGTTGGGGTTGATAGACGTTCACATAGCCACCGGCAATGACAAAGGCATGGGAGCGGCTCGGTGCTTCTTGGTCCAGTCGGAGAAATTGACGCCGAGCTGCACCAATGATACAGGCTCGTGGAGAGCCGGTCGCTGGTGCTCCGCCTATGTGCAGCGGGTACTACCCCATGTTCTCATTTGGTTTCGGAACTTTTAGATTTAGCATCACTGCATTGGCAATGGTGAGGTGGAGAAATTAGAGATGGACCGTCGCCACCGTCCGTGTGTTGTTCACATAAAGTCGTCACGGGGGCCTCACCAGCACCGGTTGAATGCGTGTACTTAGCGACTTTTCTTTTGATTTCTCCTGCAATCATGCGCGCAACTACAGTATCTGCGATTCTCTCTTTCGTGGCGAGCTTGGCTCTCGCCAGTCCGCTGGGCGACTCTTCGGCGCTCATGAGCCGCGCTACAACCTTCAACAACCCAATCCTGTGGGAAGACTATCCCGACCTCGATGTTTTCCGCGTTGGCGATGTGTTTTACTATTCCTCTTCGTCATTTGCCTTTTCCCCGGGTGCTCCTGTGCTGAAGTCATACGATCTCGTCAACTGGACGCCTGTTACCCACAGCGTACCCACGCTGAACTTTGGCTCGCAATACAACCTTGAGAGCTCAACCAGCCGCGCCTACGTCAAAGGCATTTGGGCCAGCTCTCTCCGATACCGAAACTCGACTGACAAGTTCATGTGGGTCGGTTGTGTCCAATCGACAGGCAACACTTACCTTTGGACGTCGGATGGCCAAGGCGCCGGCAAGAACAACGGTGAAGTATCAAGCTGGAACTGGCAATCTGGAGGCACAATTTCCGGCGCGTCGTGCTACTACGACAACGGCATCTTTATCGACGACGACGATACCATTTACGTTGCGTACGGCAACACCAATATCCAAGTGGCCCAACTCAACAAGGATGGTACGGCCCAAGTTCGCAGCCAGCAAGTGTACAAGGACCCCAATGGCCTTTACATTGAGGGCTCGCGCATGTACAAGGTCAATGGAAACTACTACATCTTTGTCACGCGGCCAGCAAGCGCGGAGTGGGTGCTCAAGTCCAAGAGTCCCTGGGGCCCCTACGAGGCAAAAATCCTGGTCAACAGCATCTCGGGACCTCTTTCCAACGCCGGATTCAGTCACCAGGGCGGCATAGTTGATACCAAGGATGGAAAATTCTACTACGTTGCATTCATGGACTCGTATCCTGGTGGACGTATCCCCGTGGCAGCACCCCTCACGTGGAGTGCGGACGGGTGGCCATCGGTAGTCAAGGACTCGAACGGTGCGTGGGGAAAATCATACCCGATGCCCGTCCAGACGAGCAAGACGGTGCCCCCGCCTACTGGCATCGACTCGTTCACTGGCTCTGCCTTGGGCGCGGCCTGGGAATGGAACCACAACCCCGACAACACCAAGTGGAGCCTCCTGGGCGGCAGCGGTGGACTCAAGCTATCGACGGCAACCGTCACCAGCGACTTGTACAGCGCACGCAACACGCTAACCCACCGGATTCTCGGGCCCAAGTCCTCTGGAACCTTCCGTCTGGACATCAGCAAGATGGCCAACGGCGACCGTGCTGGAGCAGTGCTCTTCCGCGACACGGCAGCGTACATTGGCGTCCACAAGACGGCATCTGGCAGCCAGCTAGTCATGGTCAACGGGCTGGCGCTCAACACGGACTGGACGACAAAGTCTACCGGCACGGTAGCCGCCACGGGCCCTTCACTTGGCTCCAGCGTGACGGATCTCTGGCTGCAAATCCGAGCAGACATCACGCCTGCGTTTGGCACAAACACTGCCAGGCAAAACACCTTCTGGTACAGCACCGACGGCAAGACCTTCATCCAGCTGGGCCCCGCCTTTGGCATGGCAAACACATGGCAGTTCTTCACTGGATACCGCTTTGGTGCCTTCAACTTTGCTACCTCGCAGCTCGGTGGCTCCGTGACGGTCAAGAGCTTCGACATGCAGCTCATCTAAATGTAGAATAGGGGCGGAGGTGTTGGCGCATGGAATATGCGCGCGCACCTTACATATCTTCTCTGTATATAAAATTTTTAGGCACTGTTAGCGCAGTTGCATCATAGTTTTGGGTATATCAGTGCCTGGCTGTGATTTGCAATGTAGATACATATACACATACATGTTTTTTTCTATACCTAGTCATTTTTCCAAGTCCTGTTCCAAGTCACGTGCGTAGCAGCTTTGTGCGTCACGAAAAAAAAGTCATGTGATTGTGAGGACATTGCGCAGCTGCGGGATGAGAAAGATAAAAGGGAATATATAGCTCTATTTAGGTTTAGTTACGTTGAATAGTGATGTGTCTGTTCTTAATCAAAAGACTTCTTTCTTGACTTCTACATGGTGCCTACATTGCTGACGCATACGAAAAGGAGATTTATGAACAGCCCCAAGGTATTCAGAGGGTCAGGGTAATCGTGAGCCCAGTGCCCAGTGCCCATGTCAGTGCTCTCCTCCAAGCTACTGGGCACATTGCGCAAACTCAAACAAGATCATCAAGCTATAATTGCGCCCCCAAAAAACTTGGTGTTCCCTGCAGAACTGAAGTAACACGGCACCGTCTCAATGGGATTTTCAAGGCTAAGTATACTTAAGTACGCACTACTTAAGTTACGTGGATGGCGCAAGCCAAAAAAAAGCAAGTTCGACATTTTAGCGCTGCATAACTAAAATGCGGGATAGCGCCTGGAGAAACTTCTAGGCCGTGATGAAGAGACAGGACGGCTGTTTATTTGTGCGGAAGGAAAAGAGCATGAGGGAGGCGGAGGTGGTGGCAGGTCGGCGACTCGCAGTTTTGATACTCGGAGCGGGAGCGGAATGCATGGCAGCGCCACGCAATCTCGCTGTGCTGACTCACGACACATGAGTTTTTGGAAAGCTCATAGCCGCATCCCAACGCCATCGACTGCCTACTTTGTAGTCGGTAAGCGGGGAGGTGGTGGAAGGCTGGTGCTCAGATACCCACGGTTGTTGCACCATGCCAGAACCATTTTGGCGTGCATTAGGCATTTGGGGTCCGGCGAACGCAGATCCAGGCCATGGCGCAACGAGTCATTCTGCCTTTCAGCTCTGCGTGCACTTGGATCCATTCCAGGGAGAGACAAGTCGCCATTTCGGCAAGGGGGGAGGGGGAAACTCTAGGCCGCATTCTGCCCCGGATTTGTCTCGGGGGCTGGCGGCGCGACATCCCATTTGCCCGGGAGCAAGGCGCGGCGGGGTTTGGAGTGCCAGAGGCATTTTGCACGACTGTCATTTCAGGCTAAAGCATGGCGGAAAATGGATGACAGCAACTGCCAGTGTGGCGTGCATTGTGTGTCTTGCGTCAAAACACATCGGGGGCTGAAGATGCGAGCAGAGTTAAGCCTATTGGCGTTATTCCGAACGGTTTGGCACATTGGTTGTGGAGCGTGAATGGCTGGCTCCATCTGCCTTGGATGGCCGCCAAAAGAACGCACATCATTTCACGCACATACATTTTCGGTTTCTTCCAGGCTTGGTTATCGAGGGGCGTAGATGGGCAAAAACAGGCTTCAATATGGTTGTGAGCGATCAGTGGCGTCTGGGGGGGTGGCATGAGGAGAGGGAGGAGGAGGAGGAGGAGGCATTACCAGGGTTCTCGCCTCAATGTGGACGAGGGAGGGAGAAAAAAAAAGGTTAACGGGCGTGTGTGCCTTGATTGTTCCAAGATCGGTGTGATTGCTCCACGGTTCTTAAGTCTGGGAGGGGAAGGGGGCGTCCTTGTCCAGCAGTTCAGCAAGCTACGCACGCCTTTTTCGTACAAATATTTTCGTCTCCTCCAAGACGGAGAGGAAATATCGTCGAGATACCCACACCCCACGTTTGTTGCTTAGTTCAGATGATGTACTTTCCAATCATTTCTCAGCGAGACCAGCCCATGGGTGTGATACCCCCTCCTCCAGGTATTACCCCTAACTTTGCCAATCCGCCGAAGCGGCTGCATGCTTTTGTTGCGCTTAACATCCTTCTTATGAGCACCTCCATGTTGTTTGTTGCATTGCGGTTTTACACTGCTCGTTTTATTCTGCATAATATCAGGGTCGATGATTGTAAGCTGTGCCGCCATTCGTTCCTATCAACGTTACTTAGCTAATTATCGGTAGACATGCTACTTGTCTCATGGGTTAGAGCTTATTTCCATATAATTTCGAGCAAGTCTTTTTTTGACTAACAATGCTGCTTGACATTTAGCTTTTTGCAATGGTGTACACCATAGTCAGCATTATCAGTAGGTAGCTTATGCCCTTTGCGCCGATACGAGGCAAATTTTATTGAAAGTAAAATCTAGCTATTCGGTACGGACTTGGGCTACACCTATGGGATATTCCATTTCAGGTTTTCAGTCCGAATTTCATGAAGGTAGGTAGACTTCCCTTGCGGGATCAAATGAAAAGATGGACTGATACTTTTTTTTTATAGATGGCAGTTGTTTCCGGAACAAGCGTCGGCATGTCCATCATGCTGACCAAGCTCTCCATCCTAACCCTCTTCCTCCGCTTCATAACCGACCAGCGCTTCCGCATTGCCGTCTACACCGTCATGGTATTCATAGTTACATACAGCCTGATAACCTCGTTTTCGTGGGTGTTCACGTGTCGGCCGATAGCGAAATACTGGGATCTGAGCATTACGGGGGGGACGTGCATTGACTGGGTCCCGGTTGCGCTGTTCAATGGCGTGATGAATGCCACGACAGACACCATCATTCTTGCCCTGCCCATTGTGTTTTTGAGGACGCTCCAGCTGCCGAAGAGGCAGAAGGTGGGTATTATGGGCTTGTTGATGACAGGAGGATTGTATGTTGTATCGTCATTGGAAGTTACAAACAGCTAACATGGACTAGTATTGTGATTGTCAGCATAATACGATTGATTCTGTCGTTGCGATTGGTCCACATGTTGGATATATCCTGGGGAGCCATACCATTAGAATTATGGTGGTAGGTGCAGATCAGAGTTTGATTGGGAAGGAGACTTTAGTAATGTGAGGTTCCTAGGGCGACTGAGGCGCATTTAGCTATTGTTTGTGCTAGTATCTCGGCTGGCAAACCCTTCTTCCGCAAGTACATGCCTAGGGTTCTTGGAAGCGGTTATGGCGCCGGTAGCGCTGGGACAAAGCTACATACCCTTCGTTCGAAGCATAGACAGCACCATTATTCAAATGATGAAGGTGATGATGGGCAGGACATGATGTCGATGGAGGATGCAATGAGTGAGTTGCGGGAATGTTTGACTGGATATTAGACTTGCTGACAGTTGTCGTGTAGAGACGACCCCTACGACGACTACATTCGAAAATGGGGCGCAACCGCCGGTTAAAGAAGACTATGGTTCGGAAAGAGGATTGATTGTTGCGAGTGGTCGAGAGACAACGGGTGGTGCTTGAGGGTTGTAGAAGTGTATTATTATTGTTCCATTAGAGTCTAGTGAGCTCGAGGCTATGTAAGACTTTGGCCGA